CATTTTTTAGTAAAAAGAAAAGATTTCTTAAAATGGAAGAAGATGTTTTTTTATGTGAATTTGAATATTATATATTGAAAATGATAAGAAGGGTAACAGTCGTTAATCCGCTGCCGAAATCGCTGTTATCGGGAGCAGTCAGGAAGATCAGGGTTTCGTTCTTTCTTGTAGAGAAGCTTCTGATGTTTAATGAATCACTTAACTATTCATTGTGGATCGATTTCGCGAGATCCGAAATAGAAGAAATAAGACAAATTGAAGTCGCTTCCCACTGTTAGGATCGTTCTTCTCTCTGTCAGATATTAACCAGCGTGTCACTTGGCAGAGGGATTTTGATCTGGTCTAATCGTTGGGCCAGTTATTCTTCATTGAGCGTGGCGATAACGCGATTTTAAGGAACATTAAAGTTTAGCCTGTTTGCAATTGTCCGCGGAACAAGATATATTTTTTATTTTTAATCACAAAATTTACATGAAATTGTATATGAAATTGTATTTGAAAAGAAATCGAGTATTACATTCTGAATACGCGTTTGGTTTTTTACGTCATATATTATAATTGCAGATTCCTCGTATATTATAATTGCAGATCATATAAAATGCGCCTGTAATGTCGCAATCTATTTATTATCATACAAAACGATAATAATTATATTGCGTGTGCGCACGTTGTATTCCGATTATAGAAATTATATGTATTGTGATTAAATATTATTATCAATTTATTCATCATATACATTCGTGAAATGTAAATCGCGATTTTTTCTTTAATTTAATCAAAGCTCAATTTATCTTTTCGCGATAATATTGTAGAAAAGAAAACCTTTTACAAAATGCATTAAAATTCCGGGTACTCTTTCTTAATTGAAAGACATAATCGATAAATTTATTAATGATTCTTTTGGTTGCGATAGATTATCAGCGCTACATCAATCTAAAAATTTCTAATAAATTTTACATTGTACGCATTTCTGATATTTTCGTGTAATATAATAAAATACTCAATGTAAAATTGTATATATTAACTATTTTATGTATAATGTATTATGAATTATGTATATTTTATTTTATTGTTATTGTTATACATTATACACTTTCAATTTAATTGTATTATTATATATTAAATTAATTTTGTAATTTATATTTTATAACTCTTTATATTATATTTCGAGTTAACATATAGTCAAAATAAAATATTATGTATCAAGTTATACAATTATGGAAATTATAACAAAACTATGTGGAAAAGTTATTTATAACACTCACAAAGAGAGAGAGAGAGAGAGAGAGAGAGAGAGAGAGAGAGAGAGAGAGAGAGAGAGAAATGGAAAATATATCTCCATTTTCCGAAAAATGGTTTTATTCTCCGAAATTTCCTTTTTCTTTCTTTCTATATACATAATATTATTGTTAAGTCCAAGCGTATATGTTGATGCTTTCAATATCATTATCCATATATTATTGATAATATTTGAATACATTTGAATACACATATATTTATTTGATGTTGATAGCACCACCAATTTATAAATTGTATTATAATTATAATAAATATTTTGTAATATATTTTTATATGACTGCGAGCTATGTAATTATACACTATAATATTTTATAATTATATAATATATATTTTATAAATTCTTTGTATTATATTTTCTATTTGGAAAGTTTGAAAAATCTACACTATTAAAAGAAAATAAAATAAAATTTTACCTCCTCGATTGTATCTCCACCTTAACGAAGGCATTTGCCGGGTGAGGAGGTTTGAGTACTCTAATGAACCTAAGAGCTATGCCGGCGGTAACGTAGGCCAGTATTCATATATAATCTGTTCTTATGTTTAAAATTATCTTAGATTGTATCTTAAAATTTTATTTAGTCAATGAAGTGGTCACAGTATTTTCTTTGACTGAAGACGGCCTTAAATATAAAAACAGACTATGAATATTAGCTGTAGTTATCAGTAGGGTCACCCATGCCGGACAGGTCGAAGGGGAAGAGTCTGACTAAGAGAGATACACAAAAATTACATAAATTATATGTATTATAATAATATACAATAATAATATATAATATATAAATTATATATCATTAATCATATATATAAATTATGTATGTTATATTAATATTTTTGAATAAATTGGAAGCAAAAAGAAATAGTAATCGGAAGAATAGAGAAAAGTCGCTTCAGTGAATTGAATATTTTTTAAGAATGCCTGAAGATAAATAACTATGGAAGATATTCCAACAAACATCAAGAAGGAGGAAATGCATGTGCCTATTATCTTAGGAATGCGACAGTATAACAATCGAAAGATTCGAAGAAGAGGATAGCGTTAAGTAAAAATTATATAGTAATAATTAAGAACGAAAAAATAGCTTGCAATTATATAAAATCTGCTAATATTAATTATATTTTATAATTGTTATATTTTACAATTTAGTATTAGGGTATAGGTATTAAGTATTCAAATATTTTGCTGTTATGGAAACTGCAATAAAATAATATAAAACATGTTTGTGTGTTATATAGAGGGGAATATATAATTTCATTAATCTACAGAATACTAATTACGTTCAAAAAGATTAAATAAATTATAAAAGATTGAATTATTATTTTGTGGACATTTAAAATCGTTAATTATTACAGATAACGAAAAGTTCTTGAGGTTATTGAAAGAGAGAGCAAAAGTAAATAAAGAGCAAGCCAGATGACATATAATACATATATCATCAAAAAAGTTTTGAAGTCTTTTACATGATACTTCTTTTACTTAATATTATAATTTTTTGCAAGCATTATCTTATCATAAAAAATAAACTGCATTGTATTCGTTTACAATTAATAGAATGTAAATATCCTATAAAGTAAAAACTGAAACTTTTATTTTTTATTTTATTAGTTTAAAATTTTATTTTTATTCATTTTTAATAGAATAATAAGAATTTTACAATTAAATGACATCAAACAGGACATAAATCGGATGTATTTTATTGTTAAATATGTAATAAAAAAATTTTTATTATTAGACTAAATTATAAATTATTATTTACGTCGTGTTTAATGTCATTTTAAATCGCAAAAATCTCACTAATTCTTTAAAATTAAATAAAAATAACTTTTTTAAAATTAAATAAAAATAAAATTTCAAACCAATAAAATAAAAAATAAAGGTTTCAGTTTATATTTTATAGGATATTTACATTCTCGTGAGTTATTAATGGATAGAAGAAGCAAGAAAATCGATTGTAAGCGACTTCGAAATTTTTCGATGATAGATCAAGTGCTTTGCGAAAATATTAAAAATGTGTACTATACATCGGAAAGAAAGGAGAAAAGAGAGAGAGAGAGAGAAAGATCACAAAACTTATTTATATTGGAAATTTATTTAATATACATAAGCGTATTGTGTTCTTCGTATTATTACAGTTTTTGTATCATAAGATAGAGAAAATAAAATTAAAGTTGAATACTGAATGTGCTCTAAAGTAAATCTCTAAATAAATAAATGCATAAATGTGCGCCCCATATTCCTCATGCAAAAAATACATAATATTAATTTTTATGTATTATTATTTTTAGATTTTTATTCTTTTAAATTCTCTAGATGCACTTTTCATTTCTTCTTTCTTTCTTTCCAACTACTAAATATAGATCTATCATTTTTAATATAGATCTGTCATTTTTAGTGTACTATTGCAGTAAATGGAATAAAGAGTGTATTATTGCAGTGTGTATTATTGCAGTAAGTGGAATAAAGAGCAAATCTTTTGGCACATTTAAAATGTACAGGAAAGTTTTATCTGATGCGTTTTTTTCAATAGAAATATCTGAAAAAAATGCATACGTCTTTTTTAATCTTAGTCTTTCTATATAAAAATTAGAATAATAAATTTGCAAAATAATTTGCTTTAATATATTTTTATTGCAAACATATGAAGCAAAGTGCTCAAGGTGCATCACTATGAAAACATCGATAGAATAAAAAATAGATCGCATACAAAAAAATTAAAATATTTACATTACATATTTGATATTTCTGCAAATATTTCCATTATTTTGAGATTGATTTGTTTCATGATATATTGCAATAATTAAAGTATGATTACTGATATAATCTGGCATAAGACTACAGAGAAAGCCAGCTTTAATTCTTTATTTTGTTCAATATTTTTAATAATATAATAATTAAATTAAAGTTCTATGAAAATATGCTTGAAATACTAAATAAAAAAGATTGTTTCTTATGTACAACCTTATAAAGTTTAAGTAAATAAAAAATCATTATACATATATTAGTTAATAATATACATATATAAATTGATAATTAAATAAAACAATTAATTAATTAATCGACACAATCCACGTTTTTTTAGCTTTATGTCTAACATATATATATATATACATATACATATACATATACATATACATATACATATACATATATATAAGTGTATAAAACGACCGTATGTTCATGCTAGATTCATTAATTATTGTGAATCTCAAAATAAAGTACGAAACATTATTGCGTATGATCTTTTTTTCCTTTTAGTAATATTTATTATTGGAGTAACATACACATATATATTTTATTAAAATACTTTTATTGAAATTATTAAAAAATTAAATTTTATGTGAAATAAAATAAGCATTTTAATTTTATATTTATTATACACGCATATACATATATATTACTTTATAATATATGCTAAAGTGAAAAAAGATCACGCGCTGTTAATAATATGTAATAAAAATTAATAAATGTATGATATGTTTCGTACTTTTGAGATCCACAATTATGGATCTAGCACGGACATGAACCAATCGGTCGTTTTACCGTGGCAGCGAAAAGTGGATCCGGCCACGTAGTACCGCCGGCCGTAAAATGGATCCAGTTAGCGCCACTTTATGGCGGGGAAAAAGCGTTCCCTGAAAAAGGGCAGCATGACCCCTCTCAGGCTTCTCTCTGCTGTTGAGATCAAAAGTGCGGGCGGTACTTTGTTAATCTAGTGACTTTAAGGGATCACTTAAAAGCAGATCCACATCTCGCAGTCTTCTCTCTGTTCTTACAGTTCTTATTTCTGGTTATATTTACAAACTAGAACATATCATATAAAAAAAATGTGAAACGCTTTCATACCGCGAGAATCACAAGTTTTTATTTAGACTGATATCAGTTATATATAAACAAGATGTCTAATGAAAATGTGCTGTTTTTAAGAGGAAGTGGAAATGTATGTATATAAAAAATATATTCATGAGAAAATATATAGAGACAAAGATCTTTTATATCGAAATTGGGTCTATCTTTTTCTGTGCCTTGGTTTAATATGTAGTCTCTTTGAATATATTCTATAATACTTATTTAATAATTTTAATTCTAAAAAAAATATATTTTGAAAGGGATATAAATTGAAATGGAATAGAATAATTAATAATTTAAAAAAGTTTAACCTTAAAAATTCAATTTAATTATCAAATACTTAACTTTGTGGAGATAAAGTCTACAGCAGTTATATAAAAATAATTTGTAGAAAAGTGAAGATGAAGATGTTTGGGATGATACAGCATTAATACAAGCATATGATAAGGCTGTAACTTTGGCCAAGGAGGAAGTAGCAAAACGCATTGCTATGGATGTATGCAATCAACAGACAACACAGAAATCACAAAGTTATAAACATATGAATCATACAAAAAAGATTCCCACGGTATAACGTTCATATTTATTATCATCATTTATGATATAAAAGATAATACAGAGATTTGCATTTTACTGTTATATTATAGAAATGGAGTATTGGTGCCCCATGTCGTGCAGTTTATTCAGTAGATGGGGAAATCTATGAAGCTATCATAATAAAGATTCATGAGGAGTCTGGGATATGTACAGTGAAATTTGTTGGTAATTATTTTGTATTAAAGTAATATTATTTTATTCTAATATAGTATTTGAAAGCAAGTAAAAATATTCTTACTAATTATATTAAACTAATATTACTACTATATTATCTAATGTATCCAAATATTAATACTATACTATCCGATGGATATATATCTGATGGATATATTGGATTATATTCAATGGATACAATTTGTAATGATAATTACAATTTACTGTTTACAGGATATCAAAATGTAGAAAAAGTAAAGCTGAGTTCTCTTATGGAATCAGGAGGACTGCAAAGTCAGATTGCTCAGCAGAAAGATGCATTAGCACAAAAAAGTAATGAAGAGTCCATAAATTCCGATACATCTGCTTATTCGTCTCAAAATTCCAAACAAATCAATGGTGAGAAGATGGATTACGATATGGAGGATTCCAAACCTTTTAAAAATAATTATATGCCTGGACCTCCTTATTTCAATTCGATGGTAGATGCAATGCCACCTGCACCACCTTTACCACCACAATTGATGGCTAAGTAAGTTGATAATTTAGAAATATAAAAATGAGTGTATGTCTATATATATATATATATATATATATATATATATATATATATATATATAAACTTACAGATTACCTGAGAACGATGCAGATGCATTATCTAGTATGTTGATGTCATGGTACATAAGTGGATTTCATACAGGTAATTATTGAGATGTGTTTAATTTCAATCTGTTGATTTTTATTTATCTATCTACTTAATGTACTATATAATAGAGAGTATTATAGTATAATATTTTCTTAATAGAGTATTGTTACTCAATTTTTCTAACAAAGTATTTTTAAAGTCAATTTTTCTGTACCAAATATGTTAATTTTTGAATCATAAATAATTGATATCAAGTTTTTTTTAGAAAATTAAAAAATCTTTAAATAAAGATTTGTTAGAAAATTTGTTAAAAGATGAAGATTTGTTAAAAAATCTTTATTTAGTTTTCATTCTTCATTTAGGATTTATTTTAATCAAATTGTAATTTAAAGTTTAGCTAGAAGAAATCTACTACTGATTTAAAAAAAGATAGCATTTAATCTTAAATATTTGCTATAGAAAAAACGACTTTAAAGTAATCAACAAATATCTCTAATATTTTTAATTATATAGGTTATTATCATGGATTAAAGCAGGCTAAAATCAATCAGCAGAAGAGAAGAAATTGTCAATAAGTTGTTTTTGACATATTTATCTTTTGATAGGATTTAACAAAAAAAAAAACTTTTTACATTACACATTGTATCAACAAATTTGCATTAATAAAATTCTACATTCTTATATATCTTTCAGATAAAAATATTTATTCGTATCTAAATTTATCATTAATGAATGCTTAAATGATAAAGTAAAATTTTATTATTTAATTATTAAAATTTTCATACCATTTGCATATTGCAAAAAAAAATTAATTTTTACCATTCTTTATAAAAATATTCAAAGTATCATTTTTCAAACTTTTTGAAACAATGTATTTTTAGATGTATTAGGGAAATAAACTCTGACATTTATGGAATATATATATATATATATATATATATTCCATAAATATAATATAAGAATTTTATTCCCAACTTCATAAGCTAGATAATTATATTGTAATAGATTGTAAATAGATTAATTAAAATCTTATGAGAAAAATATCTGAAGATATTTAAAATATCACTATTTCACAGGAAAAAAATTGAAAAAGGGAATTAGATTTATAGGTTGTACATCTATCTAATTATTATACATGATCTGTTTATTGTACATGTTATACACATCTATTTTCTTGTTATAATTGTGATTTCAGCTTCCTTGCTATTTTCCTATTTACTTAGATGAACCAAATTGTTTATGCCATTTCATATATTGCGCATTTATATGCTTGGTAGTGGGTTTCACATTGTGTTTTGCAAATACAAAGTGATTCATTGCACTGATTAGACCATCATTCTCAATATCGCTCACAGAAATCGCTTTAGTCTCGAGACTCTCCCAAATAGGTCGTAACTGATTAATCCATGCTTCTTTGCACAATAGTTTCAAATCCGCGCAAGAATATCCTGCTGTTTCTTGCGCGAGTTTAAACATTTCCGGTGAATCGTGTAGATCGGCGCGAACATAAAATCGTAATATTTCTAATCGACTATCCTCGTCGGGTAAATCTACAAAAACTCGCTTTTCTAAACGTCTCAACAAGGCAACGTCTATGTTCCTAAAAAGAATATAAAAATTATTTGGAATTGTAAGATTAAAAAAAAAATTAAAATTAGATAAGATAAAAAGATTCTTGTGGCAAATAATTTTCTGAATAAATACATATCACTGTGCTGTTTGAAAAAATAATCTTTTAGATATATTTAATATTGAGTTATTTAATTTAATTACGTAGATATAAAAAAATATATTTTTGATGATTAATTTGGCCTTTTAATCTTTTTTTTGTCAAATCTGTCAGCAAGATCAAATTGTCAAAATTATTCTTATGGAATTGTTTTTTACTTTACCAGGGAACGTTTGTAGCTGCTAATAATATTACATTTGTATAATCCATTGATAATAATCCGTCCAATCTGGCGAGAAGTTCCGCTCGAAATCTTCTAGCAGGTTCCGAACTTGACGAGCCGCAATCAGTAGTATTCGTGGTTGTCCAATCGATTTCATCAATAAAGATTATCGTAGGCGCGTAATGTTTAGCAAGATCGGTGAGTACCTAAAATTAAAAAAATTCTTTAATTTTTTAGAAATATAAAAGCTATCAAGAAATTAATTAATAATTACTGATTATTATTGTTATAAATAATTATATTAATATTAATTAATAACTACGGACCCCGGGTTTCACAATTTTAATTACATTTTCTTTTTTATATTTTTCATTATATTGTTCTTTTAATTTCGATTTAATTTAAATCCTCATAAATATCTATTATAAATGTCTAAAATTCTGACATTATAGAATGCTTAAAAAGTTAGAAATATCTTCTCTATCAATCTAATATATCTTATATTCTACTTACGCGAATATATTTTTCGGAATCGCCTCTCCATTTGCTAATAATGGAGCTAGAAGTGATATTAAAAAAAGTCGATTGACATTCGGTGGCGACTGCTTTCGCGAGCATTGTCTTGCCTATTCGAAATGAGAGTTTTCTTCGTCAATTTTCCGCTAATCGTCAAGTAATTTCGCGATTACATACCAGTTCCTGGTGGACCATATAACAATACACCTTTGCAAGAACCGAGTTTCCCGCTAAACAGACTTGGATATTTCATAGGATACAATATAGCTTCTTTTAATAATGTTTTGCAATTTTTCAGTCCCTTTACGTCGTCCCAATGAACGTTCAATTTTTGTTGCACAATTTCCTGTGAATTATATATTATCTTACATCGGCCTCTTTGTTCATGATTATTATTATACTCTTGAACGAGTATATTATAAATATTTATTGTGTAATGTAAAACAATGCTCCCAGTTTTATTATCAACTGGAAATTTAAATTATCAAATAAAACCCATAACACGTATATACACACATTTTACAAAATATTATATAAGTATGATCGATGCAGAGAGAGAGGGAGCATTATTTCTAATATTTTTAAGTATATTTGATATTGATATTGATATTTAATGAATACACCCAAAATTAAATTAAATTTAAATTTAATGCATCTATATTTAATGAATACATCACACACAAAATTAAATTTAATTTAATTTAATTAATGAAATATAAATTGATATTAAATTGATAAATTGATAATTGATATAAATGTGGTTTAAGACTGATCTAGCATATATTTATCTGTTTCTCGTCTGTTTCTTACTCGTGATATAATATCGGCGATTTCCTTCAATTCGGAGCCGACCGGATAAAGATTATCAATAGATCTCGGTAGTCTCTCATTATCCGTAACAATTTCATCGGATATTGACCCTTGTATGGCAACTCGATCACCACTTTCCGTGGGAAAAATTGGCGTCACCGTGATACCGAGATTCAATTCATTCCACGCAGATTGTTTTTGCGCAATTTTACTTCTTCCGATATTGTTACATTCCTCGATGAGACGACCATCCTCTTGTTTCGAATTAGGAACTTTTGTAATTCTTTCTTTTTTATTGCTGCTCTGCGAAAGATCAAAATTTAATTCGGAAAAATCAGAAGTGCCTCTTATCGAAAGATTTAATAATGAAAATGATTAAAGTACGACACGATACTTAAACATGATCTTTAAAAATTGTTTTTAACTTATATATTGAATATACATAAATAAATAATATAAATAAATTTTGCAAGAAGAAATGCTGATAAAGTAAATTAGTAGGTATTAATCTAACAATTTATATTTTTATTGCATTTATATTTTTTAAAATATTATACTTTACTTTCGGGGAGAAATATATCTTTCAATCTGAATGCAGACTTATTTGATATTATTTCTCATATCCAATAAATGATCAAAATTATCGCGCTGCATGTTAAATATCTAATATTTTACGTCATTTTACTTCTCATAATAATTTCTGTATTTCTTACACATTTTGTGTCACGATTGCTTCCGTCTTCTTGCATAATTTCGGATACCTGTTGTATTTGGCATGATAATAGTCGGTATATTCAAGAATAATAGTCTCCAGATCGATATTATCGCATACGTGAATATCTCGGGACAGCTGAGCTTCTTTGACGAGACTCTCCGCGGTATTAGAATATCTATAATGTCAATATAATTTAATTCTCGTAGATAATGATTAATTATCTGATCGTAATTAATGATTTTATACAATTATTATGATTCATCTTAATAAATTTTAAATTGCGATTTAAAATTCATTAATAATTATAAAAAAGTATTTGTTTCCATTTCTAAATATTAAAATATTTTTACACAGGACGAAAATAATGAAATAACGAAGATTGAAGAGACATATTGTCTCATTCGTTATTCTTTTTGTATTTAAATTTTCACAGTAACATAATAAAGTTTTTATTACATTAATAAGATGATAATTTTAGTGATAAATTTTCGACAGTACGCGATAAATATTTTAAATATAACTACTTACCCTTGTTCTCGTAAAAAAGCAGTGATAAGATAAATAAGATGGCGCCGACGCTCTTGGGCACGTTTCTCCTCCTAATTAATCAATAATAAATGTATTATAATTTATATATATTTTTCTTTTGAATTATAATTATAATGTTACGATTGATTTAGAGATTATTTCAATTATAGAAATGGAGTGGAAGGGGAAAAAATATTAAAGTTTTCGGACTGATGTCAATGTCCTTTGATATTTATAAATTTATTTTCTCTAATAATTGTTGTTTAATATTTATAGATTTCTCTAATAATTGTAAATAATCTGCAAGTTCTTTTACCTTGATATTTTTGCGCACTACAATTTCGTTTATTTAACACAGAAAGAATTACTGTTACAATGTAATTTTAAATCATTTATTTCGAACGAATCTACAAATTTTGTCACTATATATTTATCGTGATAAAAGGATAAGCGATTTAAATATATTTTGTCACATCCGCGATTGAGAATTGAATTAACCGTGGAATGATATCGAATTTAAATTGTAGAAGAAATTATTCTTAGCCTCATGATGCACTTATTCCCCATTGAAAGGTGTATCTTTACGTTTTCTCTATATATAAAATCTTGATATAATAAGTCACAGGATATGCAGTAATTAATCTTTCAATTCATTCCTTTCGCGCCGCGTTTATTAAATACGCGAATCTTGATTCTCGAATGGTTTTACAATGCGTGTAGAAATTTAATGTTTGTTTCTTAATAAGATATGCGTGGCACAGAAGTTATAGTAATGAAAGATTTATTATAACAATTGGAACGTATATTAATGTGGAACTCGTTGAGTACAGAAATAAGATGGAAAAAGCATTCATATCGCATAAATAAATTTTTCATGTAAAGCATGTATTTATTATTCAGTAGCACTAATTGAGTTGGAACAGAATATAACGTGTGCCACGGTTCTAAAAATATATTCATACCCTCACCTTATCCCTCGCCAAATGAGCAGCACGTCCGGCGGTCGCGTTCAATGACAGACAATCGTTCATGTCGCGGAAAGTGACCGAATCTCCCTTTTACGGCAAAAATCGACGTTAATCTTCGATGCGATAGCCTTTACTTACACTTCTGTGCTCGGTACATACTTGTTTGAAGGATATGCGATCCTACGGTCGTCATGACGATGTCGATGCGGCGCATCGCGGCGCGGTTGTCAATAGAGGTCAGAGAATGGCGGGATAAAATTGCGGAAATGGAGGTAAATCGCAGTCAAGTGATGATAAATGTAAAAGAGGATGCAGGAGAGGACATACGGTAATTGCGTCGGTGTTTTGTCTTACGTGTAACTGCGTAATTCGATTCATTCGTTTTAATCGCGCAAGTCTTTAATATTTCCTTCATTGTGAATTGGCGAGATTCCGTCTTATGAAGTGTCCGAGGATAATACATCTGCGTCGCTTTTCTTATCCGCTCACGCATTTCTTATTTCGGAATAAACATAATATATATATGAATTAATTCTCGTGGGATGTAATAAATTTCTTCCATAAAAGTATCGAGTTATTAATGAAAATGCAAAGGAAATTCTTATTTTTTAATAAAACTTAAAAGAATTTGATTTGATGAACTTCCAAAGAATTTCAGTTGATAGTCAATTAGTAAGGTATTTAATAATAAAATTAAAACGTAAAAAAGAATTGGGGAATGAGTTATTAAATTTTCATCGTCAATTTTAAAGAAAATTCAAGATTTATTCACAGATTAAAAATACGTGAAATAATTTTGATATATTTTGTATTATCCATTAAAGTTTTAATGTTTTGTTAATATCTGTTTTCTCTCGCAAAATTTCATTAACGCTCTTTTCTTCAAATAAGATTTTATTAATCGATTCAGCGCTTTGTTTTATTCATATTCTATTATAGCACATATTTTAAAGCTATTTCAATATTGCAATCTCTACTATTATTTGGGAAAATCAAAAATGCGTTTTCTTTTAATAACGATGCAACTGATAACATAGATAATAATTACGCACTGGAGAGTTTAATAGGATTGCGTTATACGTTTAAATATGGTATCTTAAAATTATACTTTTTTATATAATTATATTTTTAAATATATCTTGAGATATGTGAAATAAATGTTTCATTCAATTTGTAATAATTTTGGAACATTTTTTTAAAGGAAATAATTAAAATTATAAATAAATGCGAGTATTTATGTGTAAACTTTAATTGTTATTAATATATAAACATTTTGTTTAATTTTACTACTAATAGAATTATATATGTATATTATTTTCTCGTCAAAAAACTGATATTAAAATTCAAACTATGTTTAATGATAATTAATGCTAATATACAGAATGTATATTAATTTGCATTAATTAGGAAATTAGTGATTTATACATCCCACTTTTCGTATTTAATTCAACATTTTATCACATTTAAAATATAATAAATTTTATAACAATAATTTATAACATAATACTCTCTCTACTCGAAAGAGTTTAATTTCAAAGAGCACGAATTTTATTTTTCCGCGCTGTTTAACAATTCAATATATCAAATGTTATAAATAAATTTTCAAACGAATCATGTATACACTTTGCCTTATCCGATATCGCGAAATTTGCTTCACCATCTTATTATCTTATTATCGCAATTTAAATTGAGAAAAGCACAAATTCGATGATTGCGACGAATGCGCTTTTTCGACGATGGCAACGGGTGCGTTGCGCTTCCACAGGGGGGGCTTCGTCGCAGCGTGATAAGAGAAAGAGGGAGAGAGAGGGAGAGGAAGAGAGGGTGCGAGAAAGGCGAGGCGCGGTGCGCGGAACACCTTCGATCGACCCTCGCGAGAGAGGAACAAGCTCGTACTGCGACAGAGTTTGGTCAGTCGGTCGGTGTCGTTGCCAGCTGGTGCATCACGTTAAGTCTCTTCGGGATCTCGCGACGAACACGCAGCCGGTGTGGTTTCATGATCACACCCTTTTCTCTTTTTTCTTCTTTCTATCCGATCTCTCTCATCTCGTGCGAACGACTCATTTTTTTTCGCGGAATTGGTTGCAGGATCGGAAAATTTGAGAGATATCACTTTCTGTCAAAATCTTGCACGTACTTCTCTCCTCCATCGAAGAAGAGGGGGAACACATGTGTGCACGGTAGAGCGGCGCATGAGGGATGATGTGAGGGGACACAATACAGCATGAAGGTAAAACGCAGCCCCCCCCTTGACTTTCCCCTTCCTCTTTCATTCTGCATCCGTAGTGCGTGCACTATTATGCGGATTTCCGATCGGTCTGGATAACGGACGATCATCCCCATAGAGAGTGCATGGTGAACGCGCGACTTGGTCCCGCCGCGTCAGTCGCGGGATTACTAATTGTAAGCCGTTCTCCGGGAGCTTGACGTCATTCCCCTACTGATTGACGATGGCTTAGAACCTCAAGCAGACGGAGAGTCGTGTCGTTGACATCATTTTCGCGCGGTTTTTGTCCTCTTTTCCTTCTCCAAGGAAGAGTCTTTAAATCATCTTCTTGTTCTCATTAATTTGGAGGGGAATAAAGTGACAAAAGAAAAAAATTCGCTTCTTTAATTGTTTCTCGCATTAATGTGTTTTTTATAGAACATAATATTACATTTAAATTTTCTAAGATATAACAAAGCATATTATATAACATATAAATAATAAATACAATTTCTTCCCCTAAAATTGAACATGATTTGAAATTAAAAATAACAATAATCGAATTATAAAGTTTTTGCGGATTGTAAATATAATTTCTCTGAGACTCACACACATGATAGCAATTTAAAATACTTATACATAGTTAATGTAATATTTTATATTATGGCATTACTTACACAAAGAAAAGTTAGTTCAGATAGACATTTTCTTTATGAAAAATATGTAGAAAAAAATAGAAAAGAACTTAACAGAATGCAGCTTCCTGCATGAAAAAACTGCAAAAAAAATTTAATTTTTTGTTTTTACTTATATATATCTGAGGAAAGTTTTAGAGCGAATTGAAATTTTTAATTTCATCATGAACTTGCATTTTGAACTCTAATTTTAAGATAAGCACTTTATTTCCGAGTTATATTAAATCTATGGATTTATTAAAGCTTTAAAAGAACTGAAAAGTTTTATCTTGCAATTAAATCACAGAATTAATCAAAACCAATTCATGTTACTATGAAACAAACATATTTTAATATTATGAATAGAATTTCTTTAAATAAACTGTAAATAATTTTAATAATTTAATTGCGTACGTGTGTAAAGAAAATGTATGAAATATGATTTATATAAATGTAATTCATATATATTCTAATTCTAGACAATAAAGAAAGATAGAAAATTACTTCTATAGATATTTTAACAGATTTAGAATTAATCCGATTGATATTAAATTCGAACCATTTAATCTTTATTTGCTTTGCTCGAATTTTGTCGATGTGCTTACAGAAATAATAGAAAAAAACAGTACCTGTGAATTCCCTTTGAATACTCTATTTCCCTTTGCGAAAATGTATGATATACAGAAAAAAGTTTTCTAAAAAAAAGAATATAAAATATGTGTGTGTGTGTGTGTCAAATGTTAAAAAAAATATAAAAGGGGAAATTATATATAACAAATAGAAATTTAAATAAAAAAAAATTTTTAATAGAAAACTGTGTTAATTGTTGATTGTTGAGAAACAAATATGTATATATATATATATATATATATATATATATATATATATTGTATATGCAACTATAGATAAGTATTGTGTCCCATCCATTTATGATGGACACAATATACATCATATACATCATATACATGCTAAGTATTTTAAAACTTCTTTAAAACAAATTTCTTATAATCTTAAATGACAATTTACTGTTCCACGCAAATTCTTATCAAAATTATATAAAATAAACCTAACTAAAGTGAATTATAAGAAAGAAATGTTCAAATCGGAAATTAAATTCTGGATGTATTTCTGCAAATTTAAATTATTAAAAAATATAAATTATTTCGACATATTTCTTAATAATAGTTTATAAATATATTTTAAAAGTTATAATTTTTGTTATTTTTCAATTTGTGTACGAGATAGAGATATTCGAATACAATACTTAAGTATTCATGTTTAAAGTATCTTTGTATGTTGCGTTAGAATTTATTTGACGATAAAATAAAATCTTGGCGAAAGTTGCTGCTGATTAAATATACACGCAACAGCGTAAATTGCAATCGGACAATTTGACAAAGTTTGTCTTTGTATATTGGATCATGCGGTAGCTTTGAATACACGTCATGTCGACGATCGATTCAAAAAGACTCTAGTCGTACTTTACGTGACCTTACTAAGGAAAAAGCATATTTATATAAGAATCTCAACATGTATAATTGCAAATTTCGATGATATAGATATATTAAACTTTTATGCTAATTAGTTTTGTTTCCATCTTTTCTAACTCGTGTGAATAAATGGTCTTCTTGGCACGACATATCGAAAAATATATTCGCCAAAGTTATCGGTTTGGCCAAAGTTTTCTTACTTTTTTCTTTTTTTAGAAAAGAGTTTAAAAGTAAATTTTGTACGTAGAATAAAAATTTTAATAAATAATGTATTGACTAATGTTCAACTATCTTTTATCATTTTTTAGCTTCATTTTTTATCCTTCAAACACTTATCATTTTTTAGCTTCATCTTCTATCCTTCAAATATTTGCTATTTTTCTCAACAAGAAACTCCTCGAGATAAATTTTACACTCCTTCAGATTATCGAAATTTTTCTTATTAAAAGATTTTCGCAAAAATCGAAATAAGTATCAATTTGACGATACAAGATCTCTGGTGAGATAAGATTTTTTAAAATTTGAACATTGAAATAGCAATCTTTTCACAGTATGTATGCGTGCAGCTAAATGTGCTCATGCGATTACTATCTATTGAGAGAAAGAAAAAGATTTTTCTTAATTGACTTAATATATTAATTTCGAACTCTTTGGCATAATAAACAAGTCTGAACTGAGCTTTTTACATGTTTATAATATACATATATTTACACACATATATATATATATATATATATATATATATATATATATATATTTGATAGAAGAGATTTGATAGAAAAGACCGCGAATTTAGATTCCCTTGGAGTTTCCGAGAGTGATAAAAAGTCAACAAAAAGTTGAATGCAAAGCTTAGACTTTAAGCCTTAGAGAAAACGACACCAATCCTGAAAATTATAATTTTAATGAAACTTTGTATACACGCATCTAGAGGATTTTAACTGCTGAATAGCAATTGAAAAGTTTTAAATTCATCTATTGATAATCCTCTTACATGTATATGCATGTGCAAGATTTCATTAAAATTAGAATTCCCGTATTTGCAAAATCTGTTAGTTATCATCACAATATGACCGCTTCATCAATTTGCAAGTGCAATATTTGTTAGCTTATTTATATTATATTTGATTACGATTGTCAACAAATGCAAATTTTATTGATTTATGTAAAATTATATAAAAATTAAAGGGTAACATTTTTTTAAATAAAACCATGATAATATTTGGCATTAAAAAACAAAATAATTTATCTATCATTAAAAATTAAAATCATAAACTAAGATTTTACATTCTTTAATTAGTTTCAACCGTTAATATTACTATATTAATATTTTAATTTTATACATATACTTTGAATTTTATATTTTTTATATTTTTATATAATTTCGAGATATTCTTACATAAATTCTTATATAATTGGATTTTATATTTTTTATATTCTTATATAATTTCGGGAAAACAATACATTAATATTATAATAAATAATATTGTATAATTTATAAAAAAAATATATTAAGTGAAGATTATACATGTATTTAAAGATTAAAAAGACATATTTTCTCAGCGCTATACTGTTTACATACTGCGCAATCTTCCGCGATAAGAGCAGCTATTCCGCGTTTGTCGCGAATTTTCATTTTCGCAGAGTGTCGAGAATGTAATCGGTCTTTAAGGTCAAGAAGACAATTATTGCGCGATTACAATCCATTAAATAAGACCCACGCGAGATTAGTTCAATACGATAACAAATGTATATATCCTGTCTATCGCGCAGGCAACATGTTCCTGCTACTGTCAGTGCTGTCAGAGCGGAGGTTGCTGCAATAGCCGGACGCTCTTCAACCATTCTGAGAGACCATCTATTGATACGTGCACGTCCCACTTTTCCGAAGTAACCATCCCGCGGATCATGAGGAGAGCATCCATCAAGACACTCACGTGGACGTTCTACTTGTCCACCCTGTTATTCCTACCGACGAAAACAAGTAAGGCCCGCGATATCGAAAAGAAAATAACATCCTGAAAGGCAGAAGATAACATGAACGTAAAATTGATGTACGATTGAAGAATAAAAGCACATAAATTCGCGCGCGATTTATATTGGAATCGTGATTAAACAGTGAGAAAGAAAGAATAAAATAACTAAAACTTACATAGCTTAAGATTTAAAAAAAATATATCTGCAAGATATTATTTGATAAATTTCTAAATGTTATGTGTTTTTGAATACCAATAAATTTATGATTTAATTTATAACTTAAAATAAAAGTAATCGAGGCTCTACTTATACAAAATTACAATTAGTTATAAAGGGCTTGTAGAGCGAGAAAATAAGTATATTATAAAAGTTTAATTATGTCATGATGTACATCAAAATAAGTTTATGTCGACGGTGACATTACAATAATACAGAAAAGATTAAAATATAGGTACGTTAAAGGCGAACGTTTCGATCGATTTTTCGATCCTCTTCAGCGCAAAAATATAATAATACATGAACAGCGAGTGAAATAAACGGAAAAAGAGTTAAAAATATGACCAAATAAAATTTTAAATATAATCTTTTAAGTGATGTTCTTTATATGTTTAGATTGCTTGAATTAAATTTATACATCAGTATTTGTATTTTAAATATTAATTTCCAAATCTATCATAATATCTTTATATATCACTGACTTTCTCAATAATCGAGTAGAATCGTCTTAAATAATCCTATTTTTATAAAGAACGTGAAAATTAACAATTGTTTAAACATATTCGTAAATATTGATTCTGGATTCTTAATAGAATTCTCCAGACTTTTAAATAAATCTTCAAACGACATTATATATTTTTGTGTATGTGATGTACAGTCGGAAATCAGTTACACCTGGCTAATTTCGATCAGCAATATGATGAATTGTTTCAGGTGCCCTGGAAGAGAACTGTACGGATTTCCAAGGCGGTATTATCAGACACGGCCTCCTCTACGTGCCAGGCCCTGCGGTCTGCAGTCTCTGCGTATGTTATCATTCCGAGCCGAGATGGTGCCAAGCCATCTACTGTACGCCACCGTATGTGAGTATCCGGGAAATGTGAAGGATATGCGAGTAACGCGAATCTGTATTTTAGAGGATCGAATATTCCACTGATATTTCGATCATCAGAATAACGCCAGTATTTCTTTGCCAATTACTATAGATATGTAGATAAATGCACTCACACGTTCTATTTAATTTGGATCCATATCTATGTTCATCAGTGAATTGTTCAGAAGAATTCAATAATTATCGAATTTTTGTGCTCTTCTTTCTGAAATCCACGCAATTCAAACGAAACGAAAGAAAATTTTAAAAAATACATCGATCTCTTTCTTTCGATTATCGAAATAAAGCGCGACACATGTGAAATTAATGGCTCGTTCGTAAGAAGGAAGAATTATAAAATTATAAAAAGAAAGAATCAAAAAGGAAAAAAGAAAAGGATAAATAAAACGTATAAAAATAACACGATACACATATATGTACATGTAATTTCGATATAGCGTGTCTCTAACTGCGCTTATTTTATTATGTTTATCACGTCATATCATCCTAATGGATGGATAATGCACAAGATAGCAAAACCGATATTCTTTAGATAATAGGTTGACGAGTAACGAGCAATACATTTATCTGTGCGAATATGAGCAACTGTTTCTAAACAAAAATAGAAATATAAAAATATACATCGAGAGATATACACTTTTTCCTAATTTATCCTTAATTTTCTGTTTTTTATTAATTCAAGATGAATTTATTGCCTTAAGACAATAAGAGAATAAGAAACTTGAATTAATTAATAAGAGAAAGGGTCCAATGCTTTCTTCTGGTTTTAAAAACTGTAAATATGATTGTAGTTTAAAATAAGAGATACATATTTTTTATCTTATTTTTTGCGTTTTTAAAAGCATTAAATATCTTTTCAAAGATAGATTGTTGTATTTCTAATTTTGTCGACATGTGGTGAGAGTTATAAAAAAATTTTAAACATGAATTATAATAAACATATAAACATATAAACGAATTATAATAAACATATAAACATATAAACAGATAACTACTTGCATTCATATTTGCTGATATATTAATATAAAAACAATAATTTTATTTATGAGAAAAACATATCAATATATGTGCATATTAATATTTAAAATATATTGCATAAATATATGTTAAAAAGATTTTTTATTTTTTTTACTTTTTGAACTTTTTTTGTAAAAAGAGACAGCTACTAACAAATGCAATTTATTAGTAAAAAATAATCTAATTTTGCGAACAAGTTGCGTTTCTTTCAGTGATTAACAAAACTTACGCGTGTCTTTTAACTATGTTTTAATTATATTCTTCTATGCTTGCGTTACTGACCGTGTAAATCAATGTCACACACGTGTTGCCGTACAAGTAATACAAAGTTTCGCGTTCATGTTATACATTCATGTGCGCGTATTTAACGACTGTCGTGTCGTTAATAAGCGCATGATTTTACGTAGTATACTAATCAAACTTTTAACAATTGCTCATATTTCTATATTCATATTGAACAATTAATAGCGAACAATATGATAATATAACAGTCATTAATAATATCCTTTAATCTACAGAAATATGTAATTTTTACAAGATCAGTCGAATTTTTTCTGTCTTATTATTATTTTTTACATCTTATTATAATGATAATTATATATATATATATATATATATATATATATATGTGTATATAGGTATATATATTTTTTTTATATATTGCATTAAAGTATTTGAGAATTATAATTTACGCGCGTATAATTATCAAACAATGTTCGAAAGTCGAATGTAATTGAATTATTTAATAAAATTTACTTAATAATAATATTTTTTTTTAATTTGAGACAGAAATAGAGAAATATCTTCTATGCAAATAAGCATAATTGCGATTGCTTGATGGAATGATTAATAATCACTTTATTAAATTTCTTATAGAGACCTCAGTGCCACTCCCCTTGGGGAGAAAAGTACTTTTTTCTCTTCTATTAGGTTTTCTATATAGTCAAAGCAATGTTAAATTAATTTATAATAATTGCGTTAAAAATGTTTAAACAAATTAAAAATATTTAAATATATGTATAAAATCTATAGATAAAATCTTTTATATCTAAAATCTTTTATATCTCTTTTATATCTTAAATCTATATACAAAAATTTTTTGCATGAAATATGCGCGCGCACATATGTATTTTTCGCTAAATTTTTTCAACTTTAACATATGGAGCTCATATTATAGGGCTTTCGAACAAGATATATCGAAAATAGCGCAATACCTAAAAGTTTTAACAACAGGTGTATTAAATGGCCCGTTAACTATTCGATGTGTATGCTGAAGATCACGTGCGCACACATAACGCATGCACATATAAGAATCCGTGTGATGTAATAAATAGGTCTCTCGTGTCAGGTCCGAAATGTCGTACACCCGCGACCGCAGCAAGTTTGCGCGATCCGGTTTCTCGTAAGTACGCAGACGATATTGTTGATAATTACCGGTGCGATTAGCATATAAAACTTGTCGCATGTTGATCGCAATCCAAGTTCTACTGCCCTACATAATTTATACACAGGGGCGAGAAACACGCGTCGCGTTATGCTCTTAAAAACAAACAAGCGTGCATAAATGTTGATGGTATTATGAGGAATTAATTTGTGTACAGTACAATAAAATTCGCATTTACGAAAATATTTTATATAACATGCAAACTAATAACAGCTAAACAGTACGCAAGAATGTGGAAAAATCTGCATAAACACTGTGGATATTAGGTCAACAATATTGCAGAAAAAAAGTATTGCTGACCTAATATATTAATATACATTTTTTTATTATAAGATAAATTCATTGATAAAAAAGCGTGCTCTTAATATAATAGTTTAATATAATTAGTTAATTAATAATCAATATGTAAAAATAAATGTCATAAATATACACTACTCGACAAAAAATAAGGGGCGCTTCTTTTTTCGCTAAAAATTGTTCAACTTGAAAATGTTATAACTTGAAAAAAAGTTATTATCATAAAGTGATTTTTAAAATAATGTTTCAAAGAGCAAAAATTTTTTAGTTTGACATAATATTGGCTAAATTGGAATATTCTTAAGAATTTTTTATATTTGTATAAGAACTTTTTAACAGATATTGTACAGTATTTGTAAATATAAACTGTATTTTCAAAATTCTTTTAAAAGAGTATTAAAAACGATAAAGATTTTGAACGATTTTGCCCTGTAAAATACTATTATTTTAAAAATGAATATTTTTTTTTAATTAATTCCCCATAATTGTTCTTCAAATTCTAGTATTTTCAAATTGAAAATTTTTCGACAAGAAAAAATTTTTTTCATTTTTTTAATGAACAAACATATATGTATATATGTATGTGTGTGTATGTTAATTATCGTTACAGAAAAAAAGAGAAAAAATGCTTTAATATAATGAAAGTTTAATGTAATAAAATGATCCGCGCGGAAAATTTGCGTTGTGAATATATGTATGATCGTTTTAATTTATTGACATATAGCGACCAATACATGCAATTTCGCATATTAACATGACGTCAATTGGACGTGAGGAGATTGAATTAGAGGGATTGAAAAATATGATCAGACTAAAGAGAAAGATGACTCGACAACGCGCGAACGCAGCGTATAATGATAATATGCAGCACAAGGGCAATTAATTATGTTGAAAGCGATGAAATTAAGTGCCATCGCGTTGAAATCGCGTCACGCGCTTCTTATAAAATACGCGTTTTATAAATATAATCTTATAGATCATCTTTCACACTATGCGCATAATTTCACATATAAAACTTATTGTTAGTAAAACTATAAGATTTGTTTTTTGGCTTTTTAGAATGTCGATATGAAATAACAAATAATAACATATGTCATTTTAATTTACAAAAAAAGAAACGATTAATTCTTTTAGATAATAATTTAATGATATTATTTCTTTTTATAAAAAATCTATACTCAAAAGAATTAAAAAGCTTGTGGCTCTTTTTATTATCTTTTTAATAAGCAATTAATATAAACGATAACATCCATATAAAATTATTTTAAAATCCTAATTTATTGCATTATTTTAAAAAGTAAGTATTATATAAAAGCAAGCGACATTTCTTCAATGCAATGCTATTTTGAATAACTATTAAAACTATTACAATCTATCGCTAATGACATACTATTTTAGCGTATATAAATAAATATATTTAATCACACTTTGAGAGTTGTATGTTACGTACTGTAATAATTGCATGAAAATAATAATATCGCGTTGTTGCAATTATTGCGAACTACATGCGAATTAAAACATCACACGTTTAATTCATTTAACAAACATTCACATGCAACAAACATTCACATGCATTCACGCATTACGCGTCAATGGAAAATCGGACGCTCTCATTGAGAAAACAATTTAAACAAAAAAAAATACAAGAGTAAAAATATTTTTTTTTATTCTGATTTTGTTTAACACGATATTATAAAAGTTTGTTGTTGCTATATATTATATATTATATTATTATATATAATATTGATGAGTCAAGATATTAAAAAGAAATGTTAAAAGAAAATATTTGCTGAAAAGAAATAGATGCTGTTTTACTTAAATTTGTTCAGGTGGGGAACTTAATTTTTCACATGGAAACAATATTGTTCTATCGATGTTAGTTTAACCGATAAAATCCATCATATCTTTGCGACCATCGACGAGAAAGTCGGTAATGTGGCTCTTGTCACGAGTCAAACTCAGGCTATGCGCCAAATAACCCGGGTACTTTTCGAGAAATTTGCTCGGAGAAACGCATTCTAGGACTACCAATAGCAATGCAAAATCCATTTCGAATAGATTCGAAGCCCGCAGTGCAGGGGCGAGTACTTAAATTTTTTGGATATCCTTACTGGTCAAACTATGAAGAAATTGGCAATTTTTCCGAATATTGAAATATTACGACTGCAAAATTATTTTAAATTCATACATTTTTGTAATATCAAGATATTTTATCTAAAAATAATTAACAAGATAATTTCGGAGTATTTAGAAAAAAAACTTGTATAATATTCGTCCCGCATATTAAATGAGGGATAATCCTTATTTGATTAATATCTTTAAATCATCGTGCGTAGATTGCAAATAATACGGTCTTTTCTTGATCAATGAGACTTTTTTATGTACACATTAAATCAAATTTTAATCTAAATCTCTAATTTCTCTTGAAAGCAGACCAAAACATTATTAATTCTTTACATTATTTGTGTACATGAAAAAATCAAATTGTTCAATATACATAATCATATTCGCTTTATTTAAATTAAAAACTAAGTTAATCACACTACTCAAAACAAAAATTATTTATCACATGATCAATTTTCATTATTTATCAGATTTTCAAAATTAATAAAAATTTATACTTTTATACATTAATGTTATATTACTATAAATTATAGCGAGTATTCTCGAATATACATACAGAGACGGTTTTATCTGACTGTTTTGAGCTGCATGAATTATAAACCACTTTCGCATAAATGCTGACCGACTTCGATCGCGATTATTCCGCAGAAATGCAAGAAGTTTCGCGTGGGCGAGCGTTGCTGTGAGTTTGAATGCCTCGACGACAGCGACGATTGGACTGGCCCGGACGTGTACAATGTGTATGCCATGGCATCATCAATGGACCAGAAGCAAAATCCCGTCCTCTGTCTGCTCGGACTGATCGCGCTACTGATGGTGCCCTAGTTACAACCTGACGGGACCCGCGATCATCGTCGCCGCCAACCTTGCCCTCGTCAGGAGAATTCGTCCGTTAGTGATATCAGTGATCCGATGATGATGACGACGACAAAGACGATGACGACGATAGAATTGTGCACGAGAAAATCCCGAAACAGGTTTGATTCATGCTACGCAGCTTATTTTGATGACCGATACATCCCTTGCCTATGGCAATTACGTCGTCCGACTTTGGAATAATATGAAATAAATGAATTGAGAACTGATGTTTTTTTACCGATATGGATGAATCCAAGATCGAACAATTGTAGAAATAATTGGAAAGAGACACGGAAATATGGCTTTTTTAATTTGTAAACAATAAATATAATCCTGAAACATTAAAATTATTACGTGACTAAAGCAAAATTGTTACTTTATCTCGCACACAATTATATATCAATCGAAAGGATATTTTTTCATAACTTTTTCAAAAACAAACAATTTAAAAATCATCAAATTGTCAGGCAAAAATTATTATATTAATCAAGATTAAAACGGTATATAATATAATATATTATTTTCTGGAGTTTTTGTTTTCGAAGCTTTCTATATTTGTTCAACTTGTCAAATTCGATATGATAATATTTATCGAGCAGACCTAATATCAAAGTTAAAATCTGCTCCGGTTTTCCATCAATGAATGATATACGTGACTCTCATCCGAACATTTAAATGTCAACTACTATCATTTACGAGACTCGATATTATTTCGAAATACAGCGTATTTTATAGGACACGCAATAAAACACATAAACGAAAATGTCATAAATTGATATTCGACGCTTAATTCGATCATACTTTTTCTTAATCAGCATCAATTCTCGAAGACGATCGTAATTGCGGGCGATATATGTATATGTCGTTACCAAAATCAGCAAAAACACTCGATCGGGCCCTCATTTTATTTTAATAATATTCATGATGGACGTTGAATAGACAGTTGAAGCAAACTGAAACCAATCGAAACTTCGCGTGCACACATACATATGTGTGCGTGTGTGTATGTATGTGTGCGTGTGTTATGTACGGGCGGATGCGCGTATGACAAAATTTTTATTTTTTCATTGTCCCGAAACATGCAATGTGATAACGCGAACGTGTCAGGCAAAGAGATTAATACGCAGAGACATATACAAGTCCGTTGTCAACGAGCGCCTGGGAGCTTCGAGTGTGATATCCCCTTTGTTAACGAGACTCGTTTCAATCTCCAATTGAGTCAATTTCACCGTTCGTTCGTTTTACTTTACGCTAGATTCGCCGGTGATCGAGCGTTTTTTCAAAGGAGTGTCTCGTTGCAATTAAAATGCATAATAAAATTGAGAGAGCTCGCCCTAACAAAATACTATCTTTCATCCGTATCCTTTATTTTGTTTTCGTTTCGTTCTGTGTTTTCGGCAGTTTTTTTGACTTTTTTAATTTAATTCGTGCATGGAGAAAAAACTTTTTATGTTAACAAAAATGATTGGAGATCGAATTTAATGACGATAATTTGAGACAATTTTGTTAAAAAATCGATATTTTAAATTATCTCCATGTACGCGCTATACTATATTTTGATTTTAAATTATCTCCCTTTGTACGTATTATACTACAAAAATTATGCATTGATAGCCGATGCGATGTTATTTGATTGTTTATCATATTTAAATTATAATGCTAAAAATGCATACAACATTATAAATAACCTGGAATTTTCATACAAATCGATTACATAATATTATTAAGAAAACATGTAGCGTAAATATGTTTGATAAAAAATATGTATATTTGATATGTGTAATAATTACAATTATGATTGGAAAATATGAAATACGAATAAAACAGGCAAAAAATTGAGGAAAAATACGTCCTATTCTATATGCTTATGTCAACGAGTTCTCGATTGCTATTATTCATTTGTAATTTGGAATTTTGATTTTATGCTCGTTTAATATTTAATTATTTTGGAACATTCAAATAAGAACAAATAATATTATGTACTCGTTAAAATTTTAGAGATGAGATTTTAGACGTATATTGCATCCCGCGATAATATATTCTTCTATCTCTACAGATTGCAGGACCATTATTCTCGTACCAATTAACGTTCAAACATCAATTAACTATTGGTCGCGTATATATTTCCAAGCGACTGTGGTTACAATAAGCGCCTAGATTTTCATGTAATAACAAATCAATTTACTAGAATTATAATTCGATTTGCCCACGTAACTAATTGGATCGATGAGAAAGCTAAAATTTAAATTATTAACATGAGCAATTTAATATTTAAAATAATCTGACAATTGATATCAGTAATTGATGTTTGGATATGAATGTGGCTTTAGAGCCTCATAGAATCCTCCTTTTATATTGCTCATTAGCATCACATTAAAATAAAATTGTGTTTTACTAATTAAATTGTATTTTTAAATTCTATTTTACAAAACTTATCGGAAATAATCTGACAATTTGATTAAATTTTAACGAAGTGCGAAACGGTATTAATATCGCCGACGATATATCCGAACATGGGGCCACACGAGTAATATATATATATATAAATGTACACAAACGTATTTTTTTTATTTCTTTAGAGAGAAATGTGAGGATAAATATGGTGCTAAGTCATTTCTCATAGAGAGTAATGCTGTATATTATATGAATATTTGCGAATTCTTCCGATATTACGATATTGTATTTTAATATTTGCGCATGTATGCTTGCCTGTGATATTTTTATGGTTCATTATCTATTTTTGTCTTTGGATTGCTAATCATTTCTCGAATCTCGAAGGTTTCGATTAAGAAGCTATAGACGTTTCTAACGAAAACATATCCTTTTCAAAATTTTAAAGAAAAAAGAATGAAATCAATATAATATTGCATAAAGATGAAGATGATAATTATAATAATTAATATAATGATATATTAATTAATATTATATTTATATCGATTCATTATGCAGAAATTCTATTTGCTATATACATAAAAAAATACAAATTACGAAAAAAAGTTGCCATTCCTATTAATATAGTATTTAGAGCTCTAATATATTTTATGTGTATAATATATATACACACGCACACATAGAATATATATATACATATGTATGTTACACAATAATATTTAATTATTAATGTTAATAAAAACGTCCCTATCCTTTATGAATGCGTGAGAAACAAAGAATCGTAGAGAATGACGCGAGAGAATTGTTCTATGAATTTATAGTTAAGCTCTGCTCTCTGTCACACAGGGTATTTGCGAATAATCTTATCCATGATTGAAGGAATATCGAAGTCGAGCATATCAATGTCTAAAAAAGGGATATGTATACGTTAATTTTATATATATTTCTCGTTTTAATTAATTTATATATTTCCCATTTTGCAGATTCTCGATAGTCCAATCCACATTTTCACGACTGATTTTGTTTAATATATGCCTCCGTTGCTAAGAATCGTTCATGTATTCGCGCATTTATATCACATTGACGCTATTTTTCAATTCGCATCAATTTGAAACCTTAAATAATTCAATTGAGCTCTTAATATTAAAGCGAAACTCGTCATGAATGATATTTTCAACGTTATATGACGCATTAACCAGATTATGATGATGATTGGCATGAGAGTGTGTATCCCTTTTAAAAAAACAGAGCTTGGATCTACCTTTGGATTAGCATAAATATCAAAGCGAATGAGAGATATTGCGATAGAACGAAGACACCGGCTCGTATCTGACCGTGCTCTTGCATTTGAATTTTAAATCGCATCGCATATATAAGCAGATTTCGAAAATCAACACGAAACTCGACAAACAGCAAAGTTGTTAAAACAAGTACGATAAAAAATGTTCGAAATTATAAATTTAAGTTTAAGTAAATAATGCATTCGTTCAATACGTTACCTGGCCCAAATGTTTCCAATATAAATTTTGATATTTTTTTTCAAAAAGTTCTACCAGATATTTTTATTGAAGTATCTGATCTAAAATATACATTTTTATATCGCTATTTGAATATTTTTATCGAAATAAAAAATTATGGAACTAAATATATACTCTTGGGGGCCAGGTATTGTAATCGATCTTAAATTGTATGCTGTAAAAATATATGTTTATAACTTTAGATTTAGAGCGAATTTGTTTGACAATTTTATTGTCTCACCTCGAGGAACGAGGCCTTTTTAACTAATGGAAAGCGCGCAATCGTGCTTTTCTTTCGTCTCGCTATTATATTTTTCCTTTTCTCTTCTTCTCCCTATTCCCTTCTCCCAATTCAGCGGAGAATTATTCGACCAATTCCTCTAAGCTTATATTTTAAACTAATGTTTACAAAAGAGAAAAGAATAAGATACATATACATATATTTCTCAAATGTAAATAGCTAGATGATAGCTTTAATATTATTACAATACATAATTACTTTCGATCGTAATTATATCATGTACTAATCAAGGGGCCTTTTATGTATGAATGAATCCATATCATAATAAAATTTAATCCAAATGACGTCTAAATGAACCAGGACCCATGATAATAATTCCCTAATTTTAATCTTCCTTTAATTTTCCTCGAACGACCAAGAAACACATCGTCTTTTGCAGATATATTGATGATAGGAAATATTTAATGATAGGATAAAAATAAGAGAATCTTTATCGAATATATATCGAAGAATATAATGTTTATTCATATAGAAATTGATGATTATACTTATCTACGATATATATGCATCACATATCTCTCTTCAAGCATCGTGTGTGACCTCGATACGAGAGGTTTATCGACAGGATGTATCCGAGTATGAAATTTAGATCGCCCGCCGTTATAACTTGTCGCCGTACAAAATTGCTTAATGGCGCGTAACTGATATCGCCATACGTTACGTCTTCCTAATCTTGCCCTTTCCAAATAGTATCGTACAAATCTGTACGTCGTTGATTGATCGTGGGAATTTGCGTTCTAGCTTCCTCCACGACTTTTAGATCTGTAGCAATATATTTCAATATATATGGTATGCAATATATTACTTCCTATAGTTAGACGCATACATTAATTTTTGTGTCATTTAATATTTATGCATCTATATTTCATTGCGCGATTACTACTTTGAATGCAGTTCGAAATATTCTCAAGGAAGTATTAGTTTTGAAAATATTCTAATTCCTAATGGACGGAGAAAATGTACAGTACAAATTCGTGAAAAATATATTTTCTTTTACAATACTTAACATAAAGCTAGAATCTTTAACAATACTAATTATATATCTATTACTATAAAAATGATAAATTACACATTTGTTCTGTTGTTTGTTAAGAATTATACATTTGTCCGTACTCAAAATATTATATTTGAATAATTACAATACTTATTTGTAAAATATAATATTTATGTATTATTGAATAAAAAAAATATTGTATTATACAGGGTGGCCCCGAACGTTCCAGCCAGACTTTGAGATCTTATAGGAAATTTAATTCTGTATAAAAAATTTCCTATAAACATAGGTCGAAAATTGCTTCCTTAAAAAGTTATCGCTCAAAAACCTTTGATGAAGGAAGAACAAAAGGTGAAAAGAAAATGAAATAAAAAGAAAATGAAACTAAATAAATTTCTTGAAAAAAAAACGATAAAAATAAAAAAATAAAAATCTTTTTCTTTTATGAAAATAAAATAAAAGTTAGTTAAAAAAAAATTATTTTATTTTCATAAAAGAAAAAGATTTTTATTTTTTATTTTTATCGTTTTTTTTAAGAAATTTATTTAGTTTCATTTTCTTTCTATTTCATTTTCTTTCCACCTTTATGCTCTTCCTTCATCAGAGATTTTTGAGCGATAACTTCTTAAGGAAGCATTTTTCGACCCATGTTTAGGAAATTTTTTGTTCAAAATTAAATTTCCTATAAGATCTCAAAGACTGGCTGGAACGTTCGAGGCCACCCTGTATATCAAATAAAATATTCGAATTATCGAATTATCGAATAAAAAAATATTGTATATGATTCCTCTCACACTAATTCCTCTTATATATATGTTTCACGATTACAAAAATTATATTATAATTTTCATTATAATATTTTCTCCGTGCAATTATGTCTTACTTAGTCGTTATTCAAATTTGAGAGGATTAATTACCTATATCAGAGATCACCATACCCTCGTCGGCATCTAACTCATTCAGAATTTCTCCCCAAGGGTTAGTTAACTGAGTATGCCCCCAAGCGACGTATCCAGGCGGTGAACCACGTGCTGGCGATATGCAGGCTACGTATAATTGATTGTCATTTGCTCTGGAACGCTGTAGCAATGACCACTGCAGCGGGCCAGTGATCATATTGAATGCCCCCGGGTATATCAACATCTGACAACCTGATATCACAAAATAAGACGAAATTAATAGCAAATAATAAAGAATAATAAGCTTTAATCAATCTCTTTTCTCATGGAAACTTCAAAGAAAATATAAAATAATAATTTAAGTTATTTATAATTCAAAATTTTAAGCTACCAAGTTATCTATGATTAATGATAACGTATTTTATCATAAAAAAACGCAATAATTTTTTCCTTTTTCAAGAAAGATTAAACTACAGCTCTGAGCATTAATAATAGTGAAATTCTCGTTAAATTCTGCCGCGTTATTTTTACAACGAATTAAACTTTAACATTTTCCATGTAATATTTGTTCACCTTTGTTTCTATACAGTCGTGCCAGTTCTTCAAACCTGATGTCATAGCAAATGCCGATACCGATCTTGCAACCTTTCACTTCAAAGATGGCAAGGGAATTGCCGGGCGACAGGGAATCGCTCTCACGAAAGGTGAATTTGCCTTTAATGTCAATATCGAACAAATGCATCTATAAACGAAGAAGTGTACATTCCATTTATCGCGTATAGAAGCATTTATCTTAAATATATGCGTGGAAAGACTTTGAATTATTTTCATAATCTCCTATAACGCATTTTTTAATTTTTGCATTTTTTATTTTATATATATCACATCAATGTTTAAAATATTTTTATAAATATATAAAACAATATTTATAATTTTTTGAGTAAATATTTTTTATAATATTTAAAAATATGTAAGGATTTAATTAATAAAAAACAATATGTGTGTGTGTGTGTGTGTGTGTGTGTGTGTATTAAATATTTTTAAAAATATTTTTGAAACTTCCTGTATGTGTATACATGCCTGTTTAATGCTAATCTTTACCTTCCTGTATTTAGCTATGAGCTTTCCATCGGGTGCCCATACAGTGCAAGTATTGTACAACTTGTCATCATCCCTTTCCGGTATCGTGCCAGCAATCACGTAAATATTGTTTTTTTTCGCAGCTTCGGACAAAACCGCGCTTGTTTCGCCGCCGGGGATGTTCTCAGCATATTTCGCAAAGTGGGCTATTTATTTTACATCAATATGATATGATAAATAAATAAACGATACATATAATATACAATTATTTACATATGATATTTTTAATTTCTAAATGCAACAATATTTTATTATTAAAAAATTTTACTCTTCTTTTAACAGATATCTACTTGTAATAGAAAGATTTTAAAAAGTTGTATTATTATAAAGAGAGGAATACTAAGAATCCGAAAATATTTTAAAAATATAGGCATACATTAAAAACATATAGGCTTATTGAATGCGAGATATGAAAAACTATTCTTCTTTTTCAAGTAAGATCAGACATTTGAAAACATATCTAAATATCTTGCTGTTTTCGAAAATGCAGAAATGTTACTAAGCAAAAGTGTCGAATTAAAGGAACAATTACTCTCCTTACCCTGGTTCTAATAAGCAAAAAAATTTATTTAATCATTGCTTCTGAAATTTTGATTTAATCGTATTTTTTAACTGCATATTTTATTTTTTAATTTTGATTTAATCGTATTTTTTAACTGCATATTTATAGATATTTTTCTAAGATGCTCACTCTATGTAATATTATATATTATATATTATGCGTAAGTTTGTGATAAATATTTCACATGGGATAATTACATGTTCCGTACGGCGAGTTGAAACATTCCGGCAATGCCACGATATCGGCACGTTCCTGTTTCGCGCGCTCAATGAAGGTTGCGGCTCGCGAAACGTTCACCGGTTTATCATCGCCTACGCTCAACTGTACCAATGCCAAACGCAGTGCTGAAATATATATCGCATACATTATCTTATACATGTTAATTTCTCACAACGTATATGATCAGTTCGAACGGTCATTAACTGCATCTCTAATTTTCTTTTCACATATTATGTAAATAAAATTATAGTCTAAAAATAAATGATATAACGTAACTTTGAAAAATACAATTTTATTAAAAATTTAATTTGTCGTGATTATTAATTTGATCACTGCGTATACATAAAAAAAATTCATATATAATATACTGTATAATAAAAAAAAGAATAAGAGACAGGGCGTCACATTTTATATTGTTATAATTAAATAATATTATCTTAATCTTATATATAATTAAATAATATTACCTTAAATCTTGTGAAAAATGAATATATGTGATATATGAATGAATATATTTGATTCTAAAGTGGCAAATAGTAATATCAATAACTTATACAGAGAAAACTTGAAGTAGAAAGTAGAGAGGGTCTCTAGTAGCACCATGCATGTTATATATGAATGAACGTATACAAATACGTATACATCGTATATGAATGATTTAAATACTGCTTAATTCAGGGTCCGGTAGCCTATGTATGGATCAATGTCAAAGCATGCAATCGATGTAAAATGTTATGCGTGTTTTTTTTACTTTCTCTTTGTTTTTTTATTATATTTACAGAAAAACACACGCGCAATTTCGAATTTTAACGAAACAAATAATTGTCAAACCACTTACTTGCCATTGTTCTTATTCCGCTTAACACGGTGTTCGCACGCAACATGACATTTATATCAGGTTAGGTTTCCGTAGTTATCTCTATGACGTAAGAATATTATCTATGTTTGAAGGAAAAAGGATTTATCTTGCATTTTTTTATCTCTTATTGCGCACTTAATATATCCACATTCAGGTACAAATGAGGAAAAAGGAGAAAGATTCAACGCGATTCCATATTTAATGATTAGTCTAAAATTATTTCGACAACACGCATGTTTAAAAAATATATTCTAGATATCTCTCTTGCGTCTTTTAAATTTTCAAAATATTTTAATGTGTTTTTTGGATTATCGCACGGTGACAGGATTTATTTATATTTTGCATATAAAAATATTCATGACAAATTGCCTAAATTGTTTAATTTTCTTGTACAGAATTCTTTGTTCTTTGTCAAATTTTCATCTCCTTCAATTTATAATAAATCTTTTAAATTAAAAAACATTTTCTATTTTGTCTCTAATTCCTGTACATCGAGTTCTAACGATAAAAATTTAAATAGAAAGTGTTTTTGGACATATGGCTTGAATTTTTTTTATTGATAAAGCACTTTAATATTTTATTTTTAACCAAAAAGTATATCATAGAATACAGAATAAAGATAATTTTAGAAATTTTACTTAAAATATTAAGCCATATGGAAAAATAAGATTTATTAAAAAGACATACACAAATAATGTATCAATTTATAAAAAAACATACACACTATATATATTATCGTCTGCTAGACGATCGAGATCTTCTGTGTTTTTTAGATTTTCTCTTGACATAAGATTCAGATATTTTATCGTTTTGTCGTTCTCGTTCTTTATCTTTTTCTTTATGTTTTTTTGACTTTTTTGCTTTTTTCATTCTATCGCTACTATTGGAACGCCTTCGTTTTCTATTTTTCTTATTATTACTATCACTGTCAGATGAATTCCTTTGCCGCTCCTTTGATTTCTTTGTTTTATGTTCACTGTCTTTCTTCTTATGTTTGCTTTTCCTTTCAAATACATCTAAATCGCTGTCATCATTACTGCAAAGATCTGAATATTTCTGTTTATTTGCATCTTTGTTGTTTTTATGTTCTTCATATTTAGCAACATCTGAAATTAGATTAATTAAATATTAAAGATCAGAACTTCAATATAATAATAGTGCACAATTATATAAGAAATTATTCAGGATTTTTAGAGAAATACGTGACACAGTATAGTATAATCAAATATATAATTATCTCTTACCCTAACAGCACACATGTCCAAAAGATGTCCAAAGGACATCCATAGAATATCCCGATCTCCTATGGATATCCTATGGATATCCTTTGAATATCTTTCGGACATGTGTGCTGTTAGGGTAATAATCTTTATAATCATATATATTGAACTATAGAAGAAATCTTTTTCATTATACATTGAAACAAATTAATTTTCTGCATGTCATCATCCACTTTGATAATATAAATTGATATAAGATATTAGTATAAAAAATTACATTTTATCTTGCATCAAAAATATCTTACGATTTTTAAATTAATTTTAAATCCAATATATTCTCTTGTGCAAAATTTAAACCAATTAATAAAAAGATAAGTTATTGAAAAAGAAGGAAATAATATAATTGTATTATTTTTGTAAGAATATTTTACAAGTAGTTTGGTATATTTATTCTTGCACAATAAAATTTATAAAGAGACATATACAAACTTTTAAAATAGTGTAATATAATTTGATATATTCTATTTTTAAACAAAAATGGATATTGCGAGTTTTTATAAAAAAATTAGTTATTTATTAATTCATGAATATATAAATATTTTCACATGGCTTTTTCCTTTTAATATCATAACTCAATATGATTGCAGAAAAAGTCAAGAAATTATAATTGCTATAATTAATTTGTAGTTTATTAACTGGTTATTAAATTATAAGTTAAAAATTGTAAAAAAATTCTGATGTATGTGTATACACACACTCACACATATGCATAGACATATAATTTACATATATTTATATTTGTTAAACATATCTAAAAAAATAATTTATTTACTAACTTAAAACTTTAGAATTTTTCAAATATTCTGCCTTTGTCACTGCTTGAACTATGCATTCATTCACAGAGATGGTATTTCCATTTAATGCCATTTTTATAATTAATCTTCCTGCATCATCAAAACCTTCTATTTGACCATATGTATTGGCTCGCTTGCCAGCAATAATTTTTATAAAACTTCCTTTTTCTATTTTCAATTCTTCTTCGTCTTCTTTTTTAACTTTTCCACCTTGTTTTTGCAGTGTTATCTTATCTGCACCAAGTCCCATTCCTGCTGGCCGTACTTCATGTACAATAGTTGTTACAAGTCTAAAAAATAATATATAAGAATTTGAAAAGAATATATAAATGATTTGTGCTTAAAAATGTATGCTGCAAGTAAAAAATGTAATTAATATATAACACATATATTAATTTCTATAAAAAAAGTCCTTACTTTGGATTTTTTCCAATCCCTTCTCCAGATTTCCACCCCATACCTCGCAACATAGCAGTTCCAAACTCTTCTATTGGCACATTCTCATAATCTTGTAATAAACTCTGTATAGAAGAAGAAAATATTAAACACATACAATTTTTTCCAATTTTTTTTATTTGATTTTATGACAACATATTATCAATATATTATTAATTTTATCTCACTTACTTCCTCTGCACCATTTAAATTCTGTCCTTTTATTAATGGTAAAGTTAAATCGCTTAATTTATCTTTTTCTTCTATCGATTTGAGATCTTCTATAATTTCTTTAGCTGCTTGTTCATCTAATATACTTTCATTTTCATTAAGTGCTATTGTTTCTATTTGTATATTAGAAACAGCTTGTTGTATATTAGAAACATCATTTTTATTTTTTGCTTTTTCTTTAAAGATATCTGCATTTATTTTATTAATAATTCTATCATGCCAAGTCTTAGATTTCAACAATGGAATAACAAGAGGTTCCTTTTTCTCTTCTCCTTTCCTACGAATAAAAATATTTTTGTCAAATCACTTGTACAATATTATCATAGAATCGATTAGGTTCATCAAATCATAAATTACTTTATAAAAATTATAATATAAACTGTATATGCATTTAATTTTAAAAAAAAAATTTATTAAACATGATATTTGTTAAATTTTATGCAATAAATATATATTAGTAATTTGTTAAAGATATATTAAATTTTATAACAAAATATTCATATTATTCATATCATATATATATATATATATATATATATATATATCAATTATTAAAATTGTTAAAATTATGTGAGGATAAGGTAACAAAGATGACACAAAGTTAAAATTTCAAATATATAGCAATAAATTGACATCTAAAGTATATATCCGTAAATAGCAAAGCAGTAGATAAGATTAGGTTAGGTTGGATTTTGTATGTATGAGTACACATATGATCGCATTGATTTTCCTGTTACAATGAATTTCTTCGACTTACCCGATCACTTTAATCGCCTTCTCATCAAGACATTCAATATATTCCACTTTTTTCTGCTCGTGTAGCACCTGTTTATCCAACAGTGGTTTTTTCACAGATTTTACAAAACTAAACGAAATTTTTTTATTCTCTTCCATTTTGTATTTACAATTATTGTGATTTATTTTCTGGAAGAATATTTAGTTAGCTTCTCTATCGAATATATGTCTTTTCACAAAATGTTCAAGAAAAAAGTCTTTTATTCACTGAACTTACAAAAATTAAACGAGATCATCACAAACCATATCCCGCAGTGCGCAGAACCACAAATCACACGCACACATGCGCAATGAGTATTACACATAGCATGCGCATGCGCACTATACATAATTTTTATCGAACACGTGCATTTTCGAAATAAAGATGAAAAATTAATAAAATTAATAAAATTAAGAATTAAGTCAATTATCAACTTCAAATTATACACACATATAACATGTATCTTTAAGACGTATTTATAGATGTAACAAATAAATATAAATTTCTTTCAGTTTACAAGGGAATGGATTAGAATAAATAAATACATTCTACTATATACATTTAATCTTTTGGAAGAAAGAGTATATGTTTCAGAATAATTAATTTTATAATAAATTAAGATTATTAATAGAATTATATCAAACAAATTATCTTATTAACAAGTACGAATAAAAAAAAGGATATACTTTTTGTTTTATTCCATTAAGTGCATTTAATCATAAACATCAGTCTCGTTTCACTTATGTATATAATTATCCTTTCAAGATCCTTTTTTAAGAAATTGACTAATCAATCATTAATCAAGCAGTATGAAAGATCAAATGATTTCCTCTGGCTATTGATCTCTATATAATCAGAATGACTACTGGCTATTGGCTTCCAAGTCCATATCTGACCAAATAGCTTCGGTCTCACTCTCTTCAGGTGCCTCATCATTATCCGTGTCTGGTAAGCCATCACCAACATCATAAGTTGTATCAGTCTGTTCCTCACCAACAGTCATATAGTAAGCAGAATCCAATTTACTGGAGGAATTGTCTAGCCTGTGCATTCCCTCTAGAGCTCTTCTATTGCTCGGATCCAAACTGAAAAATAAAAAAAACAAACAAGCTTTATCAAAATTCATAATGTAGATCAATGATTGCAGAAATGTGAAATATACTTCAATGCTATGGCATAATGATCTAGAGCTTTCTCTTCATTGTGCACTCTTGCCCACAAATCTCCCAAAGTTTGATGAAGTTTGCAAGTGGAATTATTTTCCACCTGTCTTTCAAGCAATTCAATAGCTGCTTCCAAATTCATCTCTTGTTCATATATCTCCGCGAGCAGGTACACTGCAGGTAAATAGACTTCATCTTGGGACAATGCCTTTTCAAGAAGATTCTTGGCTTTACTCACTGATACAGGATCTTTCATTAAAACAGATGCATATAACTGCAAACATAAAAATCATTATGACGTCTTTTGGATTTTTCTTCAGGCTTTAACTTACCGTTAGGACTCTTGCAGTATGCCCAAGTTGTTTGCAAGAACTGCTGGCGATATTCAAAGCTTCTCGCAATCTGTGCATTCCTACAAGACAATCTACTAAGCCTTTATGTGGTTCATATCTATAGGGTTTTAATTGCACTGCATGTCTGAAAAAGAATAACGCATCCTGATATTTTTTCTGTTCAATGAAAATGTTGCCGCGTAATATGGTGGCCTCTATATCATTAGGATTCAAGTTCAACGCTTGAGCAGTAAGAGTATTTGCTCTACTAAATTTTCTAGCGGCATATAAAGAGTACGCCATAGCCACATAGATCTCGCCAGTACATTCGTTGTTAGCAGTTATCGCTGGTATCAATCTTTCTAAATCTTTGATGTAGTGCATCTTATATAGAATTGCAGCATATATATCCACTCTATATACAAATAACAAACAAATAAATACTATTATGAGAAACAAATAAATAGTATTATGACAAACAAACAAATAAATACTATTATAAGAAATATTTTTTGATGAAATATTTACAAACAATACTTAAAGTTTACATTACCCTTTTGTTATATCAGGCTCAATAATTCGGGCTCTTTTTAGACACATCATAGCATTTTTATCATCACCTGCATAATAATAACATTCTCCCATGATAGTTAATAGATTGAAATTATCCCTAAGCAGAACAACATTATCTAACGATCTCAATGCAGTCACAGCAGGAGTATATTCTCTATTGTGAATATGAGCATGCGCCTTGATCCATGTGTTAAGCCACTCCAAATTCATCGAGTTAGAAACAGAGTTGACAATCAGAGAGTTAACTTCTACACCTTTCACTCCTAAGGACAGGAGGCCTTCAGCTGCTTCCAGAGCTAGCGGACACTCCCTTAAGACTTCTTTATATGTAGTAATGGCAGATCGCTCCATTCCCTGTTCATAAAACATCTTGGCCAGTGCCATATTCACTTTGGCAGTACGCTGCTTGCCAGGTATGCTCTGCAATACTTGCAATGCTTCCTGCAGATTTTTGGATTTCACGAGACATAGATGGATTTGATATTTAATGTTGACATCTGATGGTAGGTCCTTTTGTCCATCTAATAAAGGTTTTCCTGTACCTTTAGATTTTAGCAGACATTTGCGAAATTGCAAAGCCTTTTTATACAGAGTCTCAGCTCTGCGATACTTGCCTAAATAAAAATGAGCATCCGCATAATAGACATACACATGAAACTTGGTGTAACCAGGTAGCATATCAGTATTATGTTCGCTGAGAGAGAGCACCAAGTTTGTTAGAGAGATCACATTTGAGTATAATGCCTGATCATAAAGCAACTTGATTTGTTCAAATATTCCTGACATGGTTAGTCTTTCAATTTATCTTTGACAGATTTTATTTCAGATTGCACACTTTAAATCTATGATAATAATATTGAAAATATGTCTTTTATAAATTTCTCAGAACTCCGAGATTATTAAAACACTCTTTATACATGTACAAAATTTATCGAATCTATCGAATTTTTCAATTATTTTCCTCTTTGCATTTCTAATTTAACATGAATTCAATTCAATAAATTAACAATTTAATTTGCAGGAAATTTTTACTCAAAATAACATCTTGATAAAACACATGTATAGAATAAATATATACATAAAATCGAGAAGATCGTTGTGATATCCTTCGGAGTTGTTTGGTGTGCAAGAAGTTTGCAAAATATACCAACAGAGGACGTTGCAATACATTTGCACGCGCTAAATATATATATGAATGTCACTGAATATATCACTAAGCATCACATACAATTTATATATTGGTAATATTTTTCTTTTCTTTTTCCAAAAATAATATAATTTAAATTCAAAATAATATAATTTATATTATGTATTTTTTATGTAATTTTATTGTATATTGACAGTTATAAATTTCTGCAGTCGAATATCGTATGTATATAAATAAAACTATAACTATAATATACGCTATTTAGAATAATAAAAAACCTATTATGTAGCAAAGAGACCGACTTGAAGTTAAACCGACTTGAAGAGACCGACTGGAAGAACAATATCTATTTTTAAGTGAGAGAATAGAACGCCATCGTATAATTCCGATATTTTAAAAAATATTAAAGATGCAAGAAGGTAAATATTATCCTGAATTACCACACAACTGTATTTATATGACGCTCAACATTTATAGATCCCGAGAAAACCGATCGCACAAATACGCAGAATGTTAAGTTTATCGATAAATTAATCGCACAATGGATAAAACGAACAGGAGGCGATATTCCGCATCAAACGGAAGAGGTGTTTGCATTTTTTTCTCTTTTATTAATTCAATTTCTGAGAATAAAGCTTTTTAACAAATAATTTAAAAAAATAACAGGTAACCGAATATTTGAGCGTGCAGGAAACCACACAACATGTCCTGCACAAGCGGGAACGCATGATTCAAGATCTAAAACTGAAACTGAAGGAAAGCCAGGAGACGGTAGGCTTTTTGTCTACCTCTTTGGAAACGGAAACGCGCAATAAGAAGGAGATTCGTATGAAGTAAAACTCTCTAGTTTGTTTTTGTCATGCTCGCATATCTCTTGTGTCTTGTCTTGATTTTTCTTTCGACACTATAGAATAAACGCCACTTGGGAGTCTATCGAGACTATCACGGAATATTTAAACTACGTCAGCGAGAGTCTCACCAGTTTCCAACAATATGGCGTTGATTTGACCGCTTTATTCAACAATGTGATTCTGAAACAGCAAGAAACTATCCAGAAGTTGCAATCGGACGATGTAACATCAAAAGGCGCGTTCTTATATATATAGTTTGAATCTTAATCGCAAAAGTTATTGTTATAACGATTAATTTGTAATTGTAGGTCTGAAGGATCATATTATACAATTAAAAAATACATTACAGTTGCGAGAAGAAAGGTAATTTTCATATACTATTAATAATTTGTCACATAAATAGATAGAGAGAGAAAGATACAAAGATGTCAAAATAATTTTTCGAGACAGATTACAAGAGGCGATAGTGGAGCAAAATAAATTATGTAAACAACTGGAGACTTCTGAGTACGAACTACAGTTACAGAAGAATGAACTGAATACATATACCAAAGAAAAGCTGATATTCGTCAAAGTATGTTTTCATAATTTTTTTAAAAATTCTAAATTTCAAAGAAATAGTCTTCTCATATTTTAAATTTTTATTGAGAATTTTACTTTTTTTCTATAGGAACAGCAGCGCTTGGTATTAGAAAATGAAAATTTAAAATCACAATTACAGACAATTGAAAAAGAAAAATGTGATATCGCGAAATCAGCTGCACAACTGGAAAACAAGTTGATGCTTCAAGAAGAGAAGTAAGTGTCGAACATTAATCACTCGAACGGCGACATAACAATTTAATAATTTGTTTAGGATGCAAGATGTTTTGAAAGAACAAAATAAATTGCAAAAACAAATAGAAATCTCTGAGCGCGAATTCCTTGAGCAGAAAAGAAACTTGGCGAATTTATATGCTGAAGAAAAGAAAATACTTATCGAAGTACAATCAAATTTTTCCTTCTTTTCTTCTTCTTTTGTTTATTTAATTTTTTTCTTTTTTTTTAATTAAACAACCCAAAAAGACATAATTTTACATATTTATTTTAGGAACAACAACGGTTGTTATCAAATGAACTTGAAAATTTACAATCACGAATTAATATGCTCGAGCAAGACAAGAGTAACATTACAGAAATGGTCGCACAAAAAGATGCGTCTCTTTCAAAACTTCAAGATGAAATTCTTATGTATAAGTAAGTTAAATTAATAAAATTTAATTTAATTTTCCATTATTTAATATTCCTTTAAAAATATTTTTTATATTAAATTATTATATAATATTATACTTCATGTGTGTGTGTGTGTGTGTGTGTGTGTGTGTGTGTGTGTGTGTGTGTGTGTGTGTGAGAGACACTATTTAATGTTTAAAATTATCGTTATTATATAATAGAAACGAAATGCAACTGATGCGAGTGAATAATAACGAAGCAAACATTAAATATGAAACATTAGCAGAGAAACAAAATATGTGGGAGGAGGAATCGCGTACGAAAACGGAAAAGGTAAAGTGTATATGCGGAGACATTAATTTTGATATACTTAGTAATAGAATATTATTATATATTTTCTAGATCCAGAATTTAGAAGCTATGTTAAGCGTAATAAAGCAAAGAGAGAGCAAATTGATTAACGATATAAACAGATTGGAGAAGAAATTAACTAATGAAATGAATTATTCCAAGGATCTCTTAAATAAACTTTCGAAGGCGCAAGAAGATTTGCAGTTTGCACAAAAGAAAAATATTGAGACGCAAAAATCTTTAGAAATTACTAAGAATACTAACGAACTTACCAATATCGAACTTCAGCAACAACTAAAGATTCTTCAAAGGGAAAAGGAAGAGATTATAAAGCGAGAAAATATGAAGAATAAGGTAAAACGTGAACAAACTTATTTACATAAAAGCTTGTGCTCAAATTCGTTCAATAAGTTTCTTAAATACTTTCAGAACACGGAGATTTTGTATGAAAATACGCAAGCCAAGCATGCTGAAGAAGTATCAGCCTTGAAGAGAGATTACGAAACACAATTATTGGAGTTGAAAAGGACTACAGATTCCCTGAATGATATGATTAACAACGTCAGAAAAGAGAATACCACGCTGAACAAGTCCTTGATAAAAACACGAGAGGAGAATAGCAACTTGAAATACGATTATAAATTGAGTATGAAGAAGAATGAAGATCTTCAGGAGAAGTTAAAAGAAGCCACGAAAGCATTGCAAGCGAAATCAATAGAGGATCGAAAATCTACGAGTGAATTTCAGTCTCAGCCTAACGTAAGTGAATGCGATTATGCTAATTGTTATCGATTATCCGTCATTTTGCGGAATATGAAATTAATGATACAGGATCTTACGAATTATTATTCTTCGAATTATTCTGCGAATAATTATTCTTCGAATCGTGTTTAAGATTTTCATGGATTACGACGGCAATGAAAAAGATGAGACATTATCGCAGAGTCATTCATATTCGATGAGTTTGAAGGAGAATCAGAAGGAGGTATAGATATTTAGTAGTAAAAAATAATAAATACGATATCAAAAAAATCAATGGACAAATATATAGTAAAAGTAAAACGTAAATGAATGATGATAAGTTTCTTGCATGAAAGAGCTAGAGATTTGCAGATTTGAAATAAGTGAAAGTGAGAACGCGAATGAGAGAGTTTTTAACGTATAATGTTATTCATCCTCTCATTCATTGTCGTTAAACGAGATATTGAAGTAAGATAACGAATTATAGCGTAAAAACTTTTCTCACTTTTTTATGTTTTTTTTCTGTACGTAGCAAGAGGCAGAAGTTACGTCAGCTGGAAGGAAGTTCTTTAAAACGCGTCAACCGCGTTATAGTCAACCACGTACTTATACCAAACGACGATAAAGATTTACTAAGAAATTAGTATTGATTTGAACACATCTAGGTGAACAAATCAGATTCTTTTCGTTTACGTATTTCATTATTATTATTATTATTATTATGTATTATATTTATCGTTTTTATTTAAAATTAATTGCGAGAATAATAATGCAATACATATAAAAAAGTATATATAAAATTCATCAAGTTATGAATTAGAGATTAGATATTTAACATAGATTCTACCTTCGACGTAAAATTAATATTGGACTAAGTAGCTTTTGGGGTAACGTCGCGAATATGGAGAGGAAATCACATCATCGTGCTCTCGAAAAAACGCCCACGCATCTTCGACACAAGGGAGACGAGATTGTAGCCACGGTTGGAAACGCGCAAAATTTAATTTTAAACGTGACTCATCAGACCGCCATCCAGCCAATAAATGATCCCCTTTGAATCGACTCAAATTACGCAACGTAATAGAATTACGCGAATCTCGTCATCGCCGATGAAAGTCGTTTTGTCATTTTTTTTTGTTATAGAGCGCTGGAGCGCATTTAGTTTGTGAAAATGTATCACTTTTATACAATAGAGAGAGTTCTTATTTTTATCTTTAATTCATTTATAATAAAATTATTCAGCAAACATCATTTCCTCTATTCTAATTCCACTAAACTTCCATTACGCTTTTATTCCTCGAATCTTCAATGTCTTGTCTAAAATAGTATACAGTGATTAGATCTCTAAGCCTTCTTGTACTCCCAGGATGTCTACATTTTTTTCCTGTCTTCTGCTTCATCTCGCACGAGGCATCTGCCGTGAATCTGGATCACGCAATAATAACCCGAGCCATATGACAGAGGACTATTTAAAAGTAGCACGTCCCACTTTCCATGAGGGCAGCTGTATTTTTTCTTTCTGAGTCAGGACCTCGACACATTGCCTACTTGTTATACCGATACGTTATGTATTGGTATACCCATTGTAATCAACAGATTGACAATAGCACGAGTCCTTTTGTTCAAACAAATCAGACAATCCTTGATCCAACATTTCTACCTCCTAATAAGGATCCATTTAAATCATTCAAGATCAGCTTTGTATGATATATGTAACAAAAAAAGATTTATTTTCTTTAATTATCTATTCCTTATGTTTAGTCCTTAATTTTTTCTATGATTTATACTTAAAATATGTGTATAATATTGAGACTTTGTGTTAAATCAAAGATAAGAAAATGTTCCATATGATTATAACTGTTTCACTAGGCATAAAATTGTAACTGACTAGAAAATTTATTAATAAAAAAATCAAATGAAAGATCTGTTGTATATATTTCTTAAATAGATATTAAAAAATATGCAATCAGCATAGATTTTTATTATTGGTTTTCCATATTGATTCGCTATAATAGGAGATGGCAACGAATTCGCGACAGTGAGATCACTCACTCGAATCTTGTTTCGGCTTATTTACCAGAGATGTTATAATCATTACTAAGCTGTCCAATTTTCACAGCAGCTGCGACTCTCAGCAATTTCGGAAAACCTATTTCTCGTTTATCTGAATAAGCCGCTAATATTAGAATCTCTTGAAACGTGTGGAATCACGTACGCTTGTGTCATTTATATAGGGTGTCCCGATATGTATAACAGAAAGAAAAATATGTTTCATTTATTAATAAATGAATGAAGAATAAAGAAGAGCATAAGAGAAGCTTTGAAAATTCATTGAAAGTCAAGACATGACATGATATCCTCCGTCTATTGCGTCTTTATGCTTAGATAAAGATTTCCTTCTCATGGAGCATCTTAGGACACCTTGTATACAACCCTCTTACGTTGTTGGACGGATTTCTCCCCCGACTTAGCCACGGTGGTTGCGTGGTTCACGCGAAAAGTATAAAAAGCTCGCGACTAAGAGGGACCCGGCACTTCAGTCTTTTCAAAAATATCGTAAGGATGGCTCTAGAACGTCAAGTGCGCGCTAAGGTATATATCTTAATCGTGTGGTGTAAAATATAATAAATATATAATACTGTTTGATTCGTTCATGCGTGTCATGTCACAGTGATCTAGAGTCTTTTTGAATAAAAAAGAACTTTTTTTTTCATCATTTATATTATATGTATAAATTTTTTTCTCTCTCTGATACATATTTAATACATACTAGAAGTCTTTGAAATATTCCGGGATGTTCGTAGTCGTAGGATTCTATTAATTTTTAGAAGATCCGCAGACTTTCGCATGGCTTTACCTTCTATTTTTTATAAATATCATCAATTTTATAAATTAATTGTTACAATTTTAAATTTCAAAACTTTGTACACAGATTGCGGGAAAACGCAATCCCGAACAAGAGAGGGAGGCGCAGGAGTGGATCGAATCGATCCTCGGCAAAAAGTTTCCCCCCGGTGAGACCTTCGAGGATGTGCTGAAGGACGGCCAGGTCCTCTGTCATCTCATGAATAAGATTTCTCCTGGATCGGTACCGAAGATCAATTCCACCGGCGGGCAGTTCAAGATGATGGAGAATATTAATTTGTGAGTATTGTCGTAATATGTGAATATTAATATGTGATTGTGTGTAAATTATGCGGTGACTTCATCGTCATTATAGGTTTCAAAAGGCTCTAAAGGAATACGGAGTGGACGATGTCGACGTTTTTCAGACGGTGGACTTGTGGGAGAAGAAAGATATCGCACAAGTAGTAACAACGTTGTTCGCTCTTGGCCGAACGGTAAATTTTATTTCTTACGATTGCTTGTTTTTTGTACACTAAATAATTTTAATCTCATTGTCAGTAATTCTGTTAATTATATATTTACTGTTTTTTTTTTCACTTTAGACGTACAAGCATCCCGAATGGAAAGGACCTTCTCTAGGACCCAAGCCAGCAGAAGAGTGTAAACGTGACTTTACAGAGGAACAATTGCGAGCTGGCGAGGGGATGATTGGTCTCCAAGCGGGTTCCAACAAGGGTGCGACTCAAGCTGGTCAGAGCATCGGTGCTACCCGCAAAATTCTCTTGGGAAAGTAAAATAAAAATTTTAATGCAGTTGCTTACTCTCTTCCACTCTTTAGATCTAAAAAAAATTGCGTACTTTTCTATGTATATGTAAATGCGTATATATATTTTTTATTTTACTTTTGTAATTAAATGAATAGCTGTCATTTATTGATCTGTCTTCTCATTTTACTTCTTAAATATAAGCGGTGTATGTCACGAAGGTAGTAAATATATCAACTCGTAATAAGTTTTAATCTTCTTAATCAAAGATAGAGAGAGAAAGAGAGAAAAAGAGTGTACATCTCTTAATAAAGCTAGCGATAATATTGACATAATGAGATAAAATAATTTTTATAATTAAATGAGATATATTATCGTTATTAAATTAAATCTCTTATCACTTTGTATCTCAAGATTTTAATTTCGAAAAATGTACAATGTCGATGACAGATATGCGTTTCAAAGCAATCAAACTGTTATTCAACTGTTATTTATTGATTAATGACAGATGCCCACTTCGAAACGATAAATGATTGATTATTATCTAAAAAATTCCAAATAAAATTATTATCTAAAAAATTCCAAATAAAATTAGTTCTATCCATCCGAAATAAATCGAGATTTCTTTTCCTTTTCCAGAATTTTAATTAAGTTAGTTAAGTTTTAATTGGAATAATTTAGTTATAGATAATTCAATTTTTTTCATTTTTTGCAATTTTTTTCATTTTTTCAACAGTCACCATTTAAGGATACGAAGGTGATATCATGCTACGCGCTGGAGACGTCAAAAATAAAGCGCGACGCGATGCAAATTGCGTGCAACGCGTTGAAACTATGCCAAGCTAAACTCGTGTGGGATAAACGGTGCGTGGGATCCGTTCTATTGATATCCGAAAAATGTGCTTTAATGTTGCTTATCCAAAATTACAAAACGTATACTTTGCAACATTCTCATTGTCACATTTTTTGAATCGAAATAGCTCGATATTCGATAATTATTTATTGCTTATTTATCGTTCAAATCATTAAAGAAGAACGTATCGTAATGACAATTTTATCGAGATAGGCTATCAAATCGTAGACAATACACGATAACGCGAAGAAAAGTGTGATTGTTATGTACAATTGAAACTTTCGAAAGTATACGAATGCGTTTGCGCGTATTTATAGAATAAGATACATTTACAAGAGTTCCTATCTCTCTCTATATAAGGCATATATGTATTACAGAACGCTACAATAAAATAACATTCTCGCGCAACGCGTGACGGAAAAAGGTATGTCATATTTTCTCGTATACTACGTAAAAAGATCGATTGCGTATATAAAAATAATCGTTTGATTCGACTTGCGAGAAGTAAAATTATACGCACGCTTGCGTGCGCCGTTTAATTCTCGCCATAAATACGATTTCTATTGTTTACGATTACAAGTTTCGCGCGAGGTTTCTAAAAAAAAGGTACCTATGATATTATATCACGTTTTTTGAGAGAATTCTGTTAAAAAGAAATGCTCTCAAAGAGAAAGAGAATTCTCTTAAAGGTTAAAATCTCAGTCGAGGAAATCTCAGATAATCTCTCCATGTTAGATTTCCCGCTATCTAAATCTCGCGCTGTCCAATTTTTTTATTTTTTGCAGACGGCATAAATGATATCGGTGAAATGCAAATTGCGTACGCGTTATTTCAAGTTAATTCCTCGTCAATTTCCCGAGACGAATGGAGCGCGGATGTAGATCATGCCAGGGTTACGATAGTTTGGAATGCAAACCGATGGGGAATTATTCCATCGACCTCGACCCAGCGCGATTTTAATCCAACGTGTTCTTTCTAATATCTAGTTCTAATACGGTTCTTTCATGCGATTAGGACAGGTAATTCGGTATCATTATAGCCGATCATCTTGGTTGCTTTTCGTTTTTCTTTCTTTTTTAAACTAGAGAGAGTAGAGCAGCGAAGAGAGAGAGAGAGAGAAAGAGAGAGAGAGAGAGAGAGACACGAGTGTTTCAAAAAATCAAACATTCCAAGACAAGAGAGGCAGAGAGGAGGAAAATTAGAATGCAAAAGAAAGAGAGAAAGAGAGACAAGTGTAGCATTTGTAGAAAAAAACTACAGTTTACATTGCAATTTTGTTTATATATTTTATTAAAATATATATATTCAGTATCTCATGCTATGCGAGATTGATAAGAGAGAGATCGATAAGATATACACATCTGAAATTCTTATTTCTTATATTACAATTGTATTATAACGTAATGAATAAATTTCTTTCGATTACAATCCAGTTGATGAGGAAAAAACAGATATACACAACACACGTACATTCTCTTTCTCTCTTTCTTCTTCTCTCTCTATATATATAATATTTTATTATTATCACAATAAAAATCACAACACACATCAAAACACAACACACATCAATACGATATTAAATCGATATTAGCAAGTAATAAAAGCAATAAAAGCAAGTAGATATGCAAATATTGATAACGTTAACGTTGCAAGATTCTGTCACTTGATATATAATCTGTAAGTCTAAAGAAAGAGAAGAGAGAGAAGCAAAAGAGAAAAGACTTTTTTAATTAATTCTAAAAAGAAAAGATTTATTGTATGAAAATGTTGCGCGAGGTTCATTGTATTTTCCTGACTTTTTCGATAAAAAGAATCCATGCTAATTTCTTATAGCGTCCTAGAAAATCAAAGAACGTAAATGAGATTAATTAATCTTTAATTATCCTCGTGCAAAGCATCCTTTCGCCATAATAATTGTAATCTAATGCACACACATAACAATTTTCAACATAGAGATTTTTCAAATTATAATATACAATCAACTTTAATTCCCGAATTAAATGATCTCGGGATCTCTCGATCGCACACTCGACCTTCAACGATCAAGATACGTACATCAAATGTAGATCGATCGATCTGTCCGGTAAGATCGCTTCCGCGATAGATGATCTTGTATAAATAAAAGACTGTCACAGAAAGCGATTTTATTGTGTCAATATAAGCATCACCAACATATCACGAGTGTCTTTGCTCTTCTTAGCGAGGTACGTATTCTGACATATACATTCTGACATTCTTTTTTTTTTCATTCTTCCTTTCTTCTCTTTCTTTTTTTTGCGCAGCGTAAAGTGACGAATAAAATAAGAATTGCAAAAACCGGTTCGCATCTATTCCACTACTTTCTCGACTCGAGTCGCACAACATACCTCCCGCATTATGCGGAAATAATTTCATTATTTAATGGTTGGTTCCAACAGATGAGCAGTGAGATACAGACAAGGTAGTTTCGCAGCAACACAATTGTAATAATAAAATAATAATAAAATATTAATATTACACGTTAAAAGAGAAAGAAAGAAAGGGAAAGAAAGAGAGTGACAGAGAGAGAGAGAGATGATGTAACAATAATATAATTACTATAACAACAATTATATTATATAATTACTATAATAACAATTATATAATAGAAGTATAGGCGCGTCGAAAGAAATTGGCGACTTTTCGGACATCCTATATGTTGACATGACTGTGAGTTTGTGACGTCAATATTCACTACTCACAATATTATTATTACCTGTCGTCGTTTTTCTCTCTTTGTCTTTACAGCCGTATCGTTCAGCTGATCTCGCCATTCGTTTCTCGCTCGTCTCCTCTCGCTTTCTTAACGTCCCCGCCCTTCCACATACAATTGTTTGATACTTTCATTTTTATTAGCAACGAGCTAGCGTCGACTAGACCCTAGTAGTATGAGTCAAAACATCAATAAGATCGACATAAGAAGAAGGTTAATTCTATTTTTTTCGTACAATAAATTTTCGTTTTTCGTTTGGTTTCTAAAATTTCGCTTCAGTCTAAACATTTAAACCTGCGCTTTAAATAACGAACGGTTTACAATGTGAAGAAATCGATGTTGTAAACAATTTTGGTTTATTATCTTTCGGTACATTTGAATGAACACTTGGTATTCACATACAGTTCCTAATCAATTTTTATTAAAAAAAAAAAAAGTTATATGACTTGAGCTCTTACGAAGTAGTAATCGTAAAATATAAATTAGAAATTAACAAAATAATGCAAAGAAAAAAAGTATTTTAAAAGATAAATATAATCCTCGATTTTATTTCTTAAAATCATTAAAAGAAATACAAGTTATAAAAAAATATTTTCATTTGGTAATCAGAGCATAGTATTTAGTAAGTAAATTTAATTTCACATATATATAAATATGTACACATATTATCGTAATTTGAAGAAAAAATGCGCAAAAAATTAAACTTCGAGTTTAATTTTGAACGGATATAACATATGATAACAAGTAACTTAAAAATCAGCTGTTAAAAGTGCCTGATAACAAGGGCCATGAAAGAGAGATAACACACATTGATAAGATCCAAACTCCTTGTCCTTTTGACAGTTTTCGCTTTCTTAACCAACAAGCTCGACAAACGTCATTGGACTAGAGAAATTTATTTTAATTCAAACGAGTGAAAGAGTTGAAACGCGAATAAAAATTGCGCTCGATCTCGAGACAGATACACGCTGCGGCGAGGTCGAAAAGTTTCACGGAGATCGAATAAAAAAAAAAAAAAAAGTAAATCTAACCCCATCTTGCTCGTCCGACATGCATTCCCTAACCTCTTCGTTCGGCGACGTAGCGTCGCGTTTACTCGCGCATGGGACGGGGAAACTCGCGGCAATTTTGCGTTCTCGTAACGTAACGAGGACTGCAAGGACTACGAAGTCCATCGGCGGAGACAGGCGCGGCACGACGCGAGTCAGCGACGCGGTGATCGCGCGTAAAAATGAAATGGGGCATTGGGTGAAAGTACTCGCGGCAGCGAGCGAGCGAGCGAGCCTGCCTCTTATATCAGATCAGTACGGTAGGCGCGCCTTGTCACTACCGCGCGTTCGCTTCGCGTCGTTCCTCCTGGCGCGATCGCTCTCCTCCTCATGACCTCTCGAGACGTTGCGCATCCCGTCGCGAAAATTCTTTGTTTCGCATCTGTGGACTATGCTGCCGGTTTGGTAGTCTCGCCGCATCCTACTCACTGACTTGACAGAGCAGCGCTTTATTCCCTTTCCCCAGAATGCTGCGCAACCTGTGGACCTTTTGCGTCCTGTCACCGGTCATCCTGGTCTCAGCACTGGAGAATGGCTTGGCCAGGACGCCTCCAATGGGATGGTTAGCTTGGGAAAGATTCAGGTGTAACACTGACTGCAAGAATGATCCTGACAACTGCATAAGGTGAGGCGGGAGTAGTCTGGATACGTTGTATTGATGGAGTATTTGGTGTAAGCATTCAGAGAACTGTAGCGATTGGTTTTATTGTGCTCCACAGTGATCGTCTCTTCAAGACTATGACAGACATAGTGGTGGCTGAAGGATATGCCGCAGTGGGCTATGAGTATATTAATGTGGATGATTGTTGGTTGGAGAAAGAAAGAGATGTAAATGGACAGCTTGTGCCAGACAGGGAACGGTTTCCATATGGCATAAAGAGTCTGGCAGATTATGTAATTTGATATTAATTGTTCTAAGAGTGCTTAATTTCATCAAACTTGTATTTTAAATCTTGTCACTTGCATGAATTTATTGTTACATAATTGGCTTCTTTTTTCCCAAAATCATAATTTTACACTTTACTGTGCAAAGTACTTTATGGAATATATTGTCTTATTTTGTCAGGTGCATTCAAAGGGTCTCAAGTTTGGTATCTACGAAGATTATGGTAACTATACTTGTGCTGGCTATCCAGGTATATTGGGCTATTTGGATATAGATGCAGCTACATTTGCAGCGTGGGATGTAGACTATGTAAAATTGGATGGATGCTATGCGCATCCTAGTGAAATGGACAGAGGTACAGTTATATCTTATAAATAATCAATGAGTTTTCTCTCTTCATAACAGAATAAATTAATATTAAAGTTATATGAATTCATCAAAGGCTATCCTGAGTTTGGATTCCATTTAAATCAAACTGGAAAGCAGATGATATATTCCTGCAGCTGGCCTGTCTACCAAATCTATGCTGGTATGCAGGTAAGTAATGATACATTATATTCATTTATTTCTCTCAGACTATTTGTTACATTTATCTTATTTTCAGCCGAATTATACTGCGATCTCGGAAAACTGTAATCTCTGGCGTAACTTTGATGACATTCAAGACTCGTGGGCCAGTGTGGAGAGTATCATCGATTATTATGGTAATAATCAAGACGTAATCGTGCCTATTGCCGGCCCCGGACATTGGAATGATCCGGATATGTTAATTATCGGTAACTTTGGACTAAGCTACGAGCAGAGCAAGACACAAATGGCGATTTGGGCTATATTAGCAGCGCCGTTGCTCATGTCCGTCGATCTCAGGACGATCAGGCCAGAGTACAAAGCCATTTTGCAGAATAAGAAGATTATTGCTGTAGACCAAGATCCGATGGGTATTCAAGGTCGACGGATATACAAAGTGAGTGACATAAAAATTTAATGTACCGGTGCTTTAAATATGCATAAGTGTGATAAAGTCATTAATTTCACAAATTTGTTAAAATGTGAGATTCAGTCATATATTAGGGATATTATTGGACTAACATCAGTGTAATACATCCTACTCAGTGTAATCTATTGATTGCAGCACAAGGGCATTGAAATTTGGGCAAGACCTATTACTCCAGTTTACCAAAACTACTATTCGTACGCGATCGCGTTCATTAATAGACGTACAGATGGTACGCCATCGGATGTGTCGGTCACGTTGAAAGAACTAGGACTACAATATCTTGGAGGATATCGAGTGGAGGTTCGTAACAATGATTTAATCGGGAAAAGTATACAAAATTTGACGAGAAAAACTTGGTTTATCAACATCGTTTATTATATCTTTCAGGATTTATATGAAGATGTGGATTATGGCGTCCTCACACCACAGACCAAGATCAAAGTTAAAGTGAACCCATCGGGCGTAGTAATATTACGATGTAACTTGAACATAGACGATGCGTTTCGTTACACGCCGTATTCGCCCTTAAATCAGATCTTTAAAGTTAGGCAAAATTCGTTTAAATGACCGTAAACGCGCCGTAAAGTATTATCGAATTTTTATCAGCGTTTTTGTATAAGTTCTACATTCTATATTAACATATTATAAGAAAGATTAGAAATAAAGGATTTTATAAACTTTATTCAATCACTTATAAAGTGACATTTTACGTTTCATATTTACGCTTTGCATAAAAATATGACAAAATATTTCAATCCAAATACATATATACATATATTTACATATATTTTTTATGCATATATAGTGTTTGCTGATATATGCTTTGATGATCAAAGCAATATTTTCTATCATAACGTTTAATTTGTAAAAATCCTTTATTAATATTTTAACGTCGTTGATATCATCGTATTTTTATAGACAAGATCAATTTTTTTTACAAGAAATTGGATCAAATATCCTGTATAAACCGCTACATGTGCCAGCACGAGACGTATCTCTTTACACGTTCGCTGTTTTCAATCTTCTCTCTGACGTTTGTAACGCGTCACGAGGACGTGAAGGGATACCACAAACGTATCGCGGACACACTCTACAGAGGCTATTATAAATTCACTATAGATGTCAAAGCACACATTTCTTGTACCTCTATATATATACCTACCTACCTACCTACACTCACTTATCTATCCGCAATTGACATGAGAAACATATACAGGATGTTCCATTTTAAATTTACATGAATACCTTTGAGACTATTGATGATGTCGAAAATATTCTAGAAGAAAATTGAGATTTGAAAGGATATAATTTGATGTGTCAATAATTTTTTATGTAAATTAAAAATCAATTATTTAATTTTATTTAAATGTAATTTTATATTTTTTAATTCATTAGAATATGTTGATGTTGCTCTACTTTCCCTATAAAAAATATATTAGTTTGTAGTAAAAAATAATCCAATGATATTTTCATCGGTGATTTCAACAGGAACTCGACACGATTAACTTCTTCAATCCGGTATAATTGGAAAACTTCATTTAATCAGGTTTTATAAAAAAAGTGTATTTGTGCCAAAAAAAGTCATTAACATAAAAGACATTTTTATTTTAATGTAGAGAAATAATACTCGCATGTGCGTTAATTTCAATATGTTTGTGCATAATTTCTTCTACGTTCGTATGAATGTTTGTAAACAGACATGTACAGAAAGCTTTTATATGATCAATGATTATTTAAGATTTTCTTATCTGGTAAATAAATATCGCATAATTTACTTGTGAAATTAAAAATAAGACAATTCCAAGTTATTTTATTGACAATAATTTTGAAAGAATAACTAAGGAATTAGGTTGACTATAATATCAATGAATATATTATCGATCTGAACTTTTTTAATGATATTTACTGGAAATGGATATGCGAGGATTTTATGCGATAAACTTTTATTGCTTTTGGGAGCTTCTGCGACAAAAAATGTGATTTTAACACGACAGTATTTTTACTCATTATTATCGTATAACTCGAGCTACATTAAATGAGAAGTTTTCCAATCGTTGGATTGAACGAGCTAGTCGTATCGAGTTCCTATCGAGATCAGAGGTGAGAATGTCACTCGATTATTTTTTAATGACATTATTGGATTACTTTTTGTAAAACTAATTAAAAAATGAAGTACTACAACAAAAACGCACTACTCCAAAATACTCGAAGCAGAGAATGTCTACAGGTATGTCAACGAATTTACAATAAAATGCTTGAAAAGATCAATAGATCCAAATTTTTGCATCCCGATTGAAGGATCTTCTTTTGAACATCAACTTTAAGAAGGTAAATATCGTACTATTAATACTACACGTGCGTCCAATTCACATATTCAAAAGTATACAGTTCCATATGAAAACCATAAGCCTTTCCCTGACGAAAAAAAAAACAACTTTAACATAAGATTCAAGAATCCTCGAAATTCATTCAATTTATTTGAATATTTTTGCGATATCATCAATATCTCTTCCAAGATATTCACGTGGATCGCTCGAAATATGGGACATCCTGTATACGAGTATCTCTCTACACCCACTCTCCCTGTCTCCCCCTCGCCCTTTCCTCCCTCGTACACTGCTGGTAATGCGTCACAGCGACGCCCGCGTCGCGTCGCGTCGCCTCGCGTCGTCTCGCGCGTGCTCCCTTCAACCCCCAGAGAAGTCGCAGCCATTGTCAGAAGGTCGGTCGGTCAGCTCGATTCGAAACGCGCCTCCGTTGTGCGCGTAACACACCCTTTCGTCACGCGAGTACCTTGAGCGAAAAGCGAGTGAACGAGCGAGACGGACGGACGGGGGTGAGGGGGAGAAAAAGGGAAGAAGGGAAAAACGCGAAATGTGAGAAAACAATCGTTCGTCGACGCGATGAGACGCAAACATCCCCTCGACGCCGATTCCGCGCGAGCAGCACCAGCACCAGTACCAGTATCAGCACCAGTACCAGTCGACGCCGTCGTTACCTCCGCTTCTGCCATCACCGTCGCTGCCGTTCCTCCTACCGCGTTGCTGCACCTTCTTGCCGCCAAGGTCGCGAGCATGAAGATTCCGCCTCTCTCATGACCCAGGTGAGTTGGAGCAATTTTTTCTTATATAATCAAATAAAAGCGTGCGTCGAGAAGGCACGCGGCGTCGGTCTCGTGGATTTACGTGTCCGTGTTTCCTCTCGCGAGGTAACAAATTTACGCCGATATGGCGGCCGTCACCGGCCCCGACCAGCGGTTCCGAAGGAAACCGCTTCGCGAAGGAGGACGATGTTGTTTGTACGTTTGTTGGAGGATAAGGGAGAAGCGGTTTGTCTTATCGCGATACGATTGCGATGGGGCGTTATCGATATTGATGCAAGGTAGCATCGCGATCGATGACGCGCGTTCTCGACGACGTTTCGTTCGTTTTGATCGCGATGATTCAAGCTTCGGACGTTGTTTAGATGAGGTTTAACGTCTGAATCTTGAAGGATCTCTCGATTCCTATGCATTGTCAGTGAGCGTCATTACACGACGTCTCTCAGTCATTGACGTAGGGGCAGCTCGCATGAATGAATAATGGCGCCACATCGAGAATCGTTTTGAACGGTGACGCGTTTAGGATTGTCTTACAGTCTTGGAGTCGATAGTCCACGTTATTCCACGTTATTTCCGTTTTACACGGATCGCGAAATTCGATGTTAGATTTGTTGAAATTTTGCAATCCAAATCTTTGAAGAAATCACGGATTACTAGGCCTTTTACATCTCGAGTTATTTAACGCCACGAATTCAGGATTAAACATTCGGGATTTTATTTAGGATTAAAAAATTGAAAAGAACGAAAGTCGTATAATTATAAATTTAATTAATGAATTTGATAAGCGGTAGATAAATATATTGCTCGCATTTGAAACTTGAAATGTGATGTAAAATATTTGGATGCATTATATATAATTGTTATACGTTGCACACTCGTCATTTTATTCGTACTACGCTTTTCATCTATTTTATTTTTAATCTATCACCTGATCTCACAATTAAAAAAAAACCTTATCTATTATATACTTACTTAATTATGAGTTACAAAAAAAATCTTTGTTTTACTTGTTCTCACTATTGTATTGTTATTCGGACAATTCTAATTTAATGTCATCATTTTCGCATGTATCAGATGTATTAGGGCAATGGTTGCTCTTGCCTCGCTCGCATAATTAACGTGCAGAGCTTAATTAAAATTGAAACGACGGGAAAGATGAATAGATACGGATCGGAATGATTAAAATGTCACCGCAAATCGGTATAAGCGCACTCTCTATTTATCATATTTCCTATGTAGGGCGGCGCAGATAAATCGATACGCGGCACTTTCATTCATGGCTGCCTCTCTCACGGTTGGCACATTGCCGTTGCTCTACGTACCACCCACGTTGTCGAGACCACCACACTTACAACTCACCCGTTACGTAGTATACAGTCGTGGCTAACAGTGGTTCTCCGCTTCGTAAGCGAAAGAACAATGAGTGTTCATCGCACGCGAATCTCTTATATCATTTTAATCGAGCGTATAATACAAGCGGTGGAAAAATGTGCACACTTGAAAAAAAAGCGATCACACGTGTCTTTTTCTTTTTTTTTTAAATAATAGAAAATTTAGTTTGATCATTTGTCGCCGCAATCTACGTTGAAGGGCGCTCGGCCCTTTTCAGTCCTTGAACAGACGGACGCGTCGTGACGTAAGCATTCGCGTGGGATGCATTTCGCATTCTATTTATAAATCGTTGTCATTAGTAACATACAGAACGAATCTCATTCTTCCCGACATAGACGCATAATAGCCTGACAACAATTCAATCGCTCGATTGAAGAGCGAGATAGATGTGTAAATTACATTTTCGCTACTTGTGTTATTTTTAAATGCGAACCTTCCAAAAAAATCTTCAAGTCCGACAGTTCAAGGAGAGAAACATTTCAACGAGGTCCTACAAAATTCACGCTTTCGTTTCCCCTTTTTTTACAGACAGTGTCCTTGAAATTTTTAGAAATTTAATAATTGCATCCCGTGCGTATCACCACTGCACCGCCACTGCATCCCTCGGTAGCGCGGACGTCAATATTACGTCGGCGTGCATCCGCCCGCCCGTCCGTCTGTCCATCCACCCGTCCATCCACCCATCCACCTATCCATCCATCCATCCATCCGTCCATCCATCCATCCAGTCATCCATCCGTCTATTCGTTTGCGTTGAGCGACGATGGTTGATATTAGCCGCGCACGAGGCATCTCTCTGGTGGCATCTTTAAAATTAGTTAAACTAGTGCATCGACAGGGACTAACCCAGTTATACACGCGAAAAGGGGATATCGAATAAATTTACTGCGCAGCCGCGTATCGGCACTATCGGCCACGAACCGACGACGACGACGACGCATACCTACATGTTACCCGCGGCCCTTCCGTCCGTTTGCGCGCACGCGGCAGACAACTACGACGAATGCGGGGAAAGGGTGGCGCGGATTGTGCGGAAAGGGAGAGACGCGGGGATGGGTACGCCGCTCTTTGAAATCGGTCCACTTGCCTCCGTGTGCTTGCGTCCGCCGCGGCACACAATGCGAGGGTGGCGGTGGCGAACAGGCGAGTGGAGAACAGTCTTCGCGCCAGGCGGATTTTCCGCTCGGTGACACTCGCCGAAGGATCTATCTCAAGGATTTATCGGTCGCGATTTTGAAACTCCCGAGACTCCTCTCGAAGGCTCGACTCGCTCCGCGTCGCGTTCGCTCGTGCTCGGGGGTTGCCTCGCTAGTAAAAGGGGGTTGTCTCGCGCGTCCCGAGCTCCCGCTAAAGCGTTCTCCATGGCAAGGAGCGTCGTCGATCTCATGACGTTTCTGGATGTTTGCCAACTCTATCTGCAGACCAAAAAGAAATCTCGGAACCTCTGTACGCTCTGGGCTATCGTGACGTTCATCCGCACGGAGGACACCGGGGATTTTTTACGATGGTGTCGCGCCTACACCGTGCCCCGTTTGCGATATCGCACGAATCGCGCCAAAAAGACGGAGAACGCAGAAAAGCTGAGGCCCGATAAGCTGATACTTAGACTGCTGCAGGAGTTGTTCTATTGCGGATGTCTGCCCCCCTGCGAGATCGGTTTGTGAGCAAAGGACGCGTATTGTCAAGTAAACGTAAGACACGTAGAACACGTGAAAGTCTGTTGAGTTATTCGACGCAACAGGCTATATACGTACTATGGTCCTAAAAATCAACAAGATAATATGGAGTCTGCGGCTGAAGGAAAGTCCACATCTTCGTAAATATCTCGATATTGCGAATCCTTCTTTCGAATTAATCGTTAAAATGACTTTTCTCGATTCTCCGGTGCTTTCGATCGCGGTGTCTGATATCTTTTGATTTAGGGAGATGAAAATTTCTGTGCAGCATCGTGTGAGCGCACATGTGGACGACGATAAATCACCTTAGCGAGAGGGATGTCTGAGAGCGACGGAGAGCATGCAGCTCGCTCGGTGGCCTTAGAGCAAGCCTACGTCCACGAAGTATACGAGCAATGTGCCGAGAAGACCTCGCAAAGTAAACACTGGCCACGAGTATATCAGTTTCTTCAGGAACTTGAACCGGGTGCTCTCGTCTGCGACATCGGTGAGTTGAAAATATTTAATCTCCACTTAATTTTAAATAGATTGTTTATTTTTTACACGTGATGTGTTATTTTTCTTCTTTCTTTGATTAACAATAAGTAATTTTCATCGATCGAGTATTATGAATAGTGAAAAATCACTAGGCAATTCTCGCGAAGAATTGTCGCGTGGGTTGTACAATAAAAGGAAAGTTTTTTCATGTTATATTACACCTATGCGTTTTTATAAAGAATGTTATGTTTGCGTTACTTAGGTTGCGGCAACGGCAAATATCTTAGCGTAAATCACAGCATCTTTAAGATAGGGGTGGACCGATGCAAGCGGTTCACGGACATTGCGCGAGAGAAGGAAAACGAGGTACATATATCAATCGAAAGCTTCTTGTTTTTAAATTAATTATAAGCTTTATATTAATTGGACTCTCGAAATTATATATTTATATATTATATATAATATATTATTTATATATATTATTTTTTTTGCGCAAGTTAAATTAATTTCCCGGATTAATACATGTGATAAATGTCTCTCCTAAGGTTTTCGTTTTTAAATTAATTATAAGCTTTATATTAATTGGACTCTCGAAATTATATATTTATATATTTTATATATAATATATTATTTATATATATTATATTTTTTTTGCGCAAGTTAAATTAATTTCCCGGATTAATACGTGTGATAAATGTTTCTCCTAAGGTTCTGATCTGCGATAATTTGGCCCTACCATTCCGAGAAGAGAGCTTCGATGCGGTGCTGTCGATCGCCGTGGTGCATCACTTTGCCACCACGGAGAGGAGGGTACACGCGTTGAAGGAGCTGGCGCGGATTCTCAGGATCGGAGGTCGACTCGTTATATCCGTTTGGGCTATGGAACAAAAGCATAGAAAGGTAAGAATCCAGCTTCTTTTAAATGTTCTTTCAACAATTTATTTTTTCATATTTGGATTGATTAAACTATTCCACCACTATTTATTCGCAGTTTGAATCGCAAGATGTTTTAATACCTTGGCCCAAGTCATATTGCATGAGCTCGGCATCGGATGGAACAAAGCACTCGGGTGTATCAGACGGTAACGAGAAGCGAGATGATGATACCGCTCAGAAATATCCATCATCCTCCAAAAGGTGATTTTTTTCAATACTTGTGCAATAATCGTTAATTATTTAGTAAATTATAATTATACATATTTTTTACGTTATTATAATGTAAAAAAAATTGATCTAAATAATTGTATTCTTATTTTGGCGCAATTTTCACGTTTTATCCGCGAGCATCGTAGAGTATAGGTCACAGTTGTCGTGATTTCGTGTTTCAGAAATAGCCAACAAAAATGTAAAAGCAAGAGTTATTGGATCGATCCGATATTCAGTTTGTCACCATCCAGTAGCAGTCTATCTAGCCCGAATGAGACTTGCTACAGTTGTTTCCGGCGAGCGTTACAGGTAACTAAATCATGTATCTCTGTTACATAAACACAATATTTTAAGCTCGAGTGATTGAAGAAGATTGAAAATGTGTTTTTGAGATTTGTGAAGAAACATTTGTCTCTTTACTAAAAGGTCAGTTTAGTTAAAAGTCAAGGGTTATTCAATTAAATTTCTTTATTGAGAGAAATTGAATCGCTCACTTTCAAGATTGTATCTATGTTATTAAATTATTTTTTATATAAATATATGTATATATTTATTTTTATTATATATTTTAATTCTTAATCATTCAAGTATCGTATTATATTTACCTGTGATTTGCAAAATTTTTGTTTAGAAATTAGCGAGAAGTAGACGCGGAGGAGGCAGTCGTGCATGGTTTCCTGGAAGCTGGCAAAGCGGTACCAAGAGTCGACGGCACTACGACCCCGATGAGATGACTGACGTGGACGAGCTGCCAATCGAACTGCGTCGCGTGGAAACTACGCATACGCTAACGATGACAAACAAGCGTTCCACAGATACGTTAAACATAAAGTCCAAGAGCCTAGGTGACATCTTAGAGATCGAACGACTCGATTTGGTGCGTTCCCGATCTAGCATCCCGGGATTTTGCTCTACGTCGGAGCTGATCCTAGATGAGCGATCGGTCTCATCATCGTCGAGTGGTTCGAAGCCGCGATTAGTGAAACAAAAATCATGTGTGGAGGAGACCGGTTTGGAGAATCCCGAAGACACTGCCATTGAAAATCTGATCAAGGACCTTCCGGACTTCTCTCGCCAACCGTTGCGCAAGCACAATGTACCATTGAAGCAGAATTCAATGAACGAGGAATTAATGTCGGCGGAACGATTGGAGGAGAAGGAGCGAGTACGCCGAAATATCATGAAGCAGGCGTCACTGAACGAGGAGCTAATCTGTAAGTGGCGAACGTTTGAAGCGTTTAAAGAATCAATTAGTCCAGTGAGCGCCAGTCGGCGCTTTCAATTGCTGAAGAACGGACTCACCAGCAAAATTAAGCGTTCCACCACGAATATCGAGAAGGTCTCCAGTATGTCCATCAAAAACGGATTCGTTCGGATGCTACAAGGTTGGAAATCTTGCGAGAACGAATCGGTATCTACCGCGACAGCTGAAGTAACGACGAAGCCGAAGCCGGCGGACAATAAAATGCAATCAGTAGCATTGGTGAAACGTAGCATTGAGGTTGTCGAACGTCGTCTTTCACGCGAAGACGGTTCGGACTCGTCCAAGGACAGCAGTTTACAGAGCGACACCAGCGTTGATTCCGAGGACAGTTTTGCATCAGTGATTTTCGTGCCGAAGCAAGACGTCGCTGTACCGACATCTTCAGCATCCTCGTCGGTTAACGAAGTATCTTCCGCGTCGCGACCGGTAGCATTGCAACTCGGCACGACATCGGCACCACCATCGCCGCGTGTCAAACAGCCACCGGATAGTAGTCAGTCCTCCAGATTCAAACTGCTCGACATGTCATCATTATTGAAGCAACAATCGGCCGTCACAAATACAGATACAAATACAAATACGAATACGAATGCGTGTCTCGGCGACGCAATCAAGCCTAGTGCACCGACCATCATCTGCAAGGAAACGTCCGGTAACACCTTGCAGACGCCAAGAAAACTCCGTTTGATTACAGAACCAGCGGAGCCTGACATCGAACCGGACACCGCACCGCTGATACGTGCCTTCAACGACGTCAAGATAGCTAGTCGTGAGCCGATTACAAACGAGGATGACAACCGAAATGCTAGGTTAAATCAAATCAAGGAGCTGCTCATAGCAAAGCCGGGTTTTGCTACTCGCACTAGACCGTCGTTTCCACTGGTCAGACGAGCCTCTACGGCGGTTTCGGGTCGTTTGGAGACTGTAACGAGGATTCTACCGCGTTTACTATCTTTAGAGTTATTCAATCCGGAGACAGATGATCTGGATAGCGATTCCAGCGGTGTCTCGTCACCGGAATCAGTCGGCTCGGTGATCAGCGTCACATCAGATGAAAGATATATCGCGAGAAAGGAGGCTGTAGAGAAGAAGAATAATGCACAGACGAGTGAAGGAGTTTCCAAGTCAAACGGAGACGACGTATCAAAGAATACGAAGGAAGCTGAAACTATACGTGACGAATCGTTGAGTATGGAAACCACAGCATCATTTGAGGATTCGAATACATCTCTGGATCCTCCGCGCGACGATTTGCCCGCGGGTTTCGAAGATAATGTACTGTTTGCGGAAACCGACATGATGCGCGACTCTATTCAAAGTAATTTAGGAGTTGACACGATCCGTTCCGCGTCGCGCATACTTTTGGAAAGCGGAAAATCCATATCCTCGCAATCTATGAAGCTTCTCGAGGCTGCTGCTAACGTGGCAAGTTCGCTGGAGGATGCTGTAGAGACAGCAATTCAACGCAATACTCAAGTAGAACAATTCTCGCAATTGTCGCAGGTTACGCAACAACGGAATAATAATGGCATCTGGTCGCAATCAAGCGTGCGAACGCGAGCATACTTGAAGCAAGATCGTAAGTCCGCTTCGGTGGATTTGGGTGGCTACGCCGACGAATCGAGCAACGATCTCATACGAGACATCAGTCGGTACTGCCAGAACTCGTCGTTCGATCTCTTGTGTCAGACGTCGAGAACTTCGTCATCGTCGTTGGACAATAAGTTGGACGCGGAATCGGATGCCACGGCCTGGGATGGATGCAACCAAGTGCCCAAGGAGACTTCGTGGATCATAAATAAAGCATACGATAGTGGACACGATAAATTCGCCAATGTGATCCAATCCAAGTTGACACCAAAATCCAAATCCCTCTGTGAGGACCGTGCCGTCGTATTCGAGTCCGAATTCGACCATAAATTTAAATCTGATTCCAAGGATAAAGTTAAGCTGGAAGCCAAGCCCGAAACTAGATTTATTTCCAAATATGACGAAACGTTTAAATTCGACGCTGCATCTGAAGAGAATTCAAAAATTAAATTCGACCTCGTATCAACAATTAATCCTGCATCCAATAGTAATTTCACAGGCGATAAGAAAAAAACATTCATTAATCCCAAAGATTTAGAGCTTAATTCCGAAAGCACGTTTAACTTCCAACCCGGAACGGAATCTAAACGGTCCAATGTCGACCAAGAGCGATATCGCTCCGCCAGCACTTCGCCGCTGTTGCACAGCAATTCGGATGACATGCTAGACTTTGTGATGGTGTCGAAGGCAGGTGAGTTCGAGTGCGAGCATGCAGCGGAAAACTCGAGGACGACTGAGAAGTGGCGTTCTTCTCAGGGCGGGCTATCGATAGACTCGAGCGATGTGGGTGATTCTATGATGGAGAACACTACGATGAGCCTGAGCGATGGTAGTCAAGCGGAATCGACGGCGAGACTGTTCACCGGTAGCACAGTATCGTTAGTATCGAATCCAAACAACGTGGAGAATAACCCTCGGTGCTCGATGGAGCGACGAAGATTGCAGGAGCGAGGTCGATCGTTGGACGAGATGTCAAGCGAGACGAAGAGACGAGACGCTGCGGATTGTCTGGTCACCACAAACAAGTCCACCGAAACCATTAGCAACGCCTCGTCTCAAGAGTCTCTGTCCTCGGACCGCGGTGGTGGCTCGATCACTTATCATCAGTACTACCACGTCTTTCGTGAGGGCGAGCTAGATCAGCTGATCAACAAATATGTCGAAAATCTGCATATCATCTCGTCGTACTACGACCATGCCAGTTGGTGCGTTGTCGCGGAGAAAGTGCAGGTTTGGACTATATGACTTCGGATAGAAATCATCGAATGAAGGACCAGCGGCTACCGCGACTCGCAAAGTTGTACCGGGTGTCTCGATACGAGATGTCAAGAAGGGATCAACTAGGTTCAACTTATGAAAATTTACACTCGCTTAGTTTCACTTCTTTCAGTTGTAAAAATAATTCTGATCTCCGGATCAAAAAAAAAAAAAAATACGGGGGCCGCAGGGACTTAGAGGAAACTGGATATAATTCTTAAATTCTTTAATTTCATGATTTAAATTTTTTAGCCTTTATATTACAGAGACGGATTGGGGAGAACTCTTACTTTTGAGACAAAAGTACTAATCCCTCTTTTTGGGACACACAGTACACTCTGACGAATGCCCCAATCATTGCGGTTAATCGTTAAAAGCCTCGCTTCGAGTACCAGATGAATGACTCTAAATCCGTGGATCTAAGAGTCCAAGAATCTGAAAAATTTAGGGGTCCAAGAATCCAAGGATTTGAAGGCTCAAGGATTTCATAATAATACAAATATCCAAGATCTAAAATAATTCACGAGTTGACTTTCTAACGATCTGCTCTTGAAAACTGCAACGATCTATATCGCTATTAAAATATCGCTTTACGCTCGTTAAGCATTCCTTACATGTTTGTCTCATCGTAAAGAGATTTCTCTGTCCGTGACGTCGCTGAAGTAATGCGCGACGCAATAATATAGCATCAACAAAGAAAACGATGAATGGTATAAATAACGAACCAACAATTAAAATATCCAAAGGTAAGGGAACATTTTAATAATATAAATGGCCATAATATCTCTTTTAATTAATTAATATATTATTAATTGCTGTATCAATATTTCATTTTTCATGTCTGATTTATTCAACTTTATTTTTGCTTCAGTGACGTTTAGGACTATTTATCTCATTTTGAATTCGCACATTTCGGAACAACGATTGCAGAGAGCACAATTCTTCGAGATATGCCGAAAAAAGAAAGATAAGAGAAAGTAAATAATAAGAAGAAAGAGAAAATAATAGGGTGAGAGGGGAAAAAGCATTATTTGCTCAAGATATTCGGCTTCTCGAAGGGTCGTGCAATCTGAATATATATGCGTTTAATAAGCGTAAAATTCAGAAATGGCAATTGGCTCCCGGCTATGGAGCGTATTTTCTATAGCTTCTCGAGGAACGGACAATATTCGAACGCTTGAACGTAGATATACCTCAATAATGCGACATTCCACTTCCAAAAATATATATTTACACATATACACATAAATACGTATTAGGGTGTCCCTTAATTGTGCTTTGTTCAGTGATTCGTATATGTCGATGTTTAAGATTAACGTTGGCATTAAACTATCGTCAACATATATAAATAAAAGGGTAAAAGATACGAAATAATAATAAAAATAATTTTTCGAATTTATACGACATAAAAGAAAGCAAAGATAGAAGAGAACAAACACACCCACATTTGTTATATAATTTATAGGCAAGTAAAAGACATCCTAATACATATATAAACACATGGCATACGTACATACATATAATACATATATATTAGGATATAAGGATTCAAGGATCCAATAATCTGAATATTGAATGCTTATATTCTTGGATTCTTCGCCCAAAAACTATTAATTTCTTAGATTCTTATATTTTTGCATAGAATATTTTTTTTTGTATTATTATTAACTTTAAATGAAATTCTTAATTTTTTATTCACGATCGTATTTAATCTTTAAATCCCCGAACATTTAGTCCTCGTGCAAAATCTTTAGAACTATATAATTTTTTAAATCCTAAAATAAATATACATAAGATCACAAAATGCTGTTACATATTTAAAGATTTTTAAGCATTTATACAATAAAGTATTGAGCAATTGAAGATCCAAGGATCGAAGCATCCGTGTCTACAATACGTATATTCACACATCACATAGAGAAGGACATCAATGTAATCTAAGCTTCGTTATTTTTATGATCTCAATTAATTATTCGCGATCGTAGTAATGGACAAAGTTTTTATTGTAACCCTTTAACCGGTAAATCGAATATAATCTTCTTGCGCCAGAGAAAACACCTCCAATGAAATTACTGATAATGACGTAAGATATCAAAATCGTAGCAAAAATTCGACGGAACTGTAGAATGTCCATAAATTCCCACATTTACGTAATAAAAAAAGGCGCAATTTAAGGATATTCTATATATCAAGAGAGAACAGGAGAGAAAGAGAGAGAGAGAGAGTATGTGTGTGTATGTATGTGTGTGTACATATGTATCTGTGTTTTAACAGATTTTGTGTCGATTCATCAAAATTAAGATTCTCGAAACGTCGAAGATGATGAGCGAAAACGTTATTTTAAGGATTTCGACAGGACAAGAATTTTTATCCTTCTCGATTTTTGATGCACAATATGCGACAAAGCGTACTGATGATAGAAAACAATGAATAGCGCGAGTAGAGGGACTACTGGTTAAAGGGTAATTCGATGGATCAATCGAAAGGAACAAATTGTTATTCCGTTTTCGAAGAATTGTTCGATTAATTAAACAGATAGTCGACGATGTTCTTTTTCTAATTTATAGAACTTTGATTCGATTTGAGGAAAAAAGCGAAAAAGTGTAAGTGCATGCGTGCGTGTAACATGTATGCGTGACAAAGGGAAAAGAAGATAGAAAAAAAAGGGGAAGGATAGACCAACGCGGAAAATGCAATCTCGAAACAGGTGTAAATATGTAAAATAAAGTGTTCCTGACGTAAACGCACAGAAAATCGTCAGAAAATAGTTGACATATGACAATTTCGGATGAGAATTTTCTGTCGAATTTCCTGGTCCTCTTATCCTATCTCTTATTATGTAGGTTTATAAATATATGTTTCGAATATTGAAGGATAAAAACTAAAAAGACTTGCTTTTATTATAGCAACATTTATCAGCTATCTGTCTAATGACATTGACATTAATGATTTGAATATTATTTTATATTGTCTCTTTTTTTCTCTCTCTCATAATTAGAAACAGTCATAATTCTATCGATTATGAAATTATTCTATAAAGTAAATAAAATAATTAAAACTTTTTCTCACAGAACTGGTTCTTCTTTAGATAAATAACGATTAATAGTAAGTTATTAATATTTTTAAATAGTGCTTAAGATAACGTTTAATTATGTATTCGATATTTCTTCAGTAGCAACCGGCAATGAGGAGAGCATGATACTTGCATAGGATAGGGTAGATTTTTCTAAAGATAAAATCAATGACCAAGTCACAAAAGCGGTAATAGTATGTATATATATACTGCATATAACTTTTAATTTTTAACAATAATTATTTTAACAATAGTATATAATAATATATAATAGTAATATATATATATATATATATATATATATAATATTTAATAATAGTAATTATTAACTGATGTATAATTGTGAGCATATAAATGTGTATACATATATCCGTTATAATATTGCCACGGAAAAGGTTTCTTGGAAGGAAAGAATTCAATTGCAAATTCAATTTCTGGGATGAAATTCGTATTGCATTTAATAAAATATTATTTATCGTTTGAGAAAGAGAGAGAGAGAGAGCGATGAAAAAAATTATTCGCAGAAAATTCCATATTATTCGAATACAGCGAAACTTGAAACATCAATAAGTGAAATGACAACCAAAGAGAAGAATCAAGTATACGTTTATCAGCTGGGTATTCGCAGAAAATTCCCTATTATTTAAATACAGCGAAACTTGAAACGTCAATAAAATAATGAAATGATAACCGAAGAGAAGAATCAAATATACGTTTATCAGCTGGGGAAGCCAGATTATTACATCGAGGTGAGCGCAATAAGTGTTCGCAAGAAGCGAGATTAGAAGGCACAATTAGAAAAAAAAGACAATACTAATAATAATTTTCGCACGAATATAAGCGAAAACTCTTGTCCGAGCGGATGAATCCATAGTGTAGCATCGAGCGAGACGGCTATCCAGGTCGTCGGCATCACTCGACTCCGATGGCGGCGCTCGTTCGCTCGTTCGGTCGCAGGAGAAGGCGCGAGAGCGCTCGCGGTGGCGCGTGTCCGGATAGCCAGTCTAGCGTCGACCGTTAACCCTTCCGCAAGGGTGTGCGCGCTCCGTACGCTCCGGCTCCGATTAACGTCAGTGTTGCCCTCGGGTTTCAATCCCGCGTTCAATTTACTTTACGCATTCGGCATCGTGTTCTCTTCCTGCTTCTCTTCCTATCTTTTTTCTTTTTCTCCATCTCTCGAACGAGAAGGACGACCGTCGAAGGACACTTCGACGCTTCACTCTCACGACACGGGTATCGGTTGAGAGTTTCGTTTTCTCTTCCGTTCCATCGGAATGAACGGACACGCAAGGAACGAGCGACCGGACGACGAAGCCGATGCCGCGTCGCTCGGCGCCGATATACTCAACCCCTTCGTGCATCGGCTCGAACTTGGCTCGACCTACGACAAGCTCAAGGTCAGTATCTCTCGAAAGCAGCTTTTTCCCCGGGATCGATGCTCGTGCGGGCGCCTTTTACGGGGGTGCCGCCACCGTTGCCGCCGCCGCGAGGCGGGGTGTGCTTCGATCGCGATGCCAAGAAAGTGCGCGTGAATGTGTTGAATAATTACTTCGCAGTTTAACGGTCAACTTTTTGCAAATTTTTAATCGTACCTCGATGAAATTCTGGAGAGTCGATTAAAGCATCGCTAATAATAGAATATAATTAGAATTGAAAATGATTTAGGACGACTCAGACACATCTCAGGCTCTCGAAAATTGCACAATGAGAAATTGATTGCGAGATTTATTACGAAATTTATTACGAAAATTGATCGAGAGACTTATTTTTTTAGAGATTCGAATATTTTATTTGCATTTCAATTTACTAAAGAGCTCCAAATACGTCAAGAGTGTACGTAATCAGAGTGTAACGTGAGGTACATGCAGCATAATGATACAATATCACAGTTATATAAGATATTGCAAATCTCAGGATGGCGAAATAACAACCCGCAATAAATTATTGCAAAAATATTTACAAGATGGTTGAGGAAATATCGCGCTTACACAGGCTAGTTTTTTCCGCAAGTTGGTCGCGGTTACTTTCACGTCGTGACCAGGAATCGGTCAGGTAGTGTTCAGTTAGCCACGCGGTCAATTTTGTGCAATTATAATTAACATATCTTATCCTTTCAAAGTCATCCATTTTTCCAATATCTCATAATCGAGACCGTAACGTCAAACATGTCGACATATATCATTTGTATGTAATTTCCGCCCCACTTTTCTTTGGCACATTTTCGCATGGGCTTCTTTGCGAACTCGATGTAAATGTTAACCGCGAACAAGGTCACGTAAGTGATCAGTACGTTCACTAGTAGATGAGTTAGTCCAATCTAGGCGAATCTGCGATTTGAAAAGTTTGAGAAAGATATGTATATTATATTTTTAATATTTGTGTAAAATATTGTGTAAGATATTCCTCCCAAATATATGAACATATTATATTAGTTATAGTAGTAGTTCAGATTCGAGAAAATGTATTTGTAAATTTATTATATTATTTCATATCAATATAATATTAATAATATTATTTTATATTATTATTTCATATCTTTTATATTATTATTTCATATATTATATTTCATATCAATATATAATTAATAAATATTATTTTATATTATTATTAGTTACGTTACAATTGTTTAACATCAGGATAGGACAAACATATATGTAGAATCGTGTATCGTGCATATGCGCAGAATTTGCAAGATCTTTATTATTCGACTGACATAATATGTACATATAAATTGTATAAAAGAATCTAAGGATCTAAAAACATATTTTTATCGCGATCTAGACTTGGCAAGAAAATGGAAAACAGCCTTCGCACTCATTAAAATCGTTTCCGCAATTTAGGTCTTGTAAATATTAGCGATATCAATGATTTTTGTTATTATATACTATATATTTTCGAGGAATTAAAATCGTGGTCTATACTTTTCTAAACATTAACACGCAAGTAGCGCTCTTCTGTGGACCGATGCTTTCTCTTGTTAAAACATCGGTGAAGTCTGAACGCGTAGAAAGCCTACATTCTAGGTGATGCGAGTAAGTTAAGAACAGGACGATTTATGACAGGATCAAATTAAAAATGAGAAGTATATTCTAAAAAGAAAATGGACGATTAAATCGAAAATTAAATTATATATAATTATAATAAATTATATAATTATATGTCTAGGATATCCTAATTTAAAGGTCTCACTGAAATATATAGGAAATTTAAAATGATATCAAAAAGAAAGTTTCGGATAAAAGTTGTGAAATTTCAAGGAGGACATTCTATCGGCACACTTTTGTTCCAGATGAAATATAAGATTATCTTCATTTTTTATTGTGACTATATCATTTTGCATATATAGAATCTTGGGTTCTCTTATAATTATTTTGAATACAAAGATTTTCAGAATTTATTATTAAAGATTAATGGTTTATGTAATATTTTATGATTTATTTTAACATATTATATGACTACAGAATTATAAGGTATATGCAATATTTTATTTTTATCCTTTTACTGTCGATTTTATTTTAATACTTTAAGATAACTTCTTCAAATTTCAAAATATACAGAATATCCTATATAATCTCTTTTATATATCTTTTACATATTTTATATTTTATAATCTATATAGATTATAAAGTATGTTATAAAATATGTTATAATTATAAAATATGTTAAAGATATTCTGTATATTTTGAAATTTGAAGAAGTTATCTTAAAGTATTAAAATAAAATCATTAAAAGTAAAAAGATAAAAATAAAATATTGCATATCCCACACAGCACATGATATCATTCGAATATTCTATACTCATACTGTAAATATACGTTACAGATTTATTTTTACAATCTATTTTATACTTTATATTGTATGTTAATACTTGCTAATATATAACTTTCTTTCACAAAACAAGTGTCTGCGCAAAAATCAGCATATAATAAACGAATTTAAGAAATTTCTTCGATATCATGTATGATTTGTTCAATTGATGATCAACTCGAATCAGTTCTCATTGATTTCGGTTTCAAATTTTATCCTAAAACATTGCATTAATATTTATGCAAAGTGTATCTTTAGCATTTATATTTTTTTCTGATCGTTTTCTCAGTTCTTGCTTTCACTCTCATTTACAAAAAAATTATGCCACAGCTATGCTAATACGTTTATAAAAGTTAACAGTTAATTTTATAACGCGGACATAGATTTAATTCATAAAGTCTTGACATAGATATTTGATTTGTCTTGGTATATCACACATGGATATCTCATGCATTTATTTCTTCAACAAGATGAAGCGAGAGGGGACGAGCGGCTGATTATGTGTGCAACTAACGGAACAGTGAAACATAACGAACGGTACTCGCGTACTATCTCTCTCCTGCTTTTCATTCTTTCTTTCTTTTTCCTTTTACAAGACGAAGAAAAGTTGAAGCCATCGATGAGTTTTGTAACCTTGACCGCGTGACAAACGACGAGTTGGCCCGATCCAATTACATACTTACTTACTTACTTGTGTGTTCCATTTCACCATTATATATAAAAGAATAGGAAGAACGTACTGTTGATTCAATGCATTTTTAATATTATTTTAAACAATATTTTTTGAAACATGTGCTAACATTTAAATTATACTTGGAACCAATTTGCACCTGTCATTGGATTATTTATGACAGATATCTTCTGATGTATAGATCGTGAATTAAGCTTCTTGATTTTATATTTATATATAAAATGTATGTGATAAGAATAATTAAGATGTAATATTAGGTCCGATCAAAAATTATCCGAAAAAAATTGACGTGGGAATGTTTATTGTTTCAGACGATATTCTTGACAATCGCCCTCTTGCCGTTCAGGCTAGCTGCCATCATGACTTTGATGATACTTGCGTGGCTATTAGCTTGCTTAGGTTTGCATGGATTGTCCGAAGAAGATCTTCGGCGAGCTCCTCTCACGGGCTGGAGACGGTATGTTTAAGTAGCATCACAATTGGTGCGATCGAGAGAAAACGATTATTTCTTATCCTAGTCTGAATCTATTTCTATATCTATGCTATTCACATTAACATTAACCCTTCGGGATTGCTTTTTAAGCTTTTGTCTGTGGTGATACAGTATCGCTTTGCTAACAGATTAAATTTGCATTCGTTAGATCTTTAAATATGCGTTCTCAGAGATCCTTAGACCTAGAACTCGGCTTTTGATTTTTTAATAATTGTTTACAATTTCTTAGAAATGTATTTTACGATTTTTTATGTTAAAGATTTAAATTAAACATGATATTTGAAGATTAGATGTCAAATCAATGAGATCAGTGAGTCTCAGTTAGACAAAAAGAAAAAGAAAGAAAGCGTTAATAATACACGTTCTTATGTATGAGACAAGAATAGATCTTTATAACAAGGTTATTACTTATAATTCTGCTATCAACTAAAGTGTTTTCCTATACAATAAAATATTTCTATTTGTGTCTCTGCACTGAGGAAAATTATCTTGAAATAAAAAGATTTTAGTTAACTCAAGAAAGCTATTTATTCGATGGGTACTAATCACGTATTTAATTGTATTCAAAACGTCTGTTTGCTTAAGTTAAGTATTTATTTACATATGTTTAAATATATATATATATATATATATATATATACTTAAAAAAATATAATTTTTAATTAAATATTTTTAACAACACGATACACTAGAAAAAAACGGTTAAGAGCCACCGCGGATGGTAGTGTGTAATATTTTTTTTTTTTTTAATAATTATTCGCGTAAATGCACCAAGTAAAATATATGCATATGACTTGTTTTAATTATCGCGAATAATTATAAAAAAAAAAAATTACGCACTGCCATCCGCGGTGGCTTTTAATCGTTTTTTTCTAGTATATAGTGTTGTTAAATACATAAAGAGTCTTATTCTTTATTAATTTATTAAATATTTTTATATTTTAATTTTACAAAATATTTATTAAAATGCATTTTTTATTCCAAAAATTTAAAATTTTTTAATTTAAAAAAATAATATATTTAATTTAATAAATTATAGTATATATTTTACGAAAATAATATTTAAATATAAAATATATAAATAAAAATAATGTACTTAATGTACTTAATATAACATGCATATTTAATTAAAATTAAATGCTTTTGCTTAAATGAAATAAACAATTTCTTCCATTTAAAGCAAAAATTTCAAGAAAACTTATTTGATTTAAAAAAATTTTTCCCTCAGTGTGTGTTCTTCCATTGTAATATATAATTTATTAGTGACTTACTTAATATCTTTTACAGACAAATAATCAATAATCTTGGAATTTGTTTGACGAAACTAATACATTTCTAATTTTAATATTAATTATTCTCAGTGATTTAAATTTGCAAATAAAATTGAATTATTAAAGAACTATTATTTAACAAAGATATTATTTTGTAAATTAATGTATATACAAAAAGTTTGTTAGATAAAGGTAAGCAATAAAGTTATAACACCGCCTATTTATATTTCTTTCATAATTTAATCATGCGTTACTGTCAAGGTCTTGCGACGCGGAGAATCTATAAAATAACTTTGTATTGTAGTGAGAAGTTATGACACAAGTTTAGCTTATAAAAATATTATCTAAGATATCTTCAACTACAGATACATGGTTAGAGCACATGGTATGAAATAATCCTTTTTTTTAAGAGAGATTATAAATATATTTGTTTGGATTTACATGACGAGGTATTACATGACTATAGTATTATAAAAGAGAAAGATCAGTTCTCATTTAAATTAAATATAAATTAATTTGTTTCATGCAGATGTGTATTTTCGAAAATCTAAAGAATTTTTAAAATTTTTTAAAGGTTTTATAATTTCATAAGATATTTCCTAAAATTTGCGGTGTTTTCTAAATCTAATGATCTCTGTAAGCGAAAAATATAACATTTATCGAAACGGTCTTTCGTGGAAATTGAATTCGACAAATTTTCCCTAATTCTAAAGATTGATTATGAATTTTGCTAATCATTTGAGACTACCTTACGAGAGTGTACAAGTAGTGAATTGTATCGGATGCATGCGCACTGCAAATTAAACTACTTAAAAACAGAGACATGCGCGTCGTGATCTGCTGGATGATGCGGGCATTATTTCTCTGCGGTGGATTTCATCATCTGAAGGTCAAGGGCCGGAAAGCGGAGACTAAGGACGCGCCGGTACTGGCTCTCGCCCCGCATTCCAGTTTCTTCGATGCACTTCCGGTCGTGTACCTTGGCGGACCGAGCATCGTTGCCAAAGGGGAGAGTAGGCGCCTCCCTTTTTTCGGAAGTAGGTCGCCCATCATCGCATTGTCGTCCGTTGACAAATTGACTGACAAGAGAGAGGTCGCTATATTTTTAGACAAGAGAGATTTTGAATAAAATGTATATCTTAAAGTAATCTTAAGGTCGAATTGAATCGAAAGAAAGATATATGTGAATATTTTTAGATGGATGCTTTTTAATTTAGATTTACATTCGCGGCCTCTTTCTTTTTGGACTAAAAGATTTCCCCCTCTGATATTAGTAAATTGCAATATTTTGCTCATTTATTCATTTTTTATTGTACATAATATTTATAATATACTCATACATGGTGGATGGGATTCATTCTTCGGCAACTAACTGTAATATTTTTAACAATTATCGATAACTTGGCTTTCAAAGAGTGTGCACTTCATTTGATTTGATCTTTTAATAAACAAGTTAAACTGCATTTCATTCAAATTCAATTAAAGAATTAAATAATAATATTATTTATAAACTCTTTAATGCATTACTCAATGTTTCTATTTATCAGTGTTAATTATATGCAATTATTAAAAAATATAAATCAAGATATATATATTTTTACACTTTCGACTTATAAATATTTATAGAAAATAAATTGGACACATTTAGAAAGCCAAAGAGAAAAACAAAAACTGCGTCTCGATATATATACATGTATAAAAGTTTGCAATTAACATTTCTCGACTATTTCTAAACAAAACTTAAGTTACTAATCTAAATGCTTTCACCATCTTCTCGCCCTTTTCTTTTTATTACACGATCACGTAGAAAGTGCATCGGACGTACCTGCTCATAGCGCGTTTCTCTCTTCGTAGTATCAAGTTGACCCGAGTACATCGGAGCTCTAGGAACTCCGCATTCTTTTCGCGATATTGTTGACGCATCGATATGTTGCTTCAATACTTTTGAGATCCAGTATCCAAATATTTTGGAGTAATTCCATTGCATGTACCTTGTCGGTTGAAACCCGCAGCAAATTAGTGCCATGGATATGTTTCGTGGGCCGACTTACTTACCAAGCCGGCGGAATGAAAATCGTGGTCCGAGGAAAACAGGCTTCTAGATCGGAAGCACCGATTCTGGTCCTTGCCCCGCACTCGACCTTCATTGACGGCGGCATCGTTTACGTCACCGGATTTCCTTCCATCATCGTCAGACGAGAATCGGGATTAAATCCATTTATAGGAAGTAGGTGCTGCTTTTTTGTTTCTTTTGTTCCTTTTTATTTTCCTTTATTCTCCCTCCCTCTCTCTCTTTCTCTCTCTTTCTCTTTATATTCTCTTATATGTATTCTTTATTATCTTTTATATTCTTTTATTATTTTTTGCAAATATGTGTTTATTAAAAATTTATTTTATTTTAACCACTTTATTTCAACTGTTCTATTTAACTATTTCATTCGAGAGGTAGTAAAAGTAAATTTATTATATGATTTTATTTGAATACTTGTGCAAGACAGGATTTGAGCCAACTAAAAAATAATGACGTCAGATTATCCTCTTAGGAGAAAGTCTTGACCTAGAATCTCAATGTGCTGTGGTCTACGTGAGGTCATTTTAAATGAAATAATTTCAGGCATTATTGACATTGTTAGTCAATGTGAAAGTGGCTTGTAGTAACATTGTAAAATCGCATAACAAAAAACATAATCTGATTGTGGAATCATATGAATAGCAATGATTAAATGCGCTTTACATCATTCAACAACTTTGATGTTGCTTTATTAAAGTCAGCCGAATATTAATTTGTTTTCCAACAAAGGAATGGTTACAATGTGTAATAGAGGATAATATCTTTAAAATATTAATATGTGAATCCCACTCACCATTTTATACAAATTTTTTAAAAATAAATATGCCCTTGCAAGAACGTTACTAATTGCCTTTGCAAGAACATAATTAATATTCTAATTAATATTATAATTTAATGAAATAATAATCAATAAGCTTATTTTTTGCAAAATAATTTGCTGTGCAGAACCGTTGCAATTACTTTCTAGTTCATTTTCAATAACAAATCATGATAATTCGTTGTAAGACTTTCATGTCTCGAGATTAATTACTTGAGTAATATAACTAATAATAATTGATTTAGTCGATTGGGATAGTCACGCAAAATCGTAATTATTAGTTAGGTATTTGAATAATCAATTATACTTGCATTATGCCTTTCCATGTTTGGCGCATACAGAACTCATCAACTACACGCAGCCAGTCTACGTCTGGAGGGAAGATCCAAATTCCCGTCAGAATACTATCAAGGAAATAATTGAAAGAACTACTTCTAAGGAGGATTGGCCGCAGGTGAGAAAAAATATTAGACCATCCACCATAAAATTTGTAGAGATCTTCTATAATATTCTGAATAATTCATGAGTGAGAGATGCACGCAATCTTGCAATCAAGGTAGAATAAATTACTACTTTCTATTGATGCAATTGACCAATCGTTCTCCACAGGTTATGATATTTCCTGAAGGAACCTGTACAAACCGGTCGTGTTTGATTACCTTTAAATCAGGTGCCTTCTATCCCGGTGTGCCAGTGCAACCAGTATGCATCAGATATCCCAACAAATTGGACACGGTAACATGGACATGGGAAGGTCCTGGCGCGTGAGTAGAACCATACAATCCCCCATATAATCTCCCTCTTCCTATATTATTATATTTCTATTCTTTTTACATTCTGGTTGGAGTCTTCATCTGTTGTGCGTTGCAGGTTGAAATTGCTGTGGTTGACGTTAACGCAGCTAAATAGCAGCTGCGAGATCGAGTTTTTACCCGTCTACATTCCTAGCGAGGCGGAAAAACTGGATCCCAAACTGTACGCAAACAATGTACGACGTCTTATGGCAGAGTGAGTTTTCCTATGTAATGCTTAGTAAATTCTAAAAACCTAGTCTGGACCTTTAAAAGATTGTTGTTTGACTTTATAGAGCATTGAAAATTCCCGTTTCGGATTACACGTATGATGATTGTCGGATTATTAGAAAGGCCCATCAATTGCATCTACCACACGCATCTAATATCGTAAAAACCCATAAACTTCGATATAAGTTGGGGTAAATGGCAATTAACATAAATATATTAGAGATATTAATAATTAATTAATCAATTATTATTTTATTTAAACTTTATTTATATTTTTTAATTCATTATTCAATTATTTCATTATTTAATTATATATTCTTTATTTTCAATTAATAATTATGATATATTAAGAATTTTAATATAATTTTAATACACTTGTCACATATAGTTTAGTGGCATCAAAGACGGAAGAAGAGCTCGTTCAGAAGAAGATAAACAATTTCGGCGAAGTAAACCTGCACGAATTTGCGCAAATTCTTAGATTAGACGAAAGGGATCCAACCACTCAGCAATTGTTTCGTATTCATGACAGAGTTCGTATATATAATAAAATTGAAGCGCATGTGTATGTGAATTGATTTATTGAAGAGAATTTATATTTTGTTTCTGTAGCTCGGACAGGGAAAGATCGATCTTGAGGAATATATTTTCACTGTACTAGTAACAGCGAATGCATCCTCGGAACTAGACAAGGTCGAGATTGCATTCAATGTAAGTATGCATAATTATAGCTCTCTACTATAACATATAATAGCATATAAATTTTTATTTTTATACAATCACATTGTGTCATAGGTATGCGGTTCGAGAATGACAATGTGTTTGACGCAGGCGGAACTTAGAAAAGCCTTGAGGTTATCATTAAACATGCCAGCAGAAGAATCCAACAGGATTTTTCAGCAGGCCAGAAAGCAAGACGTTCACACAGTGAGCTTCGGTAAATATTTTTTCGAATTTTATTTTTTCCCGATAATTAATATGTCGCGGGATGCGAACTTTTTCCCGAGCCGATTGATACACCGATTGATTTCTTGCAGAGGACGTTCTGGTACAACTATCGAACCGAACAGAGTATGCACACTTATTCATCGGGAGTAACGAAAATTCGAAGAAGGCCATTTGAAAGTGTCTTTTGGAGCCCGATGTTTCTGAAGAACATCGAGGTATACCTTTTCATAATCCCATCTGCTCCACTCCCGTATGAGAAATGTATCTAAGGTACTTCGAAGTGAAACTATGTTGTCGTCAGAAGTTGCAATCGCACGTACGCGATAATTTAGACAGCTTTAGTGTCTTTCCTATAATCCTGTAAATTAGAGGAAATGAATAATTTAGTAATAGGAGAACTTAGAATTCTAAGATTTGAGAATTCTAAATAATTTTAAACATTTGACAATTTAGAAATATTTATTTAAAAAATTGTAGAATCCTCGAGGATGTGAAAATCCAAAGATACACAACATGATCTTAGATTTCCAAGATTGCAAGAGATTTGAGGATTTTATGATCTAGCGATCGGAGATACTAAAGATTGACAATATCTTATTCAAGAATTTAAAAGCCTAAAGATCTGAGAAAACAACCATCTTTGTTAGTATCGATATATTTAAAGATTAGAATTTGAATTCTCAAAAGTCTTAGAATATAAATATTCGAAGATCTTATGGATTTTATTTCCAAAAATGAGGATCTAAGAATATTAAAATACGAAGAGGGAAAAATTTCAACAGTCTTCTTGTATAGTACACATTAGTTTAATGATCCAATCACGGAAGCTTCTTCCTGGCTCGAAAAGTTGAGAAGTTTCGAGTACATTTATGACATATAATGCGAATGTGAATTTAAGACAAGAAAAAATGAAGGGTAGATAATAAATGGCATAATTTATTTTTCGGCCCGATAGTCCATGCCACGTGTTAGATACAGGCATGCATATTCAAACACACATATATATATATATATATATATATATATATACACGCTAAGTTATGTACATATTTATTAAATACTGTAAAGTGACATGTGTGTATAGGCAAATACACACACACACATACATATACACATAATATAAACCTAGCCATGCAGGGATTGTGCAAATCGATAAATATCGTCTGTATGCACACTCAAGTGCATTCATGTGTGTACGTATATATGTATATAGAATGAGGATATGTGGGTGTAATCAAAGAGAAAGTGTACCCACTTTGTAATATCTGTATATGAATGAAATGGCCAAAGTGTGTTTAAGAGCGCGCATTGTTAGTAATTATTCTGAGTTAAAAACATGTTGAGTTATAGAATGTTTTACTATAAACCAGTATGTTAAAAATAACAGTATTTATTGAACAAAAACTTCTCTTAGCTTTTATTGCAATACATACTATAAACCAGTATGTTGAAAATAACAGTATTTATTGAACAGAAACTTCTCTTAGTTTTTATTGCATTCAAAACATTGCTGAATGATTTAGAAATAATATTTATTGCAAGGATGAATGTTATGTAATCAGCAACTATATTTCAAATAATTTGGCAGCTTTATTAATCTTTTTAATCGAAAGTGCAATTTGTCAAGGTATCTAATATACATACAAACGAACTGACAGCGGGTAGATTCTTAACGTGAAATTGAAAGCATACAGAAAACAAAAATTCTGGACGTGTATGGCATAATAGAGGAAAAACAGAGATGGCGTCAGACGTTTGTAATTTTGATTTAAAGATACAAAGATTTTAGAAGTATCGCATTGACAGAACGAAGGTGTGAAGCTTAAAGGTACAAATTACATAAATTTTCATTTTGTTCCAAAGACGTCCCTGACTACATGTTAACGATTCGATCATTATCGTGATTCCATTTTTTCGGCTAGCCAAATAAAACGCAAACATTTACATACGTTGATACTTTATTAACATCTTGATAATGTACTTAGGACAATATTACAGTCGCGTGACTTCGGAGTTATTGATAGCCCGTAATTTTCCGTCGGAATGACTAGACCGTCGATGTCTAACTTGTGTATGGGTTGGCGGGATATATCCCGCCGCGTCGTCTGGGTGTTTGTGCTTGTCCAGCTGAATAAATCGCGAGCTAGGTCCGCCGCCGCCACTACCGCTGTCCAGGCATTCGCAGCTCAAACTGGCCTGATCGAGGTCGCCCTGATACGGCCCCGGCGCAATCAATAAGCTTTCCGTCGACTTGGTCGGCTGGAAGTGCCGACTCGTGATTGTCGAACTCGTGGCCGTCGAGTACACGGTACTACCGCTAGTACCGCTGGACTTGCGTTGCACGATGCCGATTGGCGTCTTTGATCTACTGCCACCGCTATGCGATCCCTTACCGGGACGTTCCGCGCTATGAGTCTTAATAGTCACGGTGTCCAAGTAACCGTAACCGAAGCCGTAGCCTCCAAAGGCTTTGGTGGTCAGGTTGTCCCAGGACTTGGGCTTGGCGTATTGAAGGCACGGCGGTGGTCGCTGGTGCACGCTCGGATCCCAGTATAGAGTGTCGGTGCTGAGACTGGTAGAGCAAGAGGCGACACTGTCAGCTGTTGTCGAAACATCGCTACTAGTAATGGAATGAAGACTATGACCGGACGTGCGGGGACAATTGTGAGCATTAGGCTGCTGTTGTTGGTCTCGTTGTCCTTGAATGTGATGATGCTGTATATTAGCTTGTTGCTGCTGCTGCTGCTGCTGTTGTTGTTGTTGCTGCTGCTGCTGCTGCTGCTGTTGATGAAGAGTTTGCTCGTTACGGGCACGTCGTTGTTTCTCGCGGCGTCGACGACTAGGTACGCAATTCGGATCACAGCAGGGACTGGCGAGATCGTAAGCATCTAGACTACCGCTATCAGACTGCTCTCGGCGACGATTCGCGCTGGAGATACAAGCGACGCAAAGATTGTTCTGAGGAACCGAGTGCAAAGACGGTCCTTCGCCGGCAACGGACGACTGCGGCTGGCAAGACTGCTTATGAGATTTGCTCTTTGCGGGTGTACCCGTCATACCGTTTGCCTGGTGGTAACTGTGGCGCGAAGAGCTTACGGCCATTGTAGATTCACTCGACATCTTAGACAGAAAATGATGATGATCGCTGCGCGACCGAGGCGGTCCAACTGTTACAAGACAAGCAGCACTACGTGGTATGAGATAGGGTCGTCCGTCTGCGAACTGTAATATATATTTGTATTGTTTAAATTGCGAATATAATGATGTACTTGTAAAAATTATGAGAGAAATAAGTGGAAAATATTACAAAAATTATCAACTTTAGAAAGTTTACTTTGCAGTATTAATTTTTTTAACTTTTATTCTTGAAATGTAAATAACAATTACCACATTATAGAGTAAAAGATGCTCGGTAGAAGTTGCTGGCCGGCAACACTGGATAGTGGAAGAATTGAAGCTAGAAGAGGGCGAGGGTTGATTAGGATGAATGCCGGCGATGCTGTTAGGCGTTCTCTTGCGTGCTGGCAGTGAATGGGTCTTCCATCGGCCCATTAAAATAGACCGTTCTCTTTCGCACAGTCTTTCCAGTTCACCTAGACGAGATTGAAGGGCGCGTTGCAATTCGATGTAACGCATATGCAATTCCACCTAAAATATCATATATACTCTCAACGATTGATTTAGCAAAATCCGAAGAAAAACTTACATTGAAAATTCAAGATCGTGAAAATATCATCGATACATGATCAAATTTCTTTTTACCTTTCTAACGCAATCTTCGAAGGACACGACCATTCGCATTCTGGTATCACAGTTCTTGATAAAATTCACAAGAGTCTTGTGATCGGCTCTGTCCATCTCGTGACCGTTTATAGACAGTATTACGTCACCCTCTCGCATACCAGCTTTGAACGCCGGTCCATCGTATTCTACGTAATCCACATACGTAACCATCTCTATCTCCTGCTCCCTCTTATAGTGTATCCCGTAGCTCTATCAAATCAAAGTCAGTGATAAAAACAATCAAAATATATTTATAAAATATATCTATTTATTACAATTTTTTAATTTTTTAATAGAATGATGTAATGATGGAGTAATACAGCATTGTGTTAGACAGATTGGGACATCACGTTTATTATGTGATGTAGTAATATATATACATATATCACCTGTAATGTGAAACCGTACGTGCCGTTTTTCTTCTCAACGATAATCGTCCGCCGACGTCTGTCTTCATCAGCGCGTGTAGCTCGATCGGACTTGGTTCTTTCAAGGACAGCCTGAAAAAAACGCTTATCGCTGAATCGTAACGCTAAGACTGGAGCCACTTTACGCGACCATACAATATTGCATTTGATAAAGAAAAAGAGGAAGCTATCTGTTTTACGCGACCTCTGATAAAGAAAACGGCGGAAGAATTTGCAGATAAGATTTAAAAAAGCAGAAATTAAATAGAATCGCGCGACGACTCGCGGGATGATTCCTCCATTTTCCTCAACGTGAATAACGCAGGGCGAGAGAGAAGCGACTGGGGAGATTAATTAATTACACATTCGACGACGCCGCTCCATTCCTCCTCGTCGCTGTTGTCGATACCGGTCGTCCGCCTCTGGCCGCCGATGCTGTTGGTGTTTTGCGGCGAGCTGTTCATGGTCGCGACCGCAGGACGTCCGTGGCCGAGCGTTGTCGTCGCCGGGGTGTCGTCAACACCTCGGCCAGGCGTCTTTATCGAGGTTGGCGAGGGGTTAACGCGCGTCCCCCGACGCCGCACGGCGGCACGACTCTGTCGCGAAGCCGTCCGGCCCGACTAGACAGTCTCCCAACTGTTGTTCATCGCGCAGACGCGACAATATCGGCCTAGCACCCCGCGGCGACGATGGATAAGGGGTTGGCGGGGTGAGCGCGGCGGCAACCCGGTGTCGTCGACCCGGGCCTCCCTTCCTCCCGTGGTCGCATCCCCCTGGCATCGCGCCATCGTGTCGCTTTCCCCGTGACGCCGGCCAGGAATAAACGGAGATCTAAATACGCAGGAGCGCGCGCGGAAGTTGGTTAAGAATCGAGACGGTCACCAGGATCGATAGCCACTCGCTCGAATATGTCTTTAGCTTGTTGATCCTTGAAAAGCGTTCCGCGAGCAATTCTCCTATTCATTTCCAGCGTCTGACGTTCGTTCGGACGCAGCTGCAAGTCCGGTCTTTCTTGACGACGCAACCACACTTCCGGATAGTTTCCTTGCTCCTGTCTCGAATACCGCGACAGCACGGTGAACACTCGAGCCTCTCGATATCTTCCAGTCGTTCCTTTCGCGGACAGCAGATCCTCGCAGCCTCTCCGCTGCCGTCGCCAGTTTTTTTCGGAGGACACGCACACTTCGTCCCTTCTCTGTCCGAAGCGGAAGTTATCCTCTTGCATTGAAACACAGGACCGTCATCGGCGCCCTTAAAGAGGTAAGGTTTTCTATCGTGTGGAATTTGAAATTGCGTGACGATCTTCCTGCCGAAGCACGAGGCGCGGATAAAAACCGTGACTTGGCCCACGCATTGTCCTGTTGCCGTGGTAATCTTAAAAGTATCCTTGATTTTCGGTTTGCAGGCGATCTGGAAGATCTGCTGGCTCAATAGCGAGTTTATAAGATCGCGAACTTGAATCTGATGAGTACCTATATGTCAAAAAACATATTTCTATACCGGGTAAAAGAATGATGATTTGATTACAACGTTAAAATATTTCATATAATATGTTGAAGAGAGAAATAAGAAAATAGAACAAGAACAAAAATTAAAGGACCGATTAACATCACATCTGGCAAGACTCCTGGTGGCAATTCCTTGTAAACGGACATTGTTACGAGAAAACTGCACAATGGTTTTTGCAAAACAACGTTTGCAAGAGCGAATAGGCAAGATTTGCCCTTTTTGAAGACTTGCGGTCCTTTATCGATGCAGGCGCAAGCTTCCGTTGGTGATTCTTGATAAATATTAAGAGGGGGCAAATCCAATATCTGATAATGATAATTATTGTAATCGTCAATAATAAAAGGGATTGAGAGATTTCAATACAGAAACTTACTTGAAACGAGATGCATGTTTTCGCCGGCAAGATCTCTTTATGTATTGCCCGTATCGCAGGAATATTGACTTTGTCCACTAAAAACTCCATCAAAAATAGCTGTTCTCCTTTTATTATGTTTTCCATTTTAAATATCTATATATAATTTAAATAAAATATTGAGGTTAATGTCTTGTCATATTTATCAACTTTATCAGTCTTTTTATTTTATATGTTTTGTCTCTAGAGAGTCAAGTAAAAATTAATAATTTTTATCAAAAATCACATGTTATATATTTTTATTTTATGTTATTTCTTGCTCATATTACTTTAATCAATTTAGATTACTATAAACAATAAAAAAATATTTAGATTGATAATTATATACATACAAACTTATCGATTGAAACGCTATCTTATTATATAGGATGATTCATTAATCGCTATCTACATATTACATTTTAGAAAGATATTACGAATAATATTTGTTTTATATATCATTTAACAGTGCGATATTTATAGTATAAAACACTTAAAAAAATTACAACTATAAATTTATATTTGTACTTATATTACAAACACAATATTCATCAGAGAGTTTCCCAAAAACGACATTAAGGAAAATATCACCGCGAAATAAATCCTTTCGAATAAATTCAGAATTTATCTAGAATATATTTAGAATTCGAGTCCCTCTCGATCTCGAGGCGCATTCAATTAATTTTTCTTCTTTTTCTTTTTTTAATTTTTTTTCTTTCCTTTGGGGCCTCCTCCTCGTATTTCTCCGTTTGCATATCTCTAGTCTCGTATCTGATCGGTGGCCTTCTTTCCAATCCTTTCGGGGTTTTCATCTCCAACTGTATATCAGACTTCTCGCCGATGCCGACGAGGCCTTTCTTGCCGATCCTTAGGACAAAAATATCATGATCAGGATCGGACGATTCGCCTTTCGCCGCGGTGGATTCCCCAGCAACTGTCACGGTAGGTTTCTTTCCACCGATGTCACCATTGTCAAAGAGACCGGATACCTTGAGAACCACTGGCTTGCCGCAAGGTTGAGTCAGGCCACCAGTGGCTCGGACGAGATTTTTTGGCGACTGAAAATTAAATCCGAAATTCTTAGATGGTTAATCAAAAATTTTCATTTTTTTTAACATGTACCATATCCTTTCTTCCTGCTATTCCATCATCTCCTTTGTCCCTTTCCTCGACAGCTGCTAATTTTCCACACGGCACACAAGGATACCTTTCCGGTTCGCAAACGGGACAAGTTCGAAGTTCCTCGCTAGAATCTTCAAAGAGATCAACCGTGCGAGAATCCATCTTGCGACATTTGTACGATAAAGCTTGATCGAGCTCTCCTGAACCGAAGATGAAGGTTGAGGGATCCTGGTCGATCGGCGCGTCGAATTCCGTGACGATTGTCTGCCCGAAACCAGACATTCTCACGAAAATGTCCAGATAGCCCGATAAGTTCTGATTGTGAATCAACGGTATTTGGCCATCGAAGACCTTGGACGTAGCGACACCCTTTTTCCAGTACTGTAGCATCTCTAATCTCAAAGCTGCGTATTGACCGGACAAATCTAGCTCGCCGACACCCATCAAGATGTCCGGTTTGATACCGTCCGGCATCTGCTTCCTCACGGTGAGCTTCAAAATCATTTTTACGGAGCGATCTGTAACCGTCTCGTGGTCGACGGCGAACAGCACCGATTTTCCAGCGTTGAAGATCTCGACGTCATTAGCGATACCCGCCTGCGGTTGAAAGAAAAGGTTCACCGGAGTCACGGTCAGATCATTCTCGTCCACAAAGTCGAGAAATCCAAAATGAACGCTCGTAGGCACGCAGAACATCTGATTCAATTTGGCCAGGCGGTCGCCCGACACCTGTCTCACGAACAGCTCCAACAGGAACAGGTAATGCTCCCTGCACACTTCGGGAGAAGCTTGCTCGCGGCTGCCATACAATGGTGACTTGACGCGTCTCGCTGACATGATTGCGGTGAAGTTTTTTTCGCGATAAATGATTCTACATGATCAGAGTTATTCTCGTTGCACGTGACGGTTTATCAAATTAACTATGACAGATATGACGAATTTTTCATTAGTTGGCAAATTAAGTTAATTAAACAATTTGAAAAATTTAGATAAGCCATGCAAGGAAATTTTCTGGAGATATTTTTAACGAGAAAATTTAAAAACTCATTATCGAAAGGTTATCGTTGCTGAGACAGCTTTGCCTAATCATAAAGACATCGTGCGTAATGTTACTGTTTTATCTGTCAAAGTTCAAGTTTCAAGTCTATTCGTTCAGGTCAAACGTGATCGATAAAAGAATGAATAGGAGAAACAGCGTAGCAAGTTACGCGATAATATACAATGTTACTTAATCATTTATTATTATACAGGTACAGAATAAAGTGATGTAGGTCGGAACAAGATACGATCTTAAGATGATGCAACGCATCAGTAGAATTGAAAGAGAAGATATTAAAGTCGTATTTATATTTTTAGAGCTCGAGCTATTTCGATTCTTGTGCCTAAAAAAGAACTTCAACTATTATATCACTTTAACATCGGAATGTAATTTATAACGTCATGAAATCAATATAATCAATCAAAAACGCCATGAAATAAATGTAAAATATTTTGTCAAAATAATATTTCTTTTGTCATTTTTTACATAAAGATGATTAAAGCTGAAAGAAATTTTAATCGTGAAAAATAATAATGAACTTAAAAAAAAAATTTAATAAAATCAAAATAATTTCGTTCTAATCTTAATGTTTACGGATGTCTCTTGGAAAAATAAAATCCGCAGATTTCTAACTTTTTATAGTTTTTCAAATTATACGATTTCCAAAGTCTAATATTGCAATACATTGAAGCGAATCTTGGTTTCCCTCTCACTCGTAAGCGATAAGACAGTTTTTTTTTCCATTGTAAATGTGGAAGGCGCGCAATAAAATGACACTGCAACTTGTATACGACCTTCTAAATGCAGTAGTGGCAACAATATCGTATGGTCGCTCTTTATCGTCGTAAAATGTTCCGGATATTTAATTTCAGATAGTTGGCATTTTCGCGCGGAACCGGCTTATGAGGCACTTGGCCGTCTTCATCATGCAATCGTTACGCACGCACAAACGGTGGTCCTCTTTTACATGACCCTCATCCACGTCGATTATTTATACGATCAGATGTTCGATTGGATGAAATTGCGATCCCGCCATCGCCCCGCTAAATGAGGACCAATTAATTCAACAGACGGCTATTAAATTCAGTAGAAGTGCAGTCAAGATATTTATCTCTTGACTTCACAATTAATAAGAATTTTTCTACGAGTCTCACGAGTTCTCTCTAGTAAATTAAAAAATTCAATGGGAAAAAGTGTTCTCCATTAAACAAAAAAAAATAATTTTTTTTTTCAAAATAATTTCTTTATTAATATTACAAATATACGACAAATTATCAAGTTTAATGAAGTTCTCGAAAGAAAAAAACTTCTCATTCTCGACAGGCGCCTGCATAATATACACATACGTATCGATTACACCTCACGGGAGGCTCGATAGCGGGAATCGCGTGTCCCACGTGCTCGTCGTCGACGCGAGGCGCACGCGATTAATGAATAACGCATGGCACGCGTGAAGCGACGTAGTCGTTGCGTGAAGTCGCTGCGTTAGTCGTGACATCGGCTCGCCGAATTTCATCATCCATCGTGTCTTACGGTGTATAGGCCGCCAGACTTTATTGTTAGACGCGTGTGTGTTGCACGCGCCCACCATTTCTGGCTTCTCGCTCTAGCGGGTCACACGATACCGATTTAGGTGAGGGATGGCATAAGGGTTCACCTCCTGAGTTCGTCAATTTTTAAATACGAGCCTCTCGCTCGCAATTATAGAACATATACAGCGAGACTTTATTCCTCCCGACGCGGAGCCGAGAGCAAAGTACGAGGTGCTGCTTCTAAAAAAAAATCCTAAAAATAGAACGTGATAACGCGCGAAGGTCTCATCGATCGCGAAATATCTCGGGCTCGCGTAGATTCAATTTAATCTGGAAATTCTACAATTCCTAGTCGGATTCATTTTTATTCGGGATTCGTATCATCCGCGTTGGATGGCATTGGAAAGAACAAGCGACCGGCGGAAATCGGCCGCGACTCTCGAGCGACGACCTCTGCCGCAGAACCTCGGAGTACAGCTGCGGCGGCGACGGCGACGGCGACGGAGAGGGGGGGGGGGACCCGCGGGAGGTGGCAGTGACGGTGGTAAAGACGCGGCGGCGAAGACGGCAAGCGGCAGTCGGCGGCGGTCCTTTGAACGGTTCGTGCGTTGGTGCGTAGGCGAATTCGGCGTCCGAAACTCGCGCTGATCTCGTCGGATATAGCAGAATATACGGGAATGAGGTAATCACCAGGACGACGGGCTTCTTGAATTCTTGCCACACGTAGAGGCTTGACGTATAACGAGCGGTGACTCGACAAGTGAGTATTCCTAATCGATTCCATCGATTGTTACCTGGCCCTCGTGGGCTAACCGGATCGTGAGAACTCCGTTCGCGTCCCTCGTGCATTTTCCCGCGTCGTGATGGTATTTTTGGTACCGTTACGACGAGATTGGAAAATTCGCGGAAAGGTAGGGTCGTGGAAAAGCCGAGAAGCAGAGAAAAAGAGAATATGATCGATTGCGAACCGAAGCGCGAAAGAGTTACAAAGTAAAAAAGTCGAAGATTAATGATTGTTGTATAAAAAATAATTTTCTAAATACTTTTCTTTCAAATAAGAAAAATGGTCTCTCATTTATCGCGCTATCCTTTATTTTTAGACTTATCCGCGCTTATCCTTTATCATAGACAATTAAAATTTCTACTGACATTGCGTCATGTTGCATGGTGTTATAAATCATTCTCGCCATTATTACTTTTTGTAACACATTACTTGTAATTACCGTTATCATTAATATCGTCACTATTATATAATGTTATATCATGCTTCAATGAAAAGATACTGTCAATTAACTTATATTTCAAACGTTTTTCGTCAAATTTTTGTTGTCAAATTTAAATTAAATCACATGGTGGTTTCGGAGCAATTGTTCGTCAAAGCGACCACGTGTAGGCACAACGTATGGGCGTCTTTTTATCGCACACGAGTTTTGCATGATGTAACTATTTACCGATATTTCGGACGAGCATCTACAGTCGCTCGGCCACATCTTTCTTGCAACGTTATCGTCGCGAAAATTTATTGATATAATAATGAGAGGACACAGATGTGTGACTCGATGTAGACGCACGAGGGAAGACAGTTGTGTGTAAAATACAACTACGTAATTTTTCTGCAGTTGTCAAATGGAAGTTCACAAAGAAGTATTTACCACCGTTCCTAATTGAAATGTAAACTGCATCGGATTGTTTAGATTATCGGACTCCTATATCTTGCAGTTGTCAGTAATGCGTTAACACATTCTTCAACTTGCGAAATATTACACCGGTGACAAACCACTCTCAATGTATTCTTCGATTTAAAAGTATGTTGAAAAAATTAGCTAACTCGACATCTTACAATTTTAAAATTCGATCGTTTTTCTGCGCCAGAGAATTAGATGTTTTCACGTCGCGTTGAATTTTTACGTGTTTTTTGCATATATGGCATTTAAGTTTTAAGTTGGAAATGTTATAAAATCGACACTTAGGGAATCGCGGAACCGTTGGATATATTTAGCGATTCCCCAGATATCTTTAGTATATTCTTAGATATATATTATCTAGATTTTCCTACAAGTCTTAAAAGATTTCCTCGTATCTTAAAAGATTTCCTCATATCTTTCTGTAGATTCTTCAAATGAAATTAAAGCATATATACGCGAAAATATCATTCTTTATTTTAGTTTTATCTCTACGTAAAAGATAAGTAAAAATGGGCCAATTATAATTATATTTAGTCTTCCGTTATAGCTAATCTGTTATAAGAAACGTATGTGTTAGTCATTACTTGTAAATACCTTCGTAGCCGAATAATATTCGATCATGTATAGTTTTGACTTATTGTACATTTCACTGGCAGACAGCCAAATTTCTACTTCAACTCGTTTAGCCTCATAATCGGTACTTGTTCGTCATTGATTCGCCATAATAGTAAAATCGAAAGGCATACCTGTCACGAACTCTGAGCGAAACGGAAGCTTATGATAAGATGAATAAATAGCTGCCACGTCAACTTGCGTTTACTGAACGATATTTGCAAAATGATATTTATTTTATAAAACTATTCTTTATCTTAGCATTACACACATTATCCGTTTCGTTTTTAGTTATCGCATGGAATTATACTTAATGGTCTCAGGAAGAAACTGTTTTTATGCAGCAAATATATCAAATATGTTTGAATAATTTTCATTTTCATCTTAATTGTCAGACATTTAAAGTGTAAAATATTCTTTATTTCAGATATGTATGTTTTTTATTTAAAAGCATTATTTCGTTAATATTAATTACTTTACTATTTTAAATATTTATAATTATATATATATATATATATATATATATATATATATATATAATTATAAATGGATAATGTGTGTAATGCTAAGATAAAGAATAGTTTTATAAAATAAATATCATTTTGCAAATATCGTTCAGTATACACACACGCACACGCACACGCGCACACACACACACACACACACACACACACACACACACACACACACACACACACACACACAAGGTGTCCCGAAACTATCGCTTCATATTTTAAAGGTAGATTCTCTGGCCAATTTAAAAACGATTTTTCTTCAGCGAAAATGTCGAAGCACTAATAGTTTTTGAGTTATAAATGATTGAAAATAAAGAGTTTTTCGCAAACTAAGCCTTATGGGAATAAAATATTAATAAAGTCACATTCTTTAGTTAATTTTAGGTAGAGTTTACTTTAATAGAATTTTAATTTAAGGCTTAGAAAGATACATGATGACAAAAATTGGGACTATGCAAAAAATAATGATCTCCTTCGACATTTTCGCTGAGGAAAAATCGTTTTTAAATTGACCAGAGAATCTATCTTTAAAATATGAAGCGGTAGTTACGGGACACCCTGTACACACACACACACACACACACACACACACATCTGCGCCAGCGCCACATTACACAATACTAATTATTTTAAATTAAAATATGCATATATTTTTTTATATACTATATTTTTTATATGCACTATATATATAATATTTTAATAAAAAATTATCAGTATTATCCGTGATGCGCTCATGCATTAAGCATACGAACACCATACGAGAAACGTGACCTTAGATTTTTTGTGGTTTTACATAACGGCGTCATATTCCTCGACTGAACGATACGTAGGACAAAATATATTCATTCTTATTTGTAATTTGTAGAAACTCTTTTTTTGATTCGTTAAAATTAATTTTTTCCTCAAAACTTGACGAAGATTAATCTCTGAAAAATGTAGTTTGAGGAAAAACTGATTACAACTTACAAATTAACCAATTATTACTATGTTAAATTTACTTCTATAATAAATATTTAACACATGACTGAGTAAAAAATTCTGTTTAGATAAAGTTCTATTTAATGGCTAGCTATTAAAATCAGCAGAGACAATTTTACTTTTTAATAGATAGCATTATGTTAAAAAAGCAGTTTCTTGGAAAAAATGACCAGAAACTAGTCAAGCCAAATGAATAGACCGATTGATAAATTAGTATTAATTTTATTATAGCGCCGGTTATTTAAAAAAAAAAATAAATTTTTAATAGCTGGCGCTGTGCAAAAAGTGCATTTTTCAATTAGTTTTTCTCCAGAAAATCTTTTTTTAAACACAACGTCAGGTATTAAAAATTTATTTTTTTTTAATTTTTTGCTCTTTTGTATCTAGAAAATGGTTTTTTTTTAAAGCAGCGTTAGTTACAATTAACATTAACAAATAAAATTCTCTATATACTGATTAGTACCTAAATAAGATTTAAATAAGATTTTATCTAAACATATATTTTTAACTAAATAATAACTAGTTTATGTTCAGTCAAAACTCACAATATTCTGATTATTTTCTGTCCGATAATTATTCAAGAGGATTGGATAAGATAAACTGATTAGTAAATGATAAATGATAACTAGTCTACATTCAGTCAAAATTCACAATATTCTAGTTATTACTTCGTGATAAAAAATTAGTCGAAAATTAATTAGATCAAATTTGATTAGTATATATATGATAATTGATTTACGTTCACGTTTCAAATTAATAATATTGTAATTTATATAAAATTAATAATAAATTAATATATATGTTGATTGTTATTTTTTTATACTATCTATAAAAAAGATCAAATTGTAAACGCAGGATTAATCATAATAGAAAATTATATATCTTAGAGTTTAATGACCGACCTAATTGTCACGAGAATTAAAAGAATAAACTGACACACGTTAATTTATCAAATTCATTATGATGACTTCATTTGTCTCATTATACTCGTAATCCTCATTATCGAGCTCTGTTATTTCGTCAGACCGCTTGCAAAATGATGAAATTAATATCACTTTAATATAATTACAAATAGCCAGCGCCCGATATCCGATTGACTTTTAGTCGTACAATTAGATCGAGGATCGCAAACCTTGTCCTACAACTTGAAGCTTTCTATTCTGCTTATGTCGCGAGAGGCCAAGAATCTGTCGATATCTTATATGCCACTTTGTATTATTCATATATCATCGAACTACAATTATTTCACACTTGATTATCTCTCGCCAATTTAAGTGCTATCTTATGTAACAGGATATTAGTCACCAATGTATAATGGACAATATTAAAACAGGGAGAATGTGTCGATATCATTTATAGTAGATATTCGGTAATCATGCGTAAATGAAGAATATGATCGATTTCGAAATAGTATCAAAGCAAAGATTTGATTTGCATCTCTACTATGTTTCTGATATTCGTGAACGAATACCAAAGTCTTCGAGACTCGCGGAAACTTTTAAAATACAACATCTAGCGAAATAATATCGATGATCAATGAATCATTTATTCGTTATTTTTATTTTTAATCCTGGTTCGATATTATCCGACAATTAAAAATTACTATCGCAAAACTACAATCAACATTCGTGATCACTAATGCAATTATTGCTAATTGAATCTAAATTATGATGTGGATTAGCAAGCATCTCGCAGAAAAAATGTAATGTTAGAAATATACCATCATTCGATACAACACTTGAACATATGTTAAAATAAGAAATTTGCATTTATTATGAATTCTCTGTATGCATATTTTATAATACATTCTATTACCTAATCATATCTTTTACAATAATACGTTCTATTATTTAATAATATATTTGTGATAATTTTATAAATTTTAATTCTTAAGATAACAAAAGTAAAACTATAATAAAACGTACTTATATAATTTGATTTTCTAATAATTTTCAAGCAACATGATTTACGAAAAATCCTTTTTAATACTGCAATAAAATACATTTACAGTTATAAATATAATTTAAAATATAATTTATTTATAAATATAATTATAAATATAAATTATGTTTTATAATATTTTTAACAAGTTTTAATGCGTTGTAAAAGCTAACAATTGAGCAAGCGATCTTTTTGTGACTCATCTTTTGGATCTACGCGATCCTTAAAATTTTGAGTGAGGGAAACTTGAGAGAAGTTCTTTTTTCTTGGCATCTCGATTTTACCTCGACTTTAACATTTACTGTAGACGAGCATCCGTAATTTGACTCGTCTTAGGATACTATTACTCGAAAAATATATGAAAAAAAATGTGTGGAAAAAACTCTATCCTGAAAACTCGGTCACTTTTTGATCGCATTTAATTTTATACCCGTTTTTTCTTCTTTCAATATAACAATTAAAATGATATATTGCCGCGCTTATCTAAACTCACCCACACAAATGCACAATTGTTCCCTTTGTTCGAGTAAGATCGAGTTCGCGAACCCGGAAGTGGTTAAAAAAAGTTAACATTCTTTTGTATGACGCTACATGCATAATATAATCTTCTCCAATTGAATTGTGACAATGTACGTATAAATAATAGTATGCCTCTAGGTGTATAAATAATATTACGCTTCTGATTGTTACGAGTGTCACAAAAGCGGACAGAAATGAGCGGCGCCAAGAGCAGAAAATATTATATGCAGATCATAAAGATTCCCTCGTATTTTTCATATTGATGTGGTCAAACCACTCAATAACCCATTACCTTTTTAATGCATATATTTTATGTTGATGTGGTCAAATTGTCATTAATAAAAGGACTTTTCTAATATACATAATGTATTTTTATGTTGTGGTTAAAATTGCATATATATAAAGACATTACTTAAATAAGGATGTTACGTTAATGAGAACTCCAATGTACATAATAACTCTTTTCTAGTTTGCTTTTTTAGAGGAAAAATCTCACGTAGTCGTAATAAAAGTTTTTACAGAATAAACGGAAAGTTAACGATATGTATTATTTATAATACATATTGCAACAAGTTGATATATCAATCTGTAAAACCACAAGATTGAGATAAATTATAACAATTTTGCATTATAAATTTTCACTGGATTCGTTTCAAAAGTGACAGCTATAAATACAAGATAGTTGTAGCTGTTGATAATAGATTTGATAGATATCTTGTTTTGTATTTGCTATTCCTCTTGTATTTGCATCGTAGAAGAAACAGGAAAAACTGAAACTATTCTCCAAAAAACATGAATTCAAAGCGATAATATCTCTTTTATACAAACTTCTTTTAAAAGTTTCACGTGCTTTTGTAAAATTTATATTTTTAGAGTATGATAATAAACAAAGAAAATTTCATTCAATGTCTCTTTTACATGTTTTTCAGATAATAATAACGCAGATAACATATCTACAAGGGAGCTACGATGGTAAGTCTCAATTCAACATACGACTTATCTGTTATTTGTGCATGCTTAATTATTTATTCACATCTATTCGCGTCATAATTATCTTGCGCGATTTGTTTGTCGTCATGAATAAAGCCTGTCGCAATTATCAATTATTCATTGTGTTTTTGACGTAGACGGAAAACGATAAAGCGCCGACGGAGTTGGACACTTTTCTGCCTCAGGATGGATCTAATCTCAAGGATGGCGTCCTATCTGCCAAGTAAGATAATCCAATTGATATCACTTGAGAAACGAAATTTATTTTATGTGATTTATTGAAAATATGAGCGTAACATATAAATGACGAATTATTAAAAATTATATATGTATTTGTTTCAGATATAAAGTACAAGTCGCCTCGCGCGACGTTGAAGCCGCGCTGGCCGATGAGAAGAGTTTTGATCCCTTTGCGGAACGCAAAGTTGACAATCCAACGACGTAAGAAATATTTTTTTAATCGCGATTAGATTGCCTTTCACATTGCTTTTAAATATTTTGCATTTGAATATATTTGAGCAAGAGTTTCGGCTTTGTGTGTGTGTGCAGATTCAAAAGTATATTCGAAGAATAGCAAAACATATATAATAATTGCAAGCAGAATAAATACAAAAGAACACACACACACATTCGTATATTATTGATATCAATTAAAAATAATAGAAAATATAAATTTCATTTCTTTCGTTATGTAAATCTCTCAAATAGATCAAACGCAATTAAAAAATACGTCAGATATGAAATTCCACTAACTTTGACCTATTATTTCAATCCGATATATGACTTATATGACTTATACGTTGTTTGCGTGCATTTATTATTTATTCACACATTCATCCGTATTATAATTATCTTACATGACTCGTCCACATTTACTGTCATGAATAAAGTACATTGCGGTTTGCGTTATATATTTCATCTCTTTAATAGTTGGGTAATACGGTTACCAATAGATTTGCAACATGATAGAAACATGATACGTGAAGCACTTGTAATTTCCACCTTAGAACTATAAAACTAATTTTTTTGAAGTTAATCATTGATGCTGACAGAAATTATGCAATTGATGTGTAACAGATAGATGATACTTTCAGGGATTGCGACACATTGACGCACTTATTGAAGGCCTCCCTTGGCAGTGGCATCTTGGCTATGCCTATAGCTTTCAAAAATGCCGGATTACTTTTGGGAATCTTTGCTACGATACTTGTCGCATTTGTATGCACGCACTGTGCGTATATTCTGGTGAGTTTCTGACAGATAAAAATTTGTATACATATTGTTACATTATCAGCGCTCAGGAAATAGCTAAATTTAGTTCCTTGAATGTAACAATACAATCACTATATCAGCACGCGTATGCAAATGTAATAATATTCTAATTTTATTTTCTCTAACAATATCTATAATTCATTTCCAGGTCAAATGCGCGCACTTACTTTACCATAAAACTCGTAAAACAGAAATGGGATTTGCTGAGGTAGCCGAGGTGGCTTTCGATAAAGGACCTCAATGGGCGAGGAAGTTCGCGAAACCTTCTAGGTATTAGTTTTATTCTTCGAATGTACGAATTTCTAAAGCAACTATTCTTTAAAACTGAGTTTCTCTCTTTCTCTTTTATAGACATCTTATTCAAATTAGTCTGTTCGTCACATACTTCGGCACCTGCAGCGTGTACGCGGTAATCGTGGCTGCCAACTTCCAACAAATTATCGAACATTATCAAGGTAGCGAATATAGCCTCCGGTTGATCATCGCCTATTTATTGGTACCGTTAGTTCTACTCAGTTGGGTACCCGACTTGAAGTATTTGGCGCCGGTTTCGATGGTGGCAAACATCTTTATGGGAGTAGGACTGGGAATAACGTTCTACTATCTCGTCTGGGATATACCGCCGTTGTCTTCGATACCTCTGATAGGGACGATCGAGACCTTCCCGCAATTCTTCAGCATTACTGTCTTCGCCATGGAGGCAATCGGTGTGGTGATGCCTTTGGAGAATAGCATGAAAACGCCACAGCACTTTGTGGGAATCTGCGGAGTTCTTAACAAGGGAATGTCTGGCGTTACGCTCGTGTACATTTTCCTTGGATTTCTCGGATACGTCAAGTATCAGGACGAAACGAAAGGTAGCATCACCCTTAATCTACCGACAGAAGAAATGTAAGATATCAAATTGATTAAGAATTAAATTTACGCATGTATACACCTGATGTCAGTTTTTTTTTATATTTTGATTAACTTTTTCACAGACCGGCACAAGTAGTACAGATTTTGATCGCCCTGGCTGTGTTTTGCACTTTCGGTCTGCAATTTTACGTGTGCCTCGATATTGGGTGGACTCTTATAAAAGATCGCTTTGAGAAGAAACCACTTTTAGCTAATTATATCATGAGAACGGTACTAGTAATTGGTGCAGGTAAGCACTCAGAAACATCTTATTTTTCAAATTATTTCTGAAATGTTATAAACTGATGATGATATAATATGAGGTAATCGTTGCCCAGGTCTTCTTGCCATAGCAGTGCCGAGCATCGAACCGTTCATCGGACTGATTGGTGCATTTTGTTTTTCCATTTTGGGCCTCCTCATTCCGGTATTCATCGAGACTGTAACTTATTGGGATGTCGGCTTCGGACCAGGAAATTGGGTGGCTTTAAAGAATGTAATTATATGCGTGATAGGTGTGATAGCATTAATATTTGGATCGCGCAGTGCCATAATAGACATTATGAAATTGTATGCTTGATGGAAAGAATATTTTCTTTTTTTTACTTAGTGCAAATGATTTAGCGGGTATACAATGAATTTTTCTATCATATCTTAGATCTGCTCCATCCATATAATTAACGATATTGGAATAAATTAGATGTAAATCAAATATTACGCTCGCGGGCGGGTGTCAGTGAACTTTTAAACAGAAGCGAAGAATTTGAATTACATAATTAGTTCAAATTTTCTCTTATTCTTGAAATTCTCTGATAAAATATAGAAAATTTTTTATTGTCTAAAATAATGTATAAGTATGCATAAGTTAGAAATGGTAAACAAATGTAGATTTAGGAATAATGGCAGTATTCACTTAGCAGGAGAAACTCTGCTGCAAAGCATGAATAAATTATTGCGCTCGCGTGTGAGATATACGAGTATTCTAAGAAACCTCTTTAGAAAATGATTTGTATATTATCGAAAATAACGTCTATTATATACTATTTAATTCTACGATATAAAACAGAAATTTTGATATTGTTATACAATTATACAAAATTTATACAAAATTGCATTTATACAAAATTGTAATTAAAGAAATTAATTGTAATTGATCTGCAAATTATCTCTATCTTGCCTTGCAGAAAGATATTTTGATAAAAAAAAAAAAAAAAAAACAATCGAATATTAGACGTATGTTTTACTAAATTTACTCAAATTTACAATATCTATTAACATTATCTTTTATATCTGATATGTATGTTAATATTTAATATTATATTAGTAAAAAAATATATTTTTATGAAAAAGGTTATTGAATCAAGAATTAAAAAACGCATTCCAAGAAAAAATACCAGATTCTGTGTGAGTGCATTGAATGCGTGTTATTTGCATTATAAAAAAAATATTGCTCAAGCATAGTCAGGCAGTCTTCCAGCATTGCATTTAAAAAGAACATTAAAATATGCTTTTTTGAGAACCAAGTACACACGCATACACAGAATATATATGTTACACTGAATTTTTTACAAACAGATAAGTGTTTGTATAAGTAAAAATTTTACCATTGTAACAGAAAATTGTAACACATGGCATTGATCAAGGTTATGAAATAAAAATAATTTTACATTTTGTAAAGAAGACATTGCTCTTCAACTTATTATATTTTTCAACTATACTATATTTTTCATTCTTTATCTTACATGCAGCATTGCGATTGTAACTGCATTTTATCAGAAATTATACAAAATTGAAAAATTATCCATTTGTGAGTGCAAATACAATTTTTTTAAATCTTTTTCTTTTTCTTAATAAAATATACTTATCACAAATAAATTATACGTAAACAATACTGTTTTACATTTTTATTACATAATTATAATAAGATTTTGAGAGAGAAGGAGATTAGAAACTATTTTAGTTTCTAATCTAAATTTAAATGTCTTATTAAAGACTTACATGAATTTGATGTATTTTCAAGATGTATTTCTTCAAGAAATATCTTCAAGAAATAGAGATATAAGTTATTTCTCTAGTGGTGCATAGTTAAGTAACTTTTCAATTAGATCCACATGTCCAAGTAGCATCCTGCGGCAACAATATCTTTTGAGACCAAGCGCATCCAAAGCATCTCTAAAACATATAAATCACCTCTATCAGTTTATCTGATTTCGTCAACTTACGAGATTTAATACCAGTATCATTTTTAGAATAAAAAATAGACAACTGTCGAGAATAATATACAACATTAGCGATCAAATTAATCCTTAAAAGTCATTGGATTATTTTGACTCTATTAGATATAGATATTTTAATAAAAGAATATCCCAAAAATCCTCCCCCTTAATTAATAAAAGAAAAATGTTTAAAATTTTTTTAACTTTTGCATATAATTATTTTCTACAAATGTCAAGAAATATAAATTTTTGCAGATTTTTTCTAGCAGAAAGTTAAAATTGCGACACAAATAGGAGGAAGAAATGTGAGTTAACAATTTAATTTCACAATCTCGCGAGGTTAGAAATTGAGATTTCAAACATAGAAACGTTACCCTTCCGTGTATTCTGCCTGAAGAAGTCCGAGATATGCCTCCCATTTGTTACCAATTACTTTGCCGCACGTAAAGCAACGCACAGGAATAATCATTGTTTTTGATTTTTAATTTTTTTTCGCAGCTCGTAAATGCTGCACACCATGCGTTTCACGTTATGCACAAACATCGAGAAAGTACGAGAAACATTGGCTGTGTTCCAAAATTCACTGCCAGTACTGAAAATCTATAGTGTACGTCACGTAAACTATAGATTTTCAGTGGCAGTGAATTTTGGAACGCAGCCATTATAGTTGCTAGCACCGCTGCTGGAGGCGCCACTGATTCGCAAGCAACTTCAGAGTAAGGGTCTATCCAGACAAACTTGCATAGGTGCATATGCATAACATAAGACCATATGGACCAATGAGCATCGAGTATTATGTTATGTAAGTCAATATAGCGATTTAATGCTCGATGCTCATTGGTCCATATGGTTTTATGTTATGCATATGCACCTATGCAAGTTTGTCTGGATAGGCCCTAAGTGATTATTGAAATATTTTTAAATATTTTTTACTAATATCAGAGAGAAACCTGAGAGCGGCCACCAGCCTCGACGGGCACATTTCTCGATGCTTGACGCGCCGTCTGACAAAGTGGACGTGAACTATGTCCATTACGCTCGGTAACGAAACATGGTTTGTGTCTATGATATGGGTTCATGTCCGAACTATTCAGAGATGGACAGTCGGATAAGAATTGATAATTCATCGTTCTGTCTTTGTCTCATCAATGACAGACCACGCGACTGCCACGCGACGAGCTTACGATTTTGCTTTTCTCTTTCACTCGTCGCGCTTTCACGTTCTTCGTTATGATGTAATAACGAAATGATCTTCACATAATCCTAATTTTTTAAGGGTATTGGCAGACAAGTTTTCCAACTTTGTATGTCCTGTAACAAAAATACAACACATTATGAAAATTACGATTACATGCTTACTTCAAGCTGCCATAGCAATTGGTATACCGAATGTTTGGTAAAAAAAAATTTTTTTATGTCAGGCGTGTTGGTTATGATCAGTTCGATAAAGTGCTCCTTCATAATAACGCGTAGCAGTGCAAGTAAGATGACTGCTTGTCACGGCGCTGACCCGAGTTCGAATCTCCCTGCTGTCGTTTTTTTTATTTTTATTTTATGAAATAATAAACTAACAAATAATATGTATTGAATTTGGGAGCAGAAAAGGCAAAAAATTAATAAAATAATGACAATTATTGCACAAAAACATACTTGTATTGCCTATCCATGTATTGCATCTTGTATCCTTCTGCATTGGAAATCGGAATAGCCGTTTCCTATGCGAAAATCTCCCATTCTTACATTATTTACTTTATTTCTATACACGCACTTATCATAATAACTATCTATAGAGCACTGACTCGACATAGTGATTGTTTATTATAATGCAAAACAAAAAAATATAAAAATAAAATTAAAAAAACTTAAAAATAGAAATAAAAAAGAAATACAACACGTGATAAAAAAATACAAAAATTACACAACCAACACAATAAAAGCATATACGCACGTACGTGTACACGCAGAAATATTTACAAATAATGTGTCGTGTTATATAAAAGAAACGATAATACGTGTTGCAAAATACACAGATCTTACAGATCGTTAAAAAAATATAAGTTTAAAACAATAGAAGAGATCTGTTATGCACAGATAATGAAGTACCGCAGACAAATCACGATAGTGAAACGTAATTCTTTTATATATTAATAAAAGATTAAAGAATCTGTTTATTGTTAATGTAAAGTTATTTTGTATATCATACAAAGAATTATAGTTTCACAAACTGATTTATCTATTTTTTTATTATTATTTTCAAAATTAAATATAATTACATAAAAAATGATTACATAAAATTAATCATCCGAATTATCGATCTCATCAAGACATGAGCCAGGATGATATTTATCATAAAAACATGAAAAACATAATGTAATACAATATCTAGCGCATTAGATGCTGTATTGTGCCGTATATGTGTGAGCAATCTTATTAAAACTTTATTTTTTTACAAGAAAATTATTCACATCATTCGATACACTAGATGTTATATTACATTATGTTTTTCATGTCTAACACTAACACGCAAATGCATCAAAGTAAGATATCATTCGCATTGATATGTATATTTTTTTAATTAATTAATTATTTAAAAAATATATAAAATAAAATATTACTATAATAATATGAGAGTTGTAAGCATTTATGAAATACAGATATAATTATTTTAAATAAAAAGAAAAGGTTTTGTTAAAAAACATTTTTAATAAATGTCTTTATAATAAATAAATAAATTTGTCTCTATATATTGGGCGCCCGAAGTCGTCTCGAAATCCTATCCGAATTATGTAAAATGTAGCGCGTGAAATATGAGACGGGACCGACAAGAAATGGAAGGAGACACGAGCTTTACGATAGAAAATCACCGCTCGCCTCATGCCTACCGCCGCGTGATTTGCCATCATTGGTGAGACAAAAGCAGAACGATAGATTATCGGCTCTTGTCTAACTCTCATGTCCATCGCATGTGAATAGTCGGATATGAACTATAGCTCGGACATAAACCATAGCTCAGATACGAACCATGTATTATTATCGAATGTAATGGATTTAGTTGACGTCCACTTTGTCAGGCGGCGCATTAGGACAATGTGCCCGTTAAAGCGAGGTGGCCGCTCTCAGGTTTCTCTCTGGTCATATCTGTTAACAGCGTGGAGGCGATGCGATGCGCATGCGCTCAACGCTGATTGGAGCTGACCGAAGCCGACCGAGCGTGCACAGAGAGACTGAGAGATGTCGTGGCTCGCTTTATCCCTGGAAGTGATACTCCCTCTATGAACATTAACAACAAAATATGAACTACAAAACAAATGTCCACGAAGGTTCTCAGAGGATAACATATATGTCCCTCTGATAATATAAATAATATAAATAAAAATATAAATAATTTAATTAATAATAATTTATTATATAAAAATATTAATATGTTCTCTTTTTTCCTTGCTATTATTAATATTATATATTTATATTATATATTTATATTATATGTATAAATATTACATTTAAGTGTGAGTCCAAGAAGCAAATTTCGGATATTCATTGTAAGTCAGCTGCTCTTCGGGCGATCGGGACGAGATTTAAACGGTAGTGCCGCGAAATGGTGTAGAATTTTATGCAAAAAGAACGAAATCGCGTCTGGAAGTTGAGATATAAATTCGCTGTTTTTCGTCTGCGCGCGGACGGTCGAAATCGTGCACGACGCCGCGCATGTTGCCTGCCTATCTCGCGCGATATTCACTGTAACGCGACGAGTAAAATGGCAAGCCGAATGTAATTGTTCGATTAATTGATTAAATACTTATATATACCGAACGAAAAGATGAATCGGAATGCAATCGTCCGATTAATTAATTAAATATAGATACTACGATCGCGGCGAAGCGGTGGGCGGGTCGCTCTCCGAAACATGATGGTGGTTTGCGATATATCGCATATTGTTCCGTGATACATCAACCGTTCATAATTAATTAATTTAAAATAAAATATACTTCTATAATTTAAAATGTCGCGTGTATATATAGTACGCAAAATATTTCGGCAGAGAATTATCAATTAATATCATATGTTTGGCCTTGACGACGTATAGCAAGTGGCTATACATGTCATAGCTATGCCATCATTCACACGGTGACACTCGAATATAGAAAAATATTTAACAACATGATAATTAAGTAAAGAGCATTAAGAGCCCACAAACCAATTCGTTTCTTATAATTTATATTATAAGGAGAATATATTTTGCGAGGAGGTCGATGATGCGTTGATGACCTCTTTACAAATCATGTTCTCCTAATAACGCAAACGTGAAAATTTTCGAAAATCCGTTTCTTATAATTTATATTATCAGGAGAATATATATTGCGAGGAGGTCGATGATGCGTTGATGACCTCTTTACAAATCATGTTCTCCTAATAACGCAAGCGTGAAAATTTTCGAAAATTTGTTTCTTATTATTTTATATTATCAAAAGAATATATTTTGCGAGAAGGTCGATGATGCGTTGATGACCTCTTTACAAATCATGTTCTCCTAATAACGCAAGCGTGAAAATTTTCGAAAATTTGTTTCTTATAATTTTATATTATCAGGCGAATATATTATGCAAGAAGGTCGAAGATGCGTTGATGACCTCGTTACAAATCATGTTCTCCTAATAACGCAAACGTGAAAATTTTCGAAAATTTGATTCTTATTATTTTATATTATCAGGAGAATATATTTTGCGAGGAGGTCGAAGATGCGTTGATGACCTCCTTACAAATCATGTTCTCCTAATAACGCAAGCGTGAAAATTTTCGAAAATTCGTTTCTTATTATTTTATATTATCAGGAGAATATATTTTGCGAGAAGTTCGATGATGCGTTGATGACCTCTTTACAAATCATGTTCTCCTAATAACGCAAGCGCGAAAATTTTCGAAAATTCGTTTCTTATTATTTTATATTATCAGGAGAATATATTTTGCGAGGAGGTCGATGATGCGTTGATGACCTCTTTACAAATCATGTTCTCCTAATAAAGCAAACGTGAAAATTTTCGAAAATTCGTTTCTTATAATTTATATTATCAGGAGAATATATTGTGCGAGGAGGTCGATGATGCGTTGATGACCTCTTTACAAATCATGTTCTCCTAATAACGCAAACGCGAAAATTTTCGAAAATTCGTTTCTTATAATTTATATGATCAGGAAAATATATTGTGCGAAGAGGTCGATGATACATTGATGACCTCTTTACAAATCATGTTCTCCTAATAACGCAAGCGCGAAAATTTTCGAAAATTCGTTTCTTATAATTTATATGATCAGGAGAATATATCGTGCGAGGAGGCCAATGATGCGTTGATGACTCCTTTACAAATCATGTTCTCCTAATAACGCAAACGTGAAAACCTTCGAAAATTCGTTTCTTATAATTTATATTATCAGGAGAATATATTGTGCGAGGAGGCCGATGATGCGTTGATGACTCCTTTACAAATCATGTTCTCCTAATAACGCAAACGTGAAAACTTTCGAAAATTCGTTTCTTATAATTTATATGATCAGGAGAATATATTGTGCGAG